ATTTTGCTAAAAAAAAAAAAAAGAAGGAGCGGAATTCACATTTGGACCTTTGCTTTTAGTTTAAAATAACGTTAATATTATATAAAATTTACCTACAAAACTTCAAAGAATTCAGTAATAATCTTTTTAATTTATGCTAGCGTAAAAAATTTTCTTAAAATCAACGTTCTACAGAAAATGCATTTCTAATGCTGGGAAAATCTGAAATGTAAGAAAATTCTGACACTAAAAAAAAAATTTAAAATTTGAAAAATACTTTTTGAAAGTGAATTTTATATGTCTTAAAAATATAATTTATTCAAATAAAAAATAGGTTAAAATACTCAAAACAGAACAAAAACATTTTAGTTTCGTTTTTAGGTATCTGAAACTGGAAATTTATATTTTTAAGGCTTATAAAGCGAAAAATTTAAATTTTCGAGACAGAAGAAGGTTTCAGAATCAGGTTCCTTAAAAATTTAGTTGAAAATTATGATCAAACAATATTTAAAATAAAATAACAAGTATTTAAATTAATAAAATTTTTTAAATAATTAAAAAATTTTAACATAAAAAAATAATATTCAATTTAAAGTTCCGAATCGCCGTAACAGCTCCCAAACAGTACCAGAAGGTAGTACCTGCACATTCCGGCCTTACCTCGAACTCTAAGTTATTCATGTAATTTGAATGTTTAAGCAGTATTGAATTATTCGGATATATATTTTTGTGCTTTTAAACTATTTATTTGAACCGTGCCTTCTTGCAGACTGTCCGAAAAGCCATACCTCCGATCGAAATAACCACTCGTTATTGCTGGACTTCTTTTCCCGTTTTCCGGCTTATCACGTTGATTACCATTCTTCAAGGAGACTTTTCTTTCAGATAAACAGAGGGGATAAAAAGAAAATAGAAATCGATTTCTTCCAAATAAACGTAAAAGTTCTTTGAATGAGAGTCTTTTGGAGACTGTTCCCATGCGTAATAAAATAAAAATAAAAACGTAATAGCTATCTTCGTTCCGTCGGCGATGGTAGTGCGGTTCGCTTGCTGCGATGTACCTTAATGGGGTTAAAAGCCAAAAGCTCCTATCACTACTGGAAACTGCAAAGCTAATATGTCTTACCTTCTTGAATCAATAACGTCCTTAGCTCTTGTTTTATGACTCAAGCTAAACGAATTATTTTATTTCTTTTCCCAACAAGGAAGTTTTGTTTACTCTTTTCTTCATTTTAGTTCTCTAAAAAAGATTGTTTAAAAAATATATATATATGTATAAATAAAAGAATGTACTACATCATCTAGGAGCCTTATAATTTAATTTTCCATAACGTTTATGAAACAAACATGATGTTTTCGTTATGTTATAGTTTACTACGCCGGAGCATGCAGGAATAAAAGTTACGGGAAAACCTAAAATTCTTTAAGAAAGCCTTCTAAAAATTTAAATTAGTTTTAACTTTGAACGCATTGTGACAGAAAAATGCGCGCGAGAGAAATTTTTTTTGAAAGCAACATGTTATTTATTTTTTTCTCTTTTTCTGTTATTTAATTAGTGTTTATATTTTTAAAGTCTTAAGTTAAAAAGAAAGATTAGAAAAACCTTTGAATAAATATATGATTTTTTAAAATTGTCCTGTCACTTATTCCTATTATTTATTTTATGAACTTAATTTTTATAAAAATTATATTAACTTTGTACTATCTAATAACTAGGTCGCTGGTTCTTATAAACAAATAACAATTTTATTATCACGAAACAATTTCAAATCCAAAATGAAACATTGAACACACGATAGGTTCGAATGCTTCGAACGACAAACTACAACTACTTTTCAATTTCTTTTTAACTAGAGGGCGTTGCTCGCTACAACATAACAAGCTCAAACAAACTTCATTTTTATGAAAATTATATTAACTTCATTTTTATGAAAATTATATTAACTTCATTTTTATGGAAATTATATTAACTTTTCGTAATTCTTAACTACACTGGTAAATAAATAGAATTTGCATAAGAGAATTTGCATTTTTTATCGAATTTCAGAAAAAGTATTGGACTGAATGTAAAGCCACTGCTTCTAGACAAAAATGCAAATCTTGTACATCAAATAAGTAAGCGTACACGTGTGTGTAGGTGGAGCCAGTAGAGAAACAGGTTAAGTACGCTTAAGTTAAGACGCATTTCGTTCGCTAAGCGAATTTCTTAGTGTTATTTTGCAGCAATAGGTTAAATTCAAATTGTAACAGTAAAAATGAATAACCACCAACGTTAAGATGATGGAATGAGGTGGTGAATTGTGGGGAGGCCAGAAGCAGGCTAATCTCTGGTCCAGATTTGTAGAGAGTTCAATTTAACGTCCAGCGTCGTGTGTAACTATGGAAACAGTTCCCGGATACCGGATCCATCGAGAGAAAGCCTGGGCAAGGTTGTCCAAGAGCCACGACGGCCAGAGAAGATCGCCATTTCTCCATTATAGCGAGACGTAACAGACAGCCCGCTACTTACCCTCCAATGTTCGCGAAACCGACCATTAAGACGAAACAGGTTTTATGGGCTGAGCAGGCATCACGTTGGATGGCCGCACACCTCTCCATATCTTTAAAAGAGGCAATGTGACTGGTGTGAGGTCTTGGAACCTTATGTTCGCTTCTTCAGGGTTGCAGTTGGCCCTGGGTTTATTTTAATGGACGATTGCGCGAGGCCACGTAGAGCTCTTCTAGTCGACGAATTTCTAGAGGGTGAGGATATTCGGCGGATGAATTGGCCAACCAGATCTCCAGACGTCAACCCTATAGAGCATGTCCGGGACGCTGTGGGGTGGGCCTTTGCAACTCGCTACCCTCCTCCGAGAACCATCCAGGGAATGAAAACAGCGTTGCTGAGCGAGTGGGACCAACTGCCACAGAAAATGATGAACTGCTTTATTTCGAGTATGAAATTTCGCTGCAAGGCCTGTATATCTTGTAAAAGGGGACTATACCCCCTATTACCCATTTTTTTTTTGCTGTTGTTTATTCTGCAACCGTTGTTTCATACCTTACGATTATGCTTGTGTATTACAATTGTTGAATGGTTGTTTGTTTTGTATTGTATCAATGCATGTACGTATCAAATTTCATTAAAATCGGTCCAGTAGTTCTAGAGATAATCGACCAAGTCTGCAAATTCTCTTAATGTCTTACACTGTATATATTAACTTTTCGTTTCCTAAGTTCATATATTTTTAAAAAAATGAAAAAAGCGATACTGCAATTAACTCAAAACTAATTGCTTTAAACGTAATTTTAATTAAGTGTAAAGATCTTCAATTAACCTATAAACTTTAGTAAGCTTTGTGAATAACTTTCTTGATATCTGAAATCAATATCAACCATATATGGTTGATTTTCATTTCATATCTAAATAACTTTTCTTCCATTTATTGTAAAATACTTATGCAAGTTCCCTTTATTGAATAGGTATATCTTGTTAAAACATACTAAACGGGGGACCCTCTTTAATTGAAAATCTCAAAAGGAATGCCGCTAGCATCTGTGTAAAGCGGCAGAGAAAAGCCGCAGTTCTCCAAAAGGAATAAATGATGCGCACCTTAAAGGAATTCTTGTTTAGAGTAGAAAGAGGGATTAATTAGCATATTGTTGGAAGAGGTCTGATCCCAGTATAGAGCTCAATGGGCTGAGTCGTGTAAAATGTTTGAACTTGAGGGTGGATGCTTAAATTAAGGCCATTAATTACGTCTTTGTGGGAGCTGCTTTAAAGAAAACTTCGTGTTACCTGTGAAATTTTAGCATGCGAAACCCAGCATTGTTTGAAGTGAACATTTAAATCCATATTTTGGGATTTTGTTTTATCGTTGGCGCGGTTATTGTAATTTGCCGCCGCTATTATCTGCATCATCTATTGCCACTGATGGGCATTGTTGCAGCTATTTGCCACCATTATGTTTGTTTGTTGTATATGATACTTGTAGAATAGTATGAGTAATTTATTTTATTTATTTCGTAAAATTGGCTTAAAATTAATAAAAAAAATTTAAAAGCTTTTTTTTGAGTGTAAATAAAATAGAAAACTTAAAGATTAGTTTTCTGTTCGGCATTCAGTATTTAACAGATGTCTTGATTCAAGATTCTTTCTCTAAGAAGCATCCTTGCAAGATTTAAATATTTTGTCATCTGTGCAATAACGTGCCCTAACTGTGTACTTAAAGAAAAAAAATCTTATTTTCAATTTTGAAAAACCTGCATTTTCTTACTTCTGCTTTTTCCTGCATTATTTATTTTATTATTATTCAGATGTTTTTTAATGATCTGGGTGTTATTTTAAAGGTTGTTTTTTTTTTTTAAAAAAAGGATCCATAAATTATGAGGAAGTTATTGTAAAGAATAATTTTTTAAAATTAATGTTTCACTCTGTATCCAGGGGTCTGTTAAGAAGAAATTTGGGTCCGTTAACGGATTCATCACAAAATATCTTAATAAAAACGGACCCTTCACAAAATAATTTCTTTTAATCGGACCCTTCACAAATTTGTTTATCTTCATTATTGTTTTGTTAATCGAATAAATTATTCCCAGGGGGGTGGGGGGAAAGAAAGACAGATGTAAACGAATTAAGTTTTGTCTTCGGCGGACGCTTCTTCCTTTATTCGTACGAAATGAATATTCTGCATTCAGCAGTAAAATATCAAATATATGTATGTTGCATCTCTAATTTAGTAGCAGCAACTGCAATTCACAAATCCACAAAATCAGGACCCTGGTTGAAAGAATGTGACTTAACGTTTATTTTATATTCACAAATTACGAGTAATTTTTTCACAATTTTACAAAAACGGACTTTTCACAAAATGTCTGGACAGACCCCTGATATCATTAACTTTATAATCTTTCAATTATTGAAAAAGTGACTGTGAAAAAAAAAAAAAGAAGAAAAAAAAGAAACATATAGTGATAACTAACCATATAGCGTCTTAATTATTTTTATATCTTAAAATGAATGCTCATTGTTTTTGTTTTAGGTGGACATCAATCGCAAAATAGAATCCGTAGCTCAAGATCTTGATACAGTTGCTCAGGAATCTTTTACGTTTTATATGCTCAGAGACGATGGAGACAAAACAGATAACTGCATTATGGTCAAGGAAATTCTTACTCATATGTACTTCTTGTCCACAATTGAAGGAAATGCCAATGACCAAACATCTTATAAAAGGATTCTGACTGGTCTAGTAAATGTTATAGATTTCTTCAAAAAAGTACCGTTAGAAGAAACAAATCCAAGTAAGTTAAATAACTCTTATAGAATTTACGGAGACCAGCTTAAATGCTTATTGTTTTTACAAGTAGGCTATAATGCTTTTTTTTCTTTCTTTCCGTTTTCTTACTTCAGTTTTGCGGAAGTGTAAAAAAACTGTGCAAAAGCTTCTTAAAAAAGTCGATTCTGAAGATGCGTTATCAGGAGGGCAGTTTGAATGGGTGGACAGTGTTTTAGTTCACGCTGTCTCCAAAGGCCATTGGTTGCTGATAGATGATGCCAATTTCTGCAGGTATGTAAATTATTTAGTAGCTTCTCTTTTTCGAATAACTTAAAAATGAAATTCACGGTTCTCGGTTATGCTTTTTAATAATAAAGTATTAAAAATATAGTTTAAAAAAAAAGATTTATTATTATAAATTAGTCACCATCAGCAAATGCAACTTATTTAGCTTAATGCTCCCCCTCTTTTGTTGTAAACATTGTTAAATAATTGTTTTAAACGAAAAATCTTTTTCTTTGACTATTTTTAAATTATTATTTTTTTTATGATCAGGAATAAAACGATAGTGCCCTGTGTCCTGCATTATAAATCGCGTAATACAAACTTATTATTTTCAGTTGTAAGTAATAAAACTGAGCTATTGAAACTTTCTTCAAATTCTTTAAAGCGAGCCGCGATGGCTCAGGGGATAGAGCGTTCGCCTTCCAATGAGGCGAACCGGGTTCGAATCCCAGTCGATATGAATTCCGCATCCGGCTTGCTCCGACCACAGTGCTGACATGAAATATCCTCAGTGGTAGACGGATCATGGGTTAGAGTCCCCTTGCCTTCAGGCTAGTCGTGGAAGATTCTCGTGGTCTTCCTCTCCGTGTAACGCAAATGCGGGTTAGCTCCATTGAAAAAGTCCTCCACGAAGGCAAATTTCTCCCAATACTCGATCCATAGGTTCCCTTGAATTACAAGGCTACGGAGTTGAACATTAGTAGTCGTAAACCCATAAAATTGGATCGATTGTTTAACGACGGTTATTAAAAAAAAAACTCTTTGAAACGAATTTTTTTTAAATGCGTTTCGGAAAAATAATCTAAAATTTAAAATCTTTACGCTAAATTTTTTTAAAAATAAAAATGGCTTTTATAATACAGTTTTCTAGCCCCACTCGATCAGGACATTACACTCTTTGCCTGATTATCCCTGGGATAGAAGAACCAAGGGCTTCATGCTGAGCCTTACCTTAGTAATCCCATGTTATTTTTTATAACCGTTGTTGAACAGCCGACCCGTTTTTAGGTTTTCAATTAATGTTCAACTCCTTACAGTTGTAATTTTGAAGCCGATCCAGAGAACAAGGGAACTCCTGCATCAAGTATTGGCAGAGATTTCACTTCGTGGAGGACTTTTTGATGGAACTAATCCGCATTTGCGTTGCATGGAGAGGAAAAGCACGAAAGCCTCCCACTCTTAGTCTGACGGCAAGGGTACTCTAAATCTATGATTTGTCTACCACTGAAGATATTTTTCGTCAGCATTGTGATCGGTGTGAGCCGGGTGCGGAATTGGTATCGACAAGCCATCGCTGGATTCGAACCGATTCACCTCATTGGAAGGCGAACGCTCGACATGGGTGCAAGTCTTCCGTCCCTAGGACGGATTTCCGTCTTTCTAAAATGTCAGCGGACGGAAGTAAGACGGAAACAAGACTGACTCGAAGACGGAAATCGGAATATTTTTTTTTTCTGTCCGTAAAAATATTTTTTAGGTCTACGTTATTGGTCTATTTTCTTATGTCCTGTTGTTATTTTATCAAAAGACAGATGAATAAATATTTTTTGTACAGTAGTTAATCTTGATGTATTATGGTAAAGCTTTCTTAGATAGTTTGCATATGTCTAGGGGGTATTGTGTATGTTAGGTATTACAGTCAAAAAATTTTCAGTCTTGGCCTTTTTTCCAACTTGCACCCTTGACGCTCTATCTCCTGAGCCACCACGACTTCATCTAATTTTTTTTTTTATATTCGCTTTAAAGGGATACAACATCAAGGACGCAAAATTTACGCTATTTCATATCTTGACGAAATGCTCTATTTTAATGGTTTGCGCATCAGTAACTGCCGCGTATCCACGTGATTTACAAGTCTTGATTTGGTTAAGTAACGTAGTTGAAATCACAGTTTATTTCCTTACAATTATCACTTTAATGAATGATAAATAGCTGCCACAAAATTTACGCAAAACGGAGTGTTTTCATCGATTGCTCGTCAGTAGCTTACCCCGTGTATCCTCATAGAAACTTTATTTCGTTAGTTAATTTTTTTTCCCTGTAAAAATAACAATTAATCTATTATATAGGACATTATGATGTAGAAAACACAACATTTACGCAATTTTATATCTTGATACGAAGTACCCTGTTTTTATAGATCGCACAACTGCCGTGTATCCTCAAGATTTACAACTTTTGATTTGGCTAAGTTACATAATTGAAATCAAAATTTATTTCCTTCTTATTTCGTTCCCACCCACCACAATTATCACCATGATGGATCATAATTTAGCTGCCGCAAAATTTACACAATGGCTTGTTTTATCAATTGCTCGTCATGGTAAAAACATGGCCACTTAAAAAAAAAATAATTAAATAAAAAATTAAAAAAAAAAACATTGAACGAAATAATCGTTAAATTTTTTATTTATTTATTTTTGCAAAAATAACAGTTGATATTTAATCTAGGCCTTTGTGATTTGGTAAACGCAAAATTTACGCGATTAATTATTATTATTATTTTTTTTTTATGGTGATGTGAAATTACGTGATTTGTAGTTTGCATTTTCGGATCTAAATTTCGGTGCGTATCCACAGTCGTAAATCACAAAATTAGTGTCATAAGAAAGGATATCTCATCTGTGGCCTATCTATGCCTTATAAAAATCATCCGCATTTTTTAAAAAATCGAATTGTCGGGAACACGTTTTGAATATTTACAAATAAATAACAGGAAATTGAAGATGAACGAAACACTTCGCGCACACCCCAATCGCCGAGTTAGTACGTATTAAATAGTACATATACGTACTAATACGAGAATACCGTACTGGAATCACATCCTTGTGATCTTGTGCCACTAAAATCAAAAAAAGTTCTTTCCTTATATAATACTGTAAGCCGTGAAGGGAGAACCGCGATCACATGGAAAAATATTATTTTTATTTGTTTAATTTCGAAAACTTAAAATGGAAACGTTTAGTTTGAATCCATCACATTTAATATTTTATCCTTGTTTCGATTGTTAGTATTATGAATCCAATCTCATTAAACTACTCCCATAAAAAAGATTGTTCATTGCTTAAACCTTATACTGACTATGAAAGCCAATGTGAAACAATCAGCTTTTTATTTTTATTTACTTTTAGATAGAAATATGTAATACTCGAAAAACAAGAAGAAATATCTGCCAGATTTCTTATTTGCCAAGTTTAAGATACTCTTTAATTGCATGCTAGTCGATGTTAAAATCTGAGAGATGATGCTGGCAATCTTCCCATTGTTTTATCAGCTCAATTTCAAAATATTAAATTACAGAAGTAAATTAATGAATAATCTATAAGAATAGTTGGTGCATTGTAATTTTTGTATGAAAAAAAAAAAAACTTTTGGCAGGTGCTCAGCAATTCTTAAATGTAGAGAAAACATGGAAAAATTACAGCTAATTTCATCTCTCTTAGCTAACTTATTTTTGCATCGTTATGAAGAAAATTATACTCTTAATATTAAATTTATTGATGATTTAATTATCTTTAATTTTCAAGTTTATACTATTTTATTAAGTAATATTTATCCCGAGGAATTAATCTTGCTTCGTATTCATGATGATAATATTAATTAAAATTTTTGGGATTTGGGTATTATAAAAGAAGAAAATATCTGCTTGTTAATTTATATGATAAAAGAAATGATTTTAATATAAATAAACTAATTACTTGGAATTCTAATGTTTCTAATAGCATCTATCTAAATACCATTTTTAATCAAATGAATAAATTTAAAAGAATATGCAGTAATTTTTATTTATCCAAAACAGACAAACTCTTTCAAAATTTGATAAAAAAAAAAACAATGGATATCCAACTATAATTAAATTCTATGTAAAATCATTGAGTTTAATTGTTTATTATTGTAAATAAATTTACTCAAAAACTTCTTTGTTAATTTATATAATTTTTACCATGTGCAAATCCATGGCTAAAATTATGTGCAAAATAGGCAATACATGTTTCTTTCTCTTTTTCGATTTCATTTTATTTTTTTCTTAAATAAAAGTTAATTTTCTAAAATTATTACTTGTCAAATTCTTTAAATTATCCAGTACAATATTACCTTGTGCACATCCAGTTTCGGGCTCATCCTTGGTAACTAACAAATCAAATGTACTTCAGTACTGCAGTAAGAACACACTATAAAACAAAATCCCTCTATTTACGCTTTTACCTCAATTTGCGCTTCTTTTTTCATATTTTGTAATCTGGCAGTCTTGTTAGGAAAATATTTTGAATCAATCTTGAAAAATTTCCCTTTCATGTAAGTTCATTTGAATTCGCTACTCGCTTTATAGATTTCGTTGTATGTTTTATTCTGTTTTTTCTTTATATTTTATTTTCTGTTGTGATGTGATATTTTTACTTAATGTGTTCTATTTTATTTGTTGTAAATTTTTTATTTGAGTGCACCTCACACTATTCTATTGATATATTTTGCTTTGGCTATATTGATACAATATTAGAAAGCACTCCTTTTCGCGGATATAATCGTGTGAGCTGATGAAAAGGTTATATCTTTTATTTTCCGGATTTTTATTAATTATTTTTCCTTTTTTCAGAATTTTTTTTTTGTCAATTTTTATTATTTTTCTTTGTCTCTTTTTTCATTGTTCTGTAATTTTTCCATGTTTCTCTACATTTTGAACCTTTTTTTATGAGTTCTATTCACTTGCAGCTTATGCACAGTAAATAAAACTTATTGTTTTTCTTACTTTTCTTCATTTTTCTTTTCTTTTTGTCCTTTTTGTATTTATTTATTATGCTTTATATATATACATATAATTTATTTATTATTATTTTATTATTTTTAATTATTACAAGGCTTTCTATCTCCAAACCTTGTGTAACTATATAGCAAAAATGACCGAGATATTTTCCTGCAGCACATTATTTCCCCAATTGATTAGAAAGGGAGAAACTGGTTTTTATTCCAACAAGGAGTCCAAGTTCAAAATAATTGGGACTAATATATTCAGAGGGTTAAAATTTAAATGATACAATTTAAAAAAAGAAGTGCCATTTATGAATGTATTTACATGAACTTATGGTACACAACATTTTTGGATAGAATAAAATGGTTTTCAGTGGCTGCAATAAACTTAATTTTTATAACAGTTTATAATAACTTAATAATTTCTTAGTATACGAAGAGCAAAATATCATATTGTCTCAAAAAGAAAATTTAAGTAAAAAAAATTAAATACTACGAATTTTAGTAAAATTGAATTATAGCAAGCAAGCCTAATACTTTCTGAATGTGTATCTACATTTATTTTGAATGTGTGTTAGTTTAAGAAAAATTTTCATTTTAAAGTTTTTTAAAATTAGTTTGAAAAACAATTAAATTTCTTATGACGTTATGCAGTTTTTTCTACTTTAGAAAGACTGTGGCTGCTAGTTACGTATGTCTATTTTAAACATGTTTTGCTCTTGGTGAATATGTTTTGGGGAAATATTACTTACTTAATCAAAACACTTTTTAAATGTATTTTAAACTTTCATGTGTTGTAAATTATGCTTAATTTGTTTGTTAACATTCATAACTGTATTTTAAAATAATTGTTAATGTAATGAGATATATTGTTTTAGGTAAATATGAGATTGATTTATTAACTAATGTAATACATGCAAATCCATGGGCTTTTATTAATTAATTCAAGGTCTCCTGAATTTTTCCAAGTTTCAGGACCCTTATCTCTCAATGTCTCAATCATGTATCTCCTGTAGCATGACATTTATTACCCACATTTAATGTATGTTTCAGGTATGTAGGGTTATGAAACAGAAACTATAGAAATAAGAAATTTGAATTTAAACATAATTGATACAACTCATACCTAAAGGAATGAAATTGATTTCTTGAATTATTTTATAAAATTCTTTTAACCTCAAAGGTTTTAAGACTTGTAATTAGTATATTGTTTATGGATTATAAATTGTTAATAATTAAATATGTTTCTATTTTAATAAGTCTTTTACTTACGTAGCCCTTCTGTATTGGATCGGTTAAATGGTTTGCTAGAACCAAATGGAGTTCTGTCTCTTTCGGAGCAGGGAAGTCTGCAAGGAGAACTTCGTATTATCAAACCACATCCTGATTTCAGGTATTAATTGTTAGGCGTTTTTAAATTTTTAATTCTTTAAGCAATTATTTAATAAGTAGTTTTATTTATTGATTGTTTAAACTATTCTTATTAATTAATCAAAACATATTTACATACAAATGTAAAAAATCTTAAAGTATTCTTCTAGACTTAAAGGAATGTTTTAAACTCAAGCTTGGGAAACGGTGGTTCAATATTATATTGGATTATGTATTTGAAGCCTTTATTATAAGCTTTTTTACATGAAATCTAATATATTCAAATATGTTCGAAAAAGCTCTGTTATCAATAAAAGCAGTTAAAATAAAATAAGAGGTGACTTTTATAGTCAGCTCAGTAAACCTTATGTTAAAACTGTAACTTCTTTATCTTTCTAAAAATATTTAATGTGTGGTTGAGAAAAAAAATAGTGAAATAAATAATTAAATTAATTGATTTTACATGAAATTAATAATCCACTTTAAAAATAAATCTCTAAGTATTAAAGTGTATTCTTAATGTGAACAATAAAAATGAAACTCTAAAGAATAAAATTAAGTCAATTTATAAGTATCATTCAATATTAATTTAAATAAATATTGAATGGAATAATACTTACAGAAATAAAATGTTATAATAAGTTGTCGTTTTAAGGTCTTTTTACTATCTTATTTTGTTTCACAAAAGTAAAAATTATGCAACCTTTTTTGCTCCAAAAACATTATTCCTTATATTTAGATTTGTTGATTTGTCAATCTTATTATTAAAATCTATTGTGTATTTTTTAAGGATATTTTTGACTATGAACCCACAAAATGGTGAGATCTCAAGAGCTATGCGTAATCGAGGAATAGAAATTTATGTAGAAGTAGGTGTTAATAGTTCATTTTTTTAAATTTATAGAAACAATTACTTTTCTTTTTATTAACTTACCTGATCATTTTTTCTTCTTAGCCATTGTATACCAAAACTTCTCATGGCGAAAGTATCATGGATGATTGGAGATTTAGACTTGATATTGCTGCCTTTTCTCAGTGTAAAAATTTTTCCCATTCAGGAGTGGTCTTTGCTTTGATGCACCTTCATATGATTTTAGATAAAGATAAATCTTTAGGTAATTTCAAAATATTTATCCTTATTAAAGATTTATTTTACCTTTAGAAGAAGGAAAATGGGTTTCATTAAATGTTTTATTAATTGTTATTATTCGATTGAGGTGGTTAAAAAAATTCCTAAAAAGTAAATTTAGAGGATATCTGAATATGTCTTATGTTATTTCTAAGAGCAGGATGGTTAAAGAAAAGGGAATTCTATAAATCTGGAAAAATCGAGGAATTTGAATAAAGTACTCAGAAAGTCTGGGGAAATGAATTAATGTAAATCAAATTGTAATGTTTTTACAAAAATATGAGACAAGTACTTTTTTTAAAATTTGTTTGTCAACTTAATTTAAGTAATATAATTAACAAATATAAGTGTTTTAATTTATTTTATGCATCAGAATAATGTGTATAATGTTACAATAATGTAATAATATTATAAGGAAATTTAATAAAATCTCAGTTTGTAAAATTCAAAGAATTTTTTTTCTGAGTGTTTGTGGCTAAACTGAATAGGTGTTAAATTGTTATGCTTCTGTTAAACAATATTTTTACAGTTAAGTTATTTGAGTAATTGCTTCAAAATTTGGGAATTTTATTAATTGATGAGATCCAGCCGTAAACAGATAACTAATTTGTCTACTTGTAGAAATGTAATGAAAAAAATTTATTTTATTTTTTTTAAAATTTGTTATTGGTTGCAAGTTAATATTAGCAATAAGTATATCTTTGCTTTCTTTACGACTTAAGAGAAAACATGGGAGAATATGGGTCATGGGAGAATCATTGTCATGGGAGAATATATATATATATTAAGGCAGGTAAAGCAGCATTTGTTTTAAAGCATTTTTCCCACAGTATAGTATCAAGTATTCCAGTACTTTTTTTTTTTTTGCAGATGTATATATGTTTTAAATTATTGTTTAGTGTTTTAGCTTGACAAAATTGTATACTCATATTTTTTAAGTTTTAGAACAATTTGTTAGTGTTAATAATAAATAAAACAAAATTATTCCCCATTTTTTCTTTAAATGCTTTAGTGAAAAGGTAAATAAGATAAATTTATACATTTTGAAATTGATCTTTTAGAATGTTACTAAACAACTTAACATTTAGTAACAAATCGGACAATAATGATTTCTGAAATGTTACTAAACATATTATTTCTACTGACACTTCAACTATGTTTTTTGCTTTGCCTTAAGTTCATCATTATTAGAGTACCTAGCATTTTTAAAAGGTGCTTATTTTTGATTTACGTTTTTTAAAAGCCTTTAAAGGGCTTCTTTTTATTCGGGCTTTGTAAAAATTTCTAATTTCCTATCTTTTAAAAAGAGATTTTTTTTGCCGTGTTGATTGTTGTTCTAAATTACAAAGAATGCATGATTTTTGCAATTTCTCTGCAATATTTATCAGAACCTAGTTATTTAATCATGATTATGTAAAGTTTTTTAAAATGTTTTTGAATTTTATTGATTTTATGTTTATAAATTAAGAAGTTTAAACGATAGAAAAAAATTATTTTTATTACTGCACAGTCCTAACTATGATTTTTTTTTTTTCAAAAGGGATTAAAAATATTTTTTGAGTGCTTAAAAAGTACTTGAAAGGTGCTTTTTTTTGTTGAAAAATCTGACTATATACTCTGATTATGTTTTAATAATTTCTGAAGTTTTTGAGAGATATGTTCAGAGCAATAGATCAGTAAGTTTATTGGACTTTGTCAAAATATTTTTATAGATATAAGTTATATGTTAGCCTTTTTCAACATGAATTATTATGACGCAACAAGTTGCTTCGTTTACTTTTGTTATTAGTTCTCATTGAACTCAGTTTCTTAAACTCTGAGTCTTGTTGTATGCATAATAACTTTTTTTTTCATTGGTTTCAGGTGTCTCTGTATCTGATTTTTATAATGCTTCATCTTTGTGTGCCCAACTATTACTTAAATATGATGATCCTAGAGAGGCCATCCTTAAAGTTTTTGAATTTGTTTACTGTAAAAATCTTTCTACCACTCAAATGAATACAGTAAGTTCATGTACTATTTATTTAGAGACATATTCAATTGTAAATTTTTTAAAAAATAATCTTTTATGATTTGTTTTCTCCTATTTAAGTTTTTATTAAAATTATTTTGGAAATTATACTTTACATCAAGAACTTGATGCTTTTGTAGAAGATTAAAAAAAAATATGCTGTTCCAAGGTACTATAATTTTCAGCAAATTATGATCAAAAATATTAATGTAAATGCAGATGTAGGTGTACAAGTACATGTTTGATACATAAGTAAATTAATAGATAAAAAGTTAATAGTTTTGAATTTTTTTTGATAATTTTGTGAAAAATTACTTACAGCAATTTTTTTTTGTGTGGATATTTTTTCTTTGTGCTTCTAACTGATATATGTTTTTATTAAATCTTTAGAAAACTCTAGAACTATGCAAAGATGGTATTAAATCCTTGCGAGACATATTGCCAGATCTACAAATTCCTGTTATTAATCTGTTACCAACATCAGTAGATTACAGACAAAATTGTGTGATGGCATGTTTTAAAAAACAGATATTTCCATTCGTATATATTCTTCATGAGTTTCAGTTTCATGTGGATAAGTAAGAATTACATTTTTGTTTAAATCTTTGTGTTTAAAAAGTAAATTAATAAAAACAACTGTCCTTCAAGTGGTATTTGTTTCTTTCCCCATTTTCTTATCATATACTGATTGTCAAAAATTAATAAAAATTTGTTATTTTTTACTTTTTTATATCATACTCTATTGTAACTGCCATATCCTATTGTTTATTAAACTCCAAATACGCACCATTCTAGTTTATATGGTTATTTTTAAATTAATTTTCCATTGAGACTTTAGCAACACACTATTTCATCGAGAATTATAACATTTCATTAAAAATTCTAACAGCTCCTTCTTTAGTGCTTGGCGGTCGATATAAAAAAAAAACACAGTATAAGAAAGACTCCTGATTATGTCTTCTGATTCACGTATGCACATCATCAAATCTAAGATATAATTATGATGCAGGATATAAATCTAACAGCATTAAGTATATTGACCATGAAATTTCTCTAATAATATGATTACTTTCATGTAAAATAAACTAGTTTACCCCCAATTTATTCTTTTGAAAAAAAGTCTCTGAAGCAGATAATTCATTGTAAATAATCCAAATATTTAATATGTAGTGTGCTAAAAGCATCACACAATTTAAAAATTATTTAAAATAAATATATAAAATTTGATGGTTCTCTCTCTAATTAATTTTTAAGAATTTTTATTTTATTTATTTGTCATATTTCATCCACTATATTTATTTCTAATTTTTTGTTTCATTTGTTTTATTTTACAGTGTAGGTGACAATTCATCCTCTGTAAATCAGTTCGGATCTGTGTATCCAACCATCCAATATGCTAACAGCACTAACACTGAACTGAAATTTCAAACTATTTTGTATTTATTGTTCCAATCATGCCCTGTTAGTTTACTCCAGTTTTTTAAAGCATGGGTCTTTCAAACAATTGAATCCAAAATGCAGCAAGAATCCAATGATTCTAAAATAAAGATTATATTTGCCTCCTGTTTGAGATTCCTTGAAATCCTTATGATAGAAACTGAAAAACCTATTGCCTTAAGGTTAAAGAAGCTGATTGGAGATATGTTTAATTATGCAGGTAAGCTTTCTAAGACAATTTTTTTTAAAGTCTTATTTAGAAATTGTAGTTAGGATTTTAAAATTACAAGTACAGATTTTAAGAATTTTCCGTATTAAATTTTTCTTTAAAAATGTTTTGTCTATTATTCTAATTGGTTCTTGTGACATAAATCTGTCACATTTTGTATTATACTGTTATATTTACCCAAATACGTGCAATGGATGTTGAGATAGGTTTTGTTTTGAATTAAAGGTTAAAAAAGCTAAAAATTTTGTGGGACAAAATTATTTAAAGTATATTTCCAAATGTTTATAAATTTTTTAATTTGGTTGAAAAATTTAACCCCTGAAAACTTTGTTATTATTATTCTACATTTGTACTGTGTGTAGCATAAAGACTAGTAGCTAATAAAAAATTTTTTTTTTTAAATTTTTTTTTATGTACTAGTTATTTTATTCCTTACTAGTGTATGTTTTACTTGAATACAATTGAGCTCCAGGATTCCTGGATACTCATGTTATTATTTTTTTATGTGTTTTATTTTTCTTTTTGTTTCTTTTATTTATCTATCAAACAAATGATGAAGAAATTTAATTTATATTTAAGTTTATTACTTTGATATGTAAAATTAAATTAATGCAATATTTTTTGTAGCATTTACTGACGTAAAAGAAAAGGAATTACCTATGGATCCACGTTGGAAACCATATATTTTTGGAAAGTTTCTCCGTCATATGAAACAACGTCCAAATTATGATGATAATGAATCCATTCTTGAAGAAAAAATAACGAGTTGTGCTAATAAGTATGGTTCTTTTTTTTAATTATTTGAATGCAAAAGCACTTATTGTAAATCTGTTACTTTTGTTGCTTCAAAATTTTTAAATTTAAAAGAGATTTGAAAAGTAATACAAAAACTTTAGTTGTATTATAAAAGCTTCTGACTTATAAAAATTTCTAAATGATTTGTATCAATTTTTTTGCAATAAATAAATTTTAAATTAAATTTAAATTTTGTTTAGGAATATTTCTGGTTTTCTATTTTTGAAAGTACCTCCCTGTTTTCAGAAAAGTCTAACAAAAGTTTTGTTCTTATAACTAAGCATGATGCTAAGAATATTTACTAATAAGTATCTAAAAATATTACCTTTTTCCTTCGATATTTCGCTTGCTGTTGGTGTGAGTTTGATCAAATGCATTTAATAAAAACGTTACAAATATCAGCTAGAGACTATAACTCTTTCTGCTACTAATCAGAGTCCTCAAGTTTAGAAATCAATATTAAAAAAATGTTTTTCATTCTTAATAAAAATTATGTATGATGACTTTTTTTTCAAATATTCGCTTGTTTCTTAGCAAGTAATTTCAATAAAAAAATTTTAGGTGGTGACTTTTGTTTTTAAATTGAAAAGAGAATTTTAAACGATACTATTAGGATTTTGCTGATTAAATATGACAAAAAAGACAAATATTGATAACTAAAAGATTTTATCAATGTTTCTATTTATAGAACTGGAAATTAAAACAGAAAATCAAAAAATATTTATATTTATAAATTTGTTCAGATTGTTTCTAAAGTTAAATATATTTATATGTTTTTTTTCTCTTTTCAGATACCATTTATCTCTTCTTCTAAGACTTATGCAATTAAAGTTAGCTAATTCAGACAAAGACCGTTCAACTTTGTTCAAGCTATGCCAGACTGGAGAGATTTCAAATATCATTGAAGATAATAAAGCTTACAAGTTCAATGTGATTTCCAAATTCCGAGACTGCCTTTTAACTATTATAAATACTGTAACTAAAATGGTTGAAGATGATCTTCCAGTCATTTGTGATGAATCATTCTGGAAAGTAAGATATATCTAAAATTTTAAAAGGTTTTGAAAAAGATTTATGTTACTTTAAACTCAATCAGAAAATAAATTTTAATAACAAAATAGTATAATACACCAGCTATTCTGAATTTTTTTCGACTGTGGAACCACAAATGGTCAGTCTTCTTTTGACCGAACCCTGAGATTTAATGAATAAATTTCATTAGTAATTGTGAACTTATTAATTAATTAAAGACTATTAATTATTTTAAAAGCCTGTAATAATCTGAAAATTTTTAATTATTTTGAAAATATTTAGTGAAAAATATTTTTATCGTATCCTTTTTGTCAATCATACACTTAAAATTAGATTTTATGTCAGAAGGTTTAAGTCACAGGTTTGGAATGGTATCTAGTCTAGTTCTTAATTTAATTTTTGTTCATGCTTAAGCTGAAAATGAGTGAAATGAATTATGGTTTACGTTAAAATATATTAATTCTGAATTTTTTTCGGCTGTGGAACCCCAAATGGTCAGTCTTCTTTTGACCAAACCCTGAGATTTAATGAATAAATAGTAATTGTGAACTTATTAATTAATTTAAGACTATTAATTATTTTAAAAGCATGTAATAATCTAAAATTTTTTAATTATTTTGACAATATTTAGTGAAAAATATTTTCATCATATCGTTTTATCAATCATACTCTTAAAATTGGGTTTTATGTCAGAAGGTTGAATTCACTGCTCTGGAATGGTATCTAGTCTAGTTCTTAATTTAATTTTTGTTCATGCTTAAGCTGAAAATGAGTGAAATGAATTATGTTTTACATTAAAATATAAGCTAAAAAAGAAAAAAATAATAAACATTGAGAATTGTTATCAGAGAAACATACTTCTTCAATTGAATTTCGTTATTTTATCTTTGGGAACTCCATTTTGGGAACCGCTGAAAGGATAGACAATAAAATTTATTGAAAAGAGGCCATAACTATTTGGGGTGCTAAATTGTCTAATAGAAAATCAAATATATATATATATATATATATATACATATATATAAGATGTACTTTGTAATAAGCAAGAATAAAATATTTTATGTTCAAAAATGTGCTGGAAACTGATTAAAAAAAACCTTTAATTTTTTATTTATTTACATTGCACGGAAAATGGATGAGCTTCACGCAGACCTGTATAATATATGCGAATGCCGTTCGCAAAAAATTTGTCACCATTGCGAAAAATATTTTTTTCTTTTCACATTCACGCAATTTCAAATTCAAATATCATGATTTGTATTAACATGATTTTAAAATCAAACATCGCGATTCGTATTCACGCGATTTTAAAATTAAATGCGCAGATGCATATTCCCATGATTTAAAAATCACACATTGAGATTCATGCTCATGCAATTTAAATAAATGAAATCTCGCATTGACATTTTAATTGAAACGTTGATATTATTCTATGGATAACTGCTTCCTACTATTGATATAACAAATATTCGGTTGGCCGAATGTTCGGCAAAGTATTTGGAAGACGAGAAAAAAATTTCGGGACTGGTGGAGACGTTTTAATAGATTTAATAAGGAATAATCTAAAATCAAATTTTTTACTCAACTTTGTTAGGAATAGTTTTTAAGCATATTTGTTAAGTTTTAAAACTTGTTAATTTATTTTCTGAAAGTCACATTGGAAAGTAAAATTTAAAGAATTGAAACTAGACAACTTTATACTAAACCATCAGTTTTGTCAAGCTGATTTTTTTCTTCTTTTTAATTATATTCAGGCAAGTCAATTCCTTGTTTTTCAATATTTAATGTTTTAAAAATTGAGAACATTTTTGCTTGTTATTCTATTTTAACTAAAGTAAACCACGTGCGTAGAGTGTTTCTAATAGTCCTTATTCTTTTATTGTCCTTTTTTTTCTTTTATGGTAAGACAGATAACGAGTAGCATAGATTACTATACTGTGATTCTCTACGTTAAAGTTCAATTTCAGATTCGAGAACAATTTTTTTTTTCTATTTCTTGTTTGATTATTGAACTAACTTTACTTTTTATTAGCGTTTTTATTAATACAGCATTTTTTAAAGAGCGCGTTTCTAATAACTTTTTTTTTATGGTCAGTTTTAATTTTTTTTTTAAATTAAGGCAATGTGAAACAGTTAAATTAAAATTTTTAGTATTAAACCTTTCATTTTTAATTCAAGATATATTTTTGTTTTGGTTTCTATTTAGCCTTTTTTTTTCCAAAAGACTTTATAGTTGTTTTTATTATTTTATTATATGCAGTAATTAAAATGGTTTCTATTAGACTTTAATTTTCACCTTTTTTTTTGAAAATACAGTAATTGAAAAACAGAAATGTATATATTTAAAAATATTTTCCAAAAATTAAAATCTTATGTTATTTTTTCTGTTTTGCTTTTGTATATAATATTTGTTTTATATATAGGCAATTTTATGATAAGAGCTGCATTTTTAACAGCGTTTCTCGTAGACATTATCTCTTTTGATGTCTTATTGATAATTTTTTCCTGGAAGATATTATTTTTAGAATTGAAGTTTTGTTTTAGGTATTATGAGGATATTTTTTTCAACTGGACGATTTTTATTTTCTTATAGCTGTTAGTTTTTTTCCCCTTAAATATTTATTATCATCTTAATATCTAGTTATCTTTATACTCTTAAGCATTTATATTAAAGTTTTTTTTCCCTTTACCCCACGCTAATTATACAGCTAAGGTTTACTTATTTTTCAATAATATTTGTCAAACTTTTATGTAAAAAATATTTATTCATAATTCTTTTTTTTTTAAATGTTGCTATTCCGCCATTGAATATTCAGTATTCTGTCGAACATTCAGTGTTTGGCTATTGTTATATCCCTACTTCCTACATACACTTTTTTATTGCTTAAATTTCAGGTATTTTTTAAATTATTAAAAAATCTTTTTTGGACATAACATTTTTGTATTTCTCTTTTCAGCTCTAGGTTTTTTACCAAACTTATTTCAGTGGTATAAATCAATATAAAGTTCTATAAAAATTCCGCAGTTTTTTTTCAAACTAATTTTGTCAAAATGGGGTGACGAGGAAAGGGTGGGAACACCAATTAATTAGTTACACCTATTAATCAATGCTTACAGAAAGTATTTTAAATTGATATTTTGTGTTCGAAGAAAGTTTTTAATTTATATCCAAGTCTGACTTTACATATGGTTTATGCCTTTCTTCGGCTATTATTTAATGTTAATAATAAGTTCCAGTAATACACTGACGGCAAAAGCAGTACATCGCTGAACATAAAATCATTTAAACTATACCTTGTCTTGTAGTAGTTATTTTTTTGTAATGTCAGGGTTGCCACTCCACAAAGAGAATAGGGAAAACCTGGAAAATACAGGGAATTTAAAAATCACCTAAAATAACAGGGAAAATGCAAGGAATTTTGATTTTTTCTTTACAAACTGGGAAAATACAGGGAATTTTTATTTTTATTTTGGTCTTTTAAAAAATGGTGACCACTCAAAGCGTAATCTATGGGATGTTTAACCATGATACTTCAGCTATGCTAAACTATTTCATTTACCATAGCATTATGTAAGTATGTTCAGCTGTTTTTCCAGCAATTGAAACTAATAAATATAGTTAGCCCAATATAGCTCACACGAGAGCACAGTAATTGTTTCTTCTTAATATATTGCGTATAACATGTACAGGGAAAACACAGGGAATTTTTTTTCCAGATTTGAGTGGCAACCCTGAATGTTTTATGTATTATCTATGTTTTCTGTAGTTTAAAATTACTTAGGCAACCTTTCTCTTTTTATTACATATAAAATTTAATTTTCTAATGCACTAATTTGCTGCTAGTTTACATGCAGTTACCTTAAATTTTCAAAATCATTGAAATTCAAAAAGATACAAATTTCTTTATGAATATGTCAAAGTGTAGTGTCAAAGTGTAGTTTTGTTACTTATTCATAATTCTCTGTATTTATTTCCCAGCTGTATGAAATTATACTCCTTCTCTCCTCTTGTCTGCAAATTGGGGAAACTCCCCTTGATAAAAAGTTTTTTCTTAGAAGTATTGACTTTGAAATGAAACGGCTCATTCCAAATTTTCATTCTTTAAAGAAAAAAATTCTTCGACTATTTGAAAGTAATGATGGGTAAGAAAATTTGGTTTATCTGTTTATTTATTTATTGCATAGATGAATTATGTAGTGTATTAGCAGCAACTAAATTAAATTGAAATTTATACTAGTTCTACATTAGAATTTTTTTTATTCCCTTTTATGCTTCAAAGATAAATTATGTGAAATAGAGAAAAATTTGCAAATAAATTTAGCTTAACTTACAAATTCCTTTTTTTAGCATTCAACTATGTATTGCAGCATTTTAGGTTATAAAAGCTTATAATTAAAAACTTCCTGTTTTTTTTTTCTTCAAAATTTTGTATTAAATTATAACTATATTTTTCAGCAATTTTTAAGTAAGCTTTTTACTTTTAGTATGAATTCTATACATTACTTTCGTTCTAAGAACTTAAATATTTTCCATACTTGTTTATTAAAGAATATAAATAAGGTTGATACCTTCAAGCAATTAAATTTAACTCCATAAAATTTTTGTGTATCTTGACTTGTATCTTAATTTTAATATAAAAGAAAACTTTTTTTAACTGTTAAACCTTTACCTTTTTATGCAATTTTTTTTTCACTATTGTACCTCAAAGGATTACTGAAAGGGAATCTTTTTTTTAAAAAAATTTAATTATTTAAAAATTATTAAATTTAAAAAAAAATATTTCAACTAGCCATTTTAACTAACCATTTTCAACTAGCATAATTTTTTAAACCATAAAAAGGAAACTTAAATGGACATTGGAGCTCAGTAGCTGCAGCACCATATTAACCATATTTTTCAGCAACTTTCAATTAAGTAAAACGATCGGGACCATCGCTATTCAGGATAACTGATTTTTCCGGCTTTCTGAATCGCTACAAAATGCCGTTTTTTTTATTGTTAAACCTAACTAAAAAAAATATATATTTGGAAATAATCTTAAAAAGAAGAAAAAACGATGAAGTAATACACTAATAATTATTTCCAAAATGATGGTAAGGTAAACATCTTTAAAAAAAGAAAGAAAAATCCTAAAATTTTATGAGGAAAAAAACATTTAAAAAAAAAATGAATGGAAATTTATTGAATTTCGTTCCGGTTTTTTGGTTTTCCGGATAACGGGTTCTGTACTGTATAAACTCTACACTGTACTTACATTCTAAGAGCTTCAATATTTTCCATACTTGTTTATTAAAGAATATAAATAAGATTGATACCTTCAAACAATTAAATTTAACTCCATAAAGTTTATGTATCTTTACTTATGTATTAATTTTAATATAAAAAAAAACTTTTTTTTAATTCTTAAATTTTTACCTTTTTATGTAATTTTTTTTTCATTATCATACCCTCATGCTTTATGCAACTTAAAGATATTTTTATATTAATTATTTTCTTATTATATTTTCTCATCTGTTTTATTCACTTGTACCATGCATATTTTCATTATTATAAATTACTATCAGAAACATTTTCTTTAATTGCAGATTTAAGTCAAACAATAGGTTGCTTAACCAGTTTAACACCATCAATCGAGCCCTAAATGCATCAGACAAAGACAATACTATTTGTGTCAAAGTTGCTAATAAAATTGGTTTCCCATTGAGCTTTATCAGCGAAAAAGAATTCAGACTTTGGACTTCCCTTCAGGAGTAAGAATTTATGCTTATTTATACATTATGATATTAAATCCAAGCTTGAGATTCTTCTGACTTATATTGGAATTTTCAAGTTTCTAAACTTTTTAGAAAAATGCTATCAATTTAGATATAGAAAAAAATATGCAATAAAATTAGCTTTTTTGTTCTCCTCAAGACTCATTTCCAACATAAGGAAATAAAAACAGTTTTCTCAAAATAAAAATATTTGATCAAATTTTTTGAGAGAGTGTAAGTAACTGTCAACAACTGCGAGACAATAATGAAAGAATATGCTACGTTAAATAACTGTTTTTTCATAATATTACTAAAAAATTTTGTTGTTTTACTTTATTATTACTTTCTTTAATCAATTATTTTTAAAGCTTAACGACAGTAAAGAAACTTAAATTAAGAATGTGAATAGCTTAAATGTTTTTGTTTTGTGCAAAATAGTTTTACATACTTTTTTATTTATTTTCTTATACTTTGAGTTTGTAGGTATTTTCAGATTTTTTGCTCTTTTCCCACCTTCATACCTAAAGATTTTTTTTAAAATTTATCTTTACTTCCAGATTCTTTGTGTTTCATGCATATGCATGAATCTTCACAGCTCTGATTTATCGCTGAGCTTTTTTAACATTTGGAAATTTAATGTATCAAAAAATCTTATATTATGTCATTTTTAATTGAGAAAAATTCAAATGGAATTTATGTATGTAGACCAAAATTTCTTTTTATGTAGTTTTAAATTTCTGCCGATATTCATTTTATGCTATTCTTTTATGTTTTAGAATATTTTCTGCTATATACCTTGTAGACAGAATTCAAGATCCTAATTTGTCCTTAAAAGATCTTAAACTTATAGTTACCAACCAAGAAAATTGGGCTATATCTCTTGTAAAAGTTCTTCTTAGAAATCCTGCTCATCGATACCAAAAAGATGGAATGCAAAAAATTCTTAAAATATTGGATCCTGATTACTCAAAGGGTAATTTATCCTTCTTGTATATTTTTATGCTTAAATTGTCTTTTTAAGTGCTTAATATGGCAAATAGTTACAGCTAGTACTAGTGATGGACTAGTACACCAAGTATGAAATGGGGTATAAGTATAATTTTTATTTAATATTTTAACAGAGAATCTAATTAGGCCTTAAATCGGAAGCTGTTTCGTTGTTCATTTCTGTCAGATTATTATTAAAATGCAGGAATTTGGACTTATTTATTATTTATTTGGATGTTAAAATATGTGTTTGTAAGCATGAGATGATCAATTTCCCAAACTATTTCACAATTGGGTGAAATCGGTCTTGAAGAAAAAATTGACTGACAAATTCTGTCTTTCAGTTTTGAATATTAATTTCCAGAAAAAAATTATAATAATAATAAAGTTTACCCTTAAAATAGTTATTCTTATGAAAATTGTAATGCAAATTAGTGAATAGTGTCTTATTAAAACTTATTTGGGGATATTCACTAAATTACATATGAAATCTGATTTTATGTATGTGTTTCTGCCAGTGGCCCCCATCCCCCCAAGCTTTTAGGCGCATTCATCCCCCCCCCCAAAAAAAAAAATTTGCTAACTTCCCCCTTCCATGTTAGCTTGTTCGAAATAGTGCTAGTTTGCTTGCATTCTACTCATAATATGACTAATGCAGACCTTGATCCTGATTGTGAATGCTGAAAATATGTTTAAAGCAAAAATAAATAAATTGAAAAAGAAGGCACAGAAAATAATTGAAAATGGGCTGACTAAAACTATTACAATAAATGATAAGTTGTTGATGGCACCTGTAGATTAATGAGCTCAGAAGTTTTAAACTAACAATTAAAAAAAATTTGTTTATTGAAATAAGATGAGGTAGATTTCCAGAATTTCCTTACGTATTTTGCTTTGCACCTACTAATAGTCAAGTTATGTATGCCTGAAAATAGAAAGTTGCTTCTTTTATTTATGTACTTTACAAAAAAAAATCTCTCCTCTAAATTCCCCCCTAAACTATTCATTTTATTTAGTGTAAAAATCCCCCCCCAAGCTTTAAGTGGGCGCATTTTGCGCCCACCTTCCCCCCTGATGGGGGCCCTGGTTTCTGCCTATTTTACATCACATCTTTATCAATTAATTAAAAAAAAAATTAAATAATAATCTGAAAAATCTTAACTATAAGAATTCTCTCAGCTTATTTGAATTATATTTTCTAATTGCTAATAAAAAAAATATATATAAACTGTTGTATTCAATAGCTTTTTTTCTAAAAGGTTTAAAAAAAAATTAAAAAAAAAAAAAATTTGTTTTATAATTTTTAAGTGTTGCACCCATATTTCACAACAAAATCACACTTTCTAAGTTAATTTATATTGTTCCATTATTTGTGAGAAAGCTCTTAAATGATTACTTACTTGGATGTAACATCTATTTTCAGATTATATTAAATTTTTTTTTTAGTTTTACAGGGTGCGTAGCGTTTTTAAAAAGTGCTTAAGGGTGCTTTTTTTCAATTTTCGTTTTTTCAAAGCCCTTAAAGGTGCTTTTTTCATTGGGTGTTTTTAAAAAGTGCTTAATTTTCCCTTTTCCAAATTGAGATTTTTCGTTTGCCATGTTGATTTTCGCTACAAATTATGCTGAAAGACATTGTTAACATTGTTCTATTCAGTGTTTTCTCGAATAATTTAACCCCAATCTATTTCGGTGCATCGTCAGTCCGTAGCGTATGAAAACGCTATTCGATTTGCATGATTCAAAAATTTTAACAAGTGTAAAAAACAATGCCAAAAGTTTTTTTTTTGACATGATGGTTAAAACCAGATAAAACCGTCAATTGTCAAAAAACTTTCCAACCCTGCCTAATGATGATATTTTTTAAAGTGCTTAAAAGGTGCTTATTTTTTGTTGAATAATTTGGTTACGCACCCTGTTTTAGTGTTGCTTACATTTTGATTGAATTCAGGGTCAATGTTTCAAAAACTGTATAAAAAAAGCTTCAAAACTTTCAGTTTCAGTTTTGATGGAGTAAAAATGAATTTAAATCTTAATTTTCTGTTCCAGAATTAAATGTTGTTGAAGACATCAAATTGCAATTACATGAAGCTGGTCTTATCAATATTGATAATGATGACATAATGGAAATATGCCAGAATGCTCCGGCTGTCCCTACTATGTCAGATAAAGAACTAGCTTATAGAATCCAACTCTATCCTCTTTGGGAATACCTAATGATTCTCTGTGAAGCTGATATTTTGTCTAACAGTAATTTGTCAGTCCAAAATTTCATCGTGACAGCAGCTGTCCAGTTACTTGGATTGAATCCAAAGCGCTGTTTACAAATATTTCGTACAATTCGAGGAAATTTAGAGGTAAATATATTTATATTTTTTTATTTAAACGTTTTTTGTTTATTTTAGTTTTATCAGTGTTTCATTTTAAAACTGTTTTAGAATCATTATGTTGTTACTTTGAGTTTTACTGATTTAAGTTTAGAAATAAAATTTTAACATGCTTTATTTTTATTGAAAGGTATAGTTTTTATTATAAAATTTTAAATATCTAATGCATGTAATGTTATTCGTTTTTATGTTATAGTCCTTACTTTTGCATATCAACATATCCTATAGTTGCAGCAGAATTTCTGTAGTTGCTGGGAAAATTTGGTGTAAACTATAGAGATACAAATTATGTATACAAACTAACTGATCAAAAATGCTATTGGTTGATTTAATCAAACCAAAAATTCATGTTATTTCTCCGCCATTTGCTTTAAAAAGGTGGAAGGAAGTTTGTTTCTTACCTTCGGAAGTGATAAACTAATTGTTCCAGGAAAAGTATGTCACAATCAGCTGATAAAAGTAGCTTTTAGGTCGGCTTTTTCAACATATTTCAGCCGTTTTTTTCTTTGATTTTTTTTTTTAATGTTCAAAATACTGGTGTGAACAAAAATGAAATAATTTTATGTCTAAAGATGAATATTAAGTATAGAAGAACTTTCTTTGGTGTTTAGTAGCATTACTTATGTCTGATGTAGTTTTTTTTATCTCGAGTTATACGCCTCGCTTGATAATTATTAAAACTGTTTACATTATGTATTTCTTTTAAATGTAGTTAATTACTAAAGGCACAAATGCAGCGGTCACCAATTGATAATTTGCTTACTAGTTTTTTTAAAATTATTATTTGTTGAGGGATATCTGAAAAATGGACAGTGGCAAAAATTTTATTTGTCAGGACAGTGGCAAAAGGATTCAATTGTTAATCCGATTAGGTAACAATTTCAATAAGTTTATGCTTTCCAATTTCAGTCTTATTTACTATTCTATTTTGAATGTAAACACTTGTACTTGCTCCTTTTTTATACATTATTTTTTATTTTAGGAAAAATATGCTTTTGATATGAACCAGTTCCTGTATTACACTAGACATGGCTTTTCTTCAAATGCTCTTGAGTGTTTGCAATTTTCACACGAAGAAGCATTTAACAAAAGCAATAAAGATGCAGATCATGTTTCTACCAACAATATCTGGAATAAAAACTACTCTTGGGCTAAACAAGCTCCTTTACTGACTTACATTTGCTCATCTTTATATGCTATTCCTACTGATTCAGTCTCACTAATGTGCCATTCATCCCTTGGTAACTCAAAACTTGTTGATGTACAACTAGAAGTTACCAAAAGAGTACTATGGGGCAATTTTGACAAGTTAACTGATACCAAACAATCTTTCTTGTAAGCTCTCTTTTTTTAAACTGATTTATTTTAGTATCGTATTGTGTCTATACGTTTATCAGTTATTATTTTGTCTTAGATGTAGTTTATGGTACTGATAACTGATTCAGGGCTCCCACTGGCCAGGGAGAACAGTTAAAACCTGCAATTGTCAGGGAATTTTACTTAAACTCCAAAAATCAGGGAATAGTCCGGGAAAGTTGCAAATTTTTTTTCTTACAAAAACCTGGAAAATTGCTATATTAGACCAGGAAATTAACTGTTCTTAGAATTTTCAGTAACAGTAATCATTAATTCAGATTCGAGTTAAAAATTTCACATTTTAGTCAAACTGACATGTTCCCATCTTCATTCAATGAAATTTTTTTTTGTTCACAAAATCAAATATTTGACATTACAAATAAAAAAATAAAAGTCTTGAAAAGTTGCATGGTATAGATATAATATTGTATGGATTTTCATTGAAATCTACCTGATATACCTGGAAAAGTCAAAGAATTTTTTTTCTGAAATTAAGTGGGAACCCTGTTGATTGTCTTAAGATTATTAAATATAAACATTTGTTTAAATAAGATCATTGAAAGTTTATATTTCAAATTAATTAATCATCCTAAAGTAGACATAAGTATTTTTATTATTCAGTTTGCTTATTCATTTTAGTTATGCTTACATAAAAAATAAATATTCAATGTTTTTTTTAATTCTTTTAGACTAACCAGTGCAAATATTGTAATTACTTGGTTTAATAATCTGGTGATGTATATTGCTAAAATGGCAGACTTTGAGGAGGAATTCGATGCTACTTCGAAAAGTGATGTTACAGCTATGTTTGAAAAACTAGGTATCACTTCCTTGTTTGTGACTGAGAAGGGAAATAATTTGGTTACACTTGCACTTGATAGTGTATTTAGCCTAAAAAAATCCATGAAAGGTAAGTTTTAATTTTAACATTTTTATTACGTGCATATAAGGTGTTAATAAAATAAGTTTAGATTTTGGAATCTTATAGTTGTAAAATGGTAATATCAAATTCAACCCAATTTATTTTAAAAATATATACCTGCTAGACCTTGGCCAATACAACCTACAAAGTTTGTATAAAGAATGTATAAAGTTTGTATAAAGATTCATGAATGAAATTTTTGCTTGAAAATATGTATTAAAGTGTTATCACTCATTTTTAAAATCTTTACTTTTACAGGATTTATTGGGTTGTTAAGGTGATTTTTTTGTAGTGAATAAATATTTTATTGAATTATATACTGTCCATTCTGGTTCAATACTTTTTGCCATTTTTCTGTCAGCATGATTCCTAGCTCATAAAACTTTTGTTCTTTGACAAAAAACTGATCTAGGTGATTTTTGACCTCCTCATTTGAAGTAAAGGTAATACTGTCTTAACAGTTTCTGCAGAAACCCAAGCAAATATTGTAGATAACCCATTTCTCATTGCCAGTGATGATGCTCTTCAAAAATGGAAATTTTTTTTGATGTTTGAGAATCAAATCACAGGTGTCTGATTTGACAGCACAAATTTCTTACAGTAAGATCATGAAGAACCCATATGTCTAGCTTTGAGAATAAACTTAGGCATTTCAAATGCTCTTATGCTATCGAATTTGACAAGTTGAATCTCTCAGTGAACTCACAACTACACTTGTTATTTGCCAGTTTGCATCAATTGATATCTTTATTGTATTTGAATCAATCATTGCCCTGTCACCTTCCATTGTCTTTGCCAAAAAAAAAGAGAAGAAAAATGTTACTGCTCGTGAAATATTTCAGACAACAGCCGGTTTTGATCTTTTCATTTTTAGAGCATGTGTTATGAGGTCCCACAAGTGTAAATGATGCATTAAATGCTCCGAATTCCCCTTCCCCACTGAAAATTCAAATTTGTTCCTTTTCTTACATTAAGATTGCTAAGTGTCTTATATTAAAATTAATAAGAAAAAATTATGTTTTTTAACACCGTGTTAGTGCATTTTCTGTCTTTAATTAAATAAAAAATGCTGAAAATATGCCACATAAGGCAATATCTCTTTGTTTCGGAAAGAAAAAGCAGGGATGAGATTCTTCCGCGGATTCGCGGATTTCCGCTTTTTTTCAGATTTTTCCATTTTTCCCGCTAANATAAAATGCTTTGATTGTGAAACTAATATTCAGATGTTAGCTCTCATCCCTGAAAAAGAGATTTTTCAAGTTGCTTTCATGGATTGACCATAGTTAGATTAATTAAAATTTATTCATTAAGTACAAATCTTCAAAAATTTTTTTAAATGCACTATCCTCTAAATATTTTTTTCTAGCCGTCTAGCTACCTCTAAAAGTGCACCACTCATAATTTCAGAGACTGTTTTTGATGTATGATGTTATCGAAAGTTTTATTAAGACATAAATTGTGATAATTAATCGCAGTTATATTTATTTTTATGTATTCTAAATGTTTAACTCATAATTTTCTTTTAATTAATTGTTAAAATTTGTAATGACAGTCATCAAGACTAAATGTGGTTAGATGTCTGAAATTTAGTAATCATCTTTTGAATACTTTTAACCGAATATATTTATAACTTTATAAATTCTAATTTTTCAGTTTTTAATGGTTCAAACTTGACACAATTGGTTTCTACTTCCTATGTATTGGTTGGAATGCTAACATTAGCCCTTTTTACTCCTAAAAATTCTGTTGATCCAGTCCTGAAGCACAAACTGAAATATGACCAAGTTTATAATAGGGTGAGTAACTATGAGGGTGAGCTAATATTATTTATAAATTTCTGAATTTTTTTCCTTGTCAATTGCGTATCACCTACTTTTTTGCATTAAACTTGAAGATAAATTGTACTCTCTGAATAAAAGTCATTGAAATTTTCTATTTTAGACTTTTTTTTAAAAATATCTTCAAGTAATATTTCAAATCTCCTTTTGTAATTTTATGTAATTTAAGATCATAGAGGACTTAAATTTTTAATAGAGATACATATAATCACAAAGGGGTTTAGGAGACCAACAAAAAACTGCAAATAAAACAAAATATTTTTGAGCACCCTATGTTGTATGATATAAATAATCATTGAATTAAGAATGGTATATTACATTATCAGTGTTTTGAAGTTAAATATAATTAACTTCAGACCTAACTTTATTTTTAATCTTCTAAAATCAGCGATGCTTAAAATTTGTATCTGTTTGATATTCTTCACCTTACAAAATTTTCACTCACTTTTGTGAGACGTAATTTTGAAACGACTGTGATTAGAATAGATAAGTATTTTGTTTCACTGTCAGTTGTACATTGGATTTAAGTAATATGGTCGATTCTGAGTTAGAACTACTGAAGTCCGGGTGCGTAGCGTTTTTAAAAAGTGCTTGAAGGTGCTTATTTTTGATTTGCATTCTTTAAAAGCCCTCAAAGGTGCTTTTTTTATCTGGGGTTTGTAAAAGGTGCTTAATTTTCTATCTTTTAAAAAGAAATTATTTCTTTGCTACGACGATTGTCATTTTAAATTACAATAGTTGCATGATTTTCACAATTTGCTCTGCAATATTTATCAGAAACTAGTTATTTTATCATGATCGAATTTTTTTGATTCAATGTTCATAAATTGGGAATTTTAAATGATAGAAAAAATAATTTTTATTACCGCACAGAACCTACTTATGAATTTTTTTTTTTTTTTTTTTTTTTTTTTNTTTTTTGGATAGTGATTAAAAATATTTTTTGAGTGCTGAAAAAGTACTTACAAGGTGCTTATCTTTTGTTGAAAAATCTGGCTATGCACCATGGAAGTGTTGTGGTAGCTTGAGTGTCCTATGTGACTTTTTATTATGAGGTTCCGTTAAGGAGACTGCTTATGTCCCACCTATGTCAACAACTCTTGCCTAGCTTCAGAACTGAGTCACTGCGTGCTTTTTTATATATGTGAGAAGCTTTTCTACCATTTATAATGTTATCCGCGTAGGAAAAGGGTTGCATATTGAACATTCATAACTTGTGTTTAAAAAAAAGAACTTTGAACCTTACTCTTTTCCTTGATATGCAAATTATTGATGTACAATTTCTTTTTCATTGATTGCAAATTAACTAAATTGGGTCCATCTTTTTACCCCTATATGTATGACTATTTTTATATAACACCCAACTAAATTTTACATCAAGTTTTAAGGTGTGATTGATTTTTCAAAGAATAATGCAAAGTGTGATTGTGTATTTTCTTTTGATTTTTACTAATATTTTTATTTTTATTAAGACTAGAGATCTTCAATGTGAAATAGTTTCTCTTGAATGGATTACAAAAGTATCTTGTGGACAAGATTTTTCTGAAATAACTCATGCTTATGGTCATCCTTATATTAAGGGTTTAAAGAAGACCTTTGGTTTTCTGCAGAGAAAAGTAGATATTTTGAACAAGAAAATAAGATTACGACACCAAAAAGACGAAGTATGTATTCAATTTTACTTTTGCATTTGAAACTTTTACTATTGTTGAATTGATGTCTATGTTGATGAATATTGTTGAAATGATATTGCTAATCTATTTAAGGTAAAAATCTGTATTTAGTTTTTTATAATATGCATTCTAGTGGTTTGATGAACAATTCTTATGATAACAAAATCGTAAAAATTAAGTTTTGAAAACATATTTTTTCAATTTAAACATTCCTATTTCTTAAAATTGTACCTCTTTTGATCCTAAAAATTTGAGAAGTAGTAATTATTTAGAAATTATGATTCCAAGAATTTATTACGGAACTTTCTAAAGTTTTGGTGTTTTAATGTTATTTCTGCTTTTTTTTAAAAATTTCATCTCCATATCTCTGAAAGTAAATTTTTTGTCCAACCATGAAAATTGTTTAACTAAGAATAAATGTATGCAGAATATATTAAGTAATTATTGTTATTTTAATATTATCCCAAATATTTAATAGTGTGAAAAATATTTTAAAATAATTAAAAAAATCTTTGCAATTTTTAATAATTACATAGCAAAACCTCAATTTGTATTAAAGCCATAAAATAGTTATATTGCATATTGGCTAGGAAATGTTTAATAATACTTAGGACAAAATTTGTATTATATATGAATTAATCCATTTTAATGATTTAAAGTGGCAAACCTTAAAAATTATTGACTAGTGTTACCTATTAGTAGGTTTTGATATCAGTATGTGCACAAAAATATCGTTTCTCTGACCCTCGAATTTAAGGGTGGGGAGAAGACTCAATCTGAAAATCTTATTATGGTTATAATGTGGGGGGACAGTCGCAAAGTCAGAAAACCAGTTAAGAAATTTTGGTCCCTTTATTGTCATTGTTAATTTTTGTGTATTTAACTATATGTCTGGAACTATTTATAAAAATGGCGTATTTTTTTAACCTCTTTAAAAGTTACTTACTTAAAAGTAATTCTTTTTTAAAATAGCGATTCGTTAGTAAATTAATAAATTTTTATTTTTCAAAAAAAAAAAAAAATTAATGGTAATATTTGAAAATGGATGAAGTTGGGTTAATACAAAATACTCAAAAATGATAATAATAATAACCTCATGCATAAACTCTACTAGTTGATAAACAGCTAACATGAAGTTTTTTGCATGCCTAGACTTACTAGCGTAATTGGGCATTACCAGTCTCTATATATCAAGGGAAATTTTGTTTTTAAAAAATCACATTTTTTAGTACAGTTACTTATTTTTCAAATATTTGAACAAATTTTGTAAAATATATCTTATAATTCTCTTACATAATAATTTTCCAAAAATTTCTTTCAAATTTTTACATCAATTGATATTTATTTTGAACCCTATTTGACTTAGTATAATATTAACTATTTTTATTTCTTTATAAAGTAAGAATAACAATACAGTGTTGGAAAATGTGTTTTTAAATTAAACCTAACAATTATTGTTATTTTTTTTAATCTAAACTTGTGTTTATAAGTTATATTATTCCTTTAATTCAGCGTGATGTATATTTGATTTAAGTTGGTTGTATTTATTTATACAAGCACAACTGTAAATATGCAATAAAATGCTTTGATTGTGAAACTAATATTCAGATGTTAGATTTGCAATTAGTTTTTTTTTATACTCTTCTAAATTAATTTTAATTTAAAAAAGGTTTTCAAATTGTTTCATTTTTTTGTTTTGTTTTTATTTCAGTATGAAGCCATTAAAGAAGAAATAGGTGATTTTCTTTCTGTCGAGTCTTTTGACTCTCTATTATCTGCAGTTTCACAACTGAATAAATTTGATAGCACTCTTTCCGACGAAAAGAAATGTGATGTTATCAACTCTATTCAGAGAATTGATAATTATATAAAGAATCAGCAAGAAATAGTATCACGCTTGTCAAAGAAGTATCCCCTCTATGAAGATATTACTGAACCATTTTGCTTAGGAGTGGAACAAGTAAGCCTATTTTAGCTTTTAAGTTCATCTTTTGTAAATCAATCATATATTTTTTTAAAATTCCTTGCTTTTTAATTGCCAAATCATTTAATTAAAATGTGTCAACGTTTCTATGGACTATAAATAAAGAATCTATTTTCTTCATTGAAATAGAAATCTGTAGTTTTATCTATAGAGACACAGAGTGTTAGAAATCTGTAATTTCTCCATATTGAATATAGAAATACGAATCTGTACCTAATTATCTTAGATAGAATAGGTTTCTATTAGAAGAAATTCCTAGCCTAGATTCATTAAATTGGATTATTATTCTATGGTATATTAATCATTAAATCGGTATGTGTAATTTAGATTTGATTCTGAGAACTGGGAACTTTTATGTTTATAAAATTTTACTTTGAAATATGATCGCGAAATTTTATAAGTTGATGTATAGTTTTACTTAAATAAAATTTTGATCTGATAATCTTAAAAAACTGCATTTCAATCTGTTGTAATTCTCTTACATAGAAAAGTAATTTTTACTCCCCCTCCCCTCATGTTAAGTTATTTTAAAACAGCATAAATTGTTTTAATATTTAGTTGTTACTAATCACAGAGATTTCTTTCTTAATTTTTTTTTTTAATGCTGAAAAATATTTTAGCTTTAGGATTTTATTTTTTGGGGCTTGAAGCACATGTATGGTGTATTTGGTAAAAAAAAATTTTGGTAGTTTTCAAGCAACATAATTAAAATACCTATATTTTAAAGTTTATTTAAAGTGCAGTTATTTTAAAAACAGTAATTCTATACTAAATATAATTCATGAATTATGGTCATGATATCATTATCGTATATGATTGAAAACAATTTAAATCTTACCATCAAATATTTTTTGACTACATTTTTATTCTTTAAAATATTTGTAATCAGAATGACTAATTCTTTTCTGAATTCATTAGGTTATGTATGGACTGCAAATGTTAAGTCAGCTTGTGTTACGAAAAGAGTATTGTACAAAACTAAACCTTAAGGTAAGAGCCTTTATCCTTACTTTGTTAAGTAATTTATAATAATTGTCAGTATATTTATTGATGAAATTCTGCTTCAATGATACTTATTGCATAAAATTACACATTTACTTTTATTTAAAATTGAAGGAATAATTTTTGCTTACTCCAGTAATTTTATTTCACTCTCTCTTTTTATATTTTTAGAAAAAACATATTTTTCAATGCATTATTAAATGATTTTATTTATTATTTTTTTTTTAAATTTTGTCATTACTCAATTTATGTCATTATGTCTCAATTTATGCCTGTTTTAGAATAGGTTTGTCTCAGCCTTAGTGTTATCATTTTAAACAGTATAAAAAGTTTATAAAGATTTTAACAGTATAAAAGTTTCAAAAAAATTTAGATGATAAAAAGTTTAAATTGGCTGAAATATCAGTGCAACTTTTTAGTTGTTATCGACGTAGTGTCTCAATTTATAAATTATTTTATCAGTTTATAAAAACATAATTTATCAATTTTTCAATGCTAATGCAATTTTGCAATGTATTAATGCTAACTTAATATGTTATTTTTACAAGTTGCTATATTTTCTTAATACCAAATTGTTTTTTCACTGTTTCACAAAAAAAGAATTTGATTAAAATTATTTTACTCTAAATTGCTAACTGATACTAATTAGCTACATTTACTTGTTTTATTTTACTCCTTTTTTATATATTATAGTGTTTTACAATATCACTTTACTTCTAAGTATGGCCTAATGTTAAGAAGTTGCATTTATTTACTTTATTTTATGCATTTTGTGTATCATAGAATTTCATATTCAATTTTAAATTTTTTAATGTTTTTATTGCAGTTCAATAACCTGTCTGAGTTTTTGAAACAGTTTGTACCATTCTTCAACCTTACCCTAAATCCCATTGATATCACTGCAGAGCTTCTTAAAGAAAATAATTTAGATACTTTCACCAATATTTTGTCTCTTTGCAACTTACCATTTGCAATTAGCTCCAAACTGATGCTTAAGCTCCTGAAATCGGCTATTCTTGAACTCATGAATTCTGCTAAGCTAGTCAAAATTCAAAGTGAAGAGAATTTGAGGAAGATAGTTGATTTACTTTTAGTAGCATTCACCAAAATTTGGAAAGTTTGGAATCATCAAGATGTGCAAAATAAATTGAAAAAAGAAGAAGATGAAAGCTTGTATATCAGTAAAACAACAACTTATGAGAATGAACCATCTGATGAAGAAATACTTGAACAAAATTTAAAGAAATACTTTCCTTCTTTTGAGCAGGTGAGAGATTGATTTTATTTGCTGTTAAATTGTTCGAGGTTTCTCAAATCTTCAGCAAAAATATTCAAAATTATTAATCTTTTTTGCAAGAATTCATAGCTTTTATTCATACATTTTATCTTTCCAAGTGTGAATGCACTGTTAACTTAATTCATTGTATCTTAAAAACTTTGTTCATACTTGTAAAAAAAACAAATGTCCCTTAAAAATATGGACTTTGCTTATTTTGTTATTTACTTCTGTTAAGCAAAAGAGGCTTTAAAAAAAATAAATAATAATAATATTTATCGGAACAAAAGAGTCATTGAATGTATACTTGCTTCAGTTCTGCTTGTAACTGTTCTCACTTTTTAACCGACCAATATACAGTGCAGAACCTCTTATCCAGAAATCAGATAACCGGAATGAAATTCGGAACCAGAAATTAATTTTCTTCCATTAAAAAATTTTTTTTTCCTGCAAGATCTTGAGCCCATTTTGTTATTTAGAGCGTAGGGCGTATCGAGTTGACAAATGAACTGATTTAGAGCCGTCTACAGAAACCAATTGTAGATGAATCTCACATAAGCACAAATAGCTTATATATGTTATTAATGTTAATAATAACATATATAAGCCTGTATATAATTTTTATTTCATAATTTCTTTCCTTATTTAAACTTAAGTGTATTATTATTTATCATTTTTTATTATTTCTAAAACTATTTAAAAATAATTTTTTAGTTTTGCTTTAAAAACACGGCATTTTGTAGCGATTCAGAAAACCGGAAAAATCAGTTATCCGGAATCGCGATGGTCCCGATCGTTCTGGATAATCGGTTCTCTACTGTATATATATTTATATATAAGTTCAAAATGAAGATTGATTTTCTTAACTTTCTTCGTGTTTTCTTGTATTTGTTTATATATATATATATTAAAATTGATTATACAGTCAATTCGCTATAACTCGAAGTACGATAACTCGAATATTACTATAACTCNATATTAGATATAGGGTATCCGCGCACCTGGAAATTCATGGATTTAGGTCTCCGAAAAATCTAATTTTTAAACTTGAATACCCCACCTCCCAATCTCATCCTGTTCCAAATATCTGAGTTCCTAACAAAATCATCACTCAGTCATATTTTATTAGAATATAAAATGATTTTTTCATGTTCTTTAAAAATTATGGTGTTCTTTCAAAAAATGAAAGAAAAAACATTATTTCTATAGGGAATTATCTTTTAAACTTATGACATTTGAAATTTTTATTGTTTATTTTTTTTATTTTTATCAATTTAAAATTCTAATTGAAGCAAACCAGCCATTGGCGAATTTTTTTAATTCTGAAATGAGAACAGAAAAATTAGGAGTATTTCTTTCCTTTCTGATGAACAAGAAAAATATCTTTAAAATATAATTCTGCAGAAAAAAATTATTTGCTTTTGTATTTTTTTCAACTATCAGCTATTTTATTGTTTCAACTCTTTCTTTACTCTGTTTTTTAAATTTAAAATTATTATAATGCTTTTTTAAATTTATTGTTGCGTTTTTGTGGGAGAAAATAGTAACTTCGCTCAGTCATGAAAAATTATAGGAATTAGTCATGGAAAGTCATGAATTTGAAAATCTAAAATGTAGCAGATACCCTGTATATATATATATATATATATTTACGCACACAGGGGTTGAGCAAAATTATCGAAACACTTTTATACTAACTCATTTTTTTTTCATATTTCTCAAGAAATATATAGAGAATTATTTTACAGCTTAAGAAGTGTTACGTCATGCCATTTCTCATGCATATCAATAATGTTTATAGCTTTTAGGAGTTTGAGGGATTGTTAATAAATATGGCAAAAGATTATAACTTGTTTCAACTACTTTGATTATTATTTGGTTAAAATCTCATAAATTTTGCTTTAATATTTATTGAGAGATGGATAGTTTTTTTTTGCCGTACGTTTTCTTATTTTAACTGCAGAAATATTCAATAAAATTACGCAGAATTTTTAGAGTACTTTTAAATTAATAAAAAAAATATTTTAAAATTTAAAAACAATTATTAAAAATCAAACAGGATATGAGCATTTAAAATTACCGTTTCATACCGTGCAGGCTAGGAAAACATTAATGTTTTTTCTTCTTATGAAAATAATCGAATTTGAATATCTTGAAAATTTAAAATTTAAGTAGCTTTTTGTTGATTTTGAAAGAAAACTTTGAAATATAAGGATGTTTTTCACAAATTTTATTTTATTAAGTGAAATTTATTAAAAATGATATCAACATTATATAGGACTACTCTGTTTTGAATTCTGTTTTATTTCACATGTTTTCTTACCCAATCACACTTCTTTTTTGTTTGGACCATAATTTTTTCATAGGGTATTATTATTTGTTATTAAATTTCTTTATAGATTAAATTTTTTCTTCTGATCACTATCTGTGATTATGGATAATCGTGGACATTTCAAAAATATTATAATTTGATTTTCATTCTTTACGATAAAGAATTTTGAAAAATTTTGTTTCTTGATCTGAAACTATTTTTCTTTTATTGTAAAGTTTACCACAAGCATCTCTATTCTAGAAATGAAAAAGTTGTGTCATATTACATAAATTTGCTGCGAAATTTGTTTCTTAACCTCTGCTGTATTCCTGTTATAAATTCTTGAAACTCATCATTCTAACTTGGGATGCCCTGTATCATTACCTCCTGAAAATTATATTTATATAAAACGAGAGTTCGAGAAAGAACATATTATATTCTGTGTGATATTTAATGCTTAGCAAAATTTACTGAATTCCATTTTGAAAGCTAATCTATTCTACCACTTGGTAGGTACGTCTTGTTCCCACCCTTTTGTTGCATTTTATGCATTCAGTGTGTTGCAATTTATGTGTGCATGAAATGCATTTGGCAAAATCATTGGTTCAAAGTGTTTAAAACGTTACTAATTTAATTTTTATTATTATTCCAGGATTATGCAGGTTGTATCAGTTCAGATGATTTTGATAGTAGCCATATGAAGGAAAATACAGAAAAAATATCTGAAGATTTTCAACTGACTATGGAGGATATGTATGAAATATCACAATTATACTGCAGTGCTATGTCCATTTTAATGCCTGTAAGTTTGATTGAAGGACAAGCTAACTCCATTAACAAAAACTTCGAAAATTCTGATTTCGTTAATCCGCAGCTACTAAGACACGAAGTTCTGTACAATATAGTGAGGTGTTTGGGTGATAAGATAGATTCTTCTTTGGATTCTGAATTGGCTCCTGGACTTTTGTTAATGAGTCATAAGCTTCAGAGCTCTTTGGTTTTTAAGGCCCAAACGTTTGATGTTTATCGAGACCCTAATCCAGCTGAGGTTATGAATCTATACCCCGTATTCTCTCACTTGGAGGCTAGATCTAAACAGTTAATGAAAGAACATGGGGATAATCCTCATCTTGATGAAGTAAGTTAATGGCATTTGTTGCATAATTTGTGTGTAGTTATGATGCTAAATCTTATTCCACAAATATATATATATATATTATTTAATTATGTCTTATTTAATTTATATACTATTTTATTCTTCTCTATATTAAAGTGCTATAGCAGTCATGTTTCCTTCAACTTTAGCCAGAATTGACATGTGCAATATTGTTTGGCAAGTCACTTCACTAAAATGAACTGCCGTATAGTGAATAGGAATCATTAATTGCAATTATGTACAAAAAAAAATATTCGAAATATGTTTCAGCAAATATTTCTTAAATAGTTTTGTAAATGAGCCAAATTGTTATATCAGACCTTTACCTGTTTCTGAGGGATTTTCATAACCACAATAAAACAAGAAAAAATACTATCATAAATCACTAGAAATTAAAAGTTTAATTGGGGTTGTGGTCTGGAGGAGTAATCGGACTGTATTTTTTGAAATCCATGAAGGCAATGCCGTTACTGTCAAGGGGGAGCGCTACGGAAGCATAATTAATGATTTTTTATTTATTTTTGAATCTAGATGATTTTGACGTGTACGACAAGTGGTTTTAATAATATGTTGCATCATAACAAACGTCTCTTGTCATAATCAGTTTATGTACAGAGATGTTCAGTGATTGTATTTCTCCTGAATTGAATTGGCCAACAAGATAATGAATTCCATTGAAATTTTCCTCGAGAGTAATGTAAAAAGATTAGTTATTGGTTAAACTACATAAACTTTCCGTTCTTATAAAGAAAAAACTGAATTGAAGGTTCAATTCATATAAAGTTATTTTTGAACAAAATGTCATTTTCAAATGTCTAAATTAAGACAAAATCTTGAGTATTTGTAAAATAAAATATTGGCATATATTATTTCATAAACACATAAATCATATAGTTTTTGTTTCCATTTAAATATATGTAGGTCTTATATAATCACCCTATACTTCAGGCCATTTTAATCTACAGAGAAGTAGTAAAATACAAATTCCTAATTTTTTAAGCTAATTAATATTGTTGAATATTATTTATTCTATTTTAAATTACCATGTTTTAAACTTTGCAGATTTTAACTATTTTGGAACCTAATCTTAAACATTGCTTAAAACCTTAAATTTTAAATTTATAACTGGGTGACTGGTTCAAGAGAAAACATTTCTCTAAAAAAAATGGAATAATAAATGTTCAAAAATATTACTTAGGTAATTTGTAAATAAGGAACTGGGATTTCTATAATTACTTTGTAAATTACTATGGAGAAAGAAGATTCCATTTTTTGTTTGAAGATCAACCTGTATAATTACAATAATTAAAATCGTCCATTTCTAGTTTGTAAAATGTTTTACTACTTATCTTGAACAAATGTTTTAATAAACAAATATCTTTCTTGAAAATGCAAGGTCACAGACTGGGTCTTGTAAAGTTCGAGTGATTCCTTGCTTAAACTAGCTTTTTGAAATCTCTAAAATGATAGTAAATATTTTTATGGCCAATATTTTAACATTTGTTACTAATAGTTACAATGAAAGTAGAATCATCTTTTTTGTCTTTTAGACTGTTTTTTAATTAATGAAGGAATTTATTAATTGGTTTTTTTATTAATTCATTTTTAAAAAATTGTATTTCAACAGATTATAAAATTGGTGGAGCGCATCCTATCATTCCCTATAACAGACCCTGTGATGAAATTCGTCCTTGGATTAGAAATGCTAATCGAACCAATTCGCGTAAGTTTTATTTTTGCTTCCTATTTAAATACGATTACGGCTTTAGATAGAAAAATATTTTTATTGAGTTTCTTTGTCTTGTTATAGCTATGGAACCAGTTTGTACCCTCGAAATTTTCTTTACATGATGTAAAAGAGCAGATTGTTAAAAATATTATTCATTATAGAACCATGGAATTAAGGTAAGCATTCTTTGGATAATGATAAATTTTAATACCATTAAACGTAAAATTGGCTGAAGGAAAATTTTTCTTTATATATTTTTTATTGTGGAGATTGGTTTGTATTATAAGTGCTTATTTTTAAAATGTTTTTCTAATACTAAAAGATAATTTGTATCATATTAAAAATTTATTCTAGGTAATATTCTAAAACTGACCAGAATTTTCAATTTAAAATTATGTAATGTCATGTGTATCTATAACATTAATTTCATTCTATAATTCTTTAAAAACGAACAGATTTTAATTGGAAATTTTTTCTTTTTTCAATTTTTATCAACTTTTAAATTTAATAAATGTGTTTTCTGATATCCAACCATAGAAATGTGTTTCTTTTCGTTCTGAAGCTGAAGTAAAATATCCCCAATGTTAGATTAAGTTAAAATCACATTCTGAGTTGAATACATTTTTTCTACCTGTATATCAAAGTGTATCTTAAAGTAAAAATAGTTCTAAATAGTTGTTCTGAACTGTTTTTTGACCTATTCGAATAAAATATCAATTTTATTATTTTCAGTGGATGGCGTGAAAGCTTAGATTCTGTATTGAGGAAACAAAAAGTAAATTGCTCCAAATGGTGGTTTCATATGTTTAACATCTTACAATCATCCAAGGTAAGAGAGTATTTGTTTTTATTTCACTTAGTTATGTTTTAGTTATAAGTTTGTACATTCCACAAAAATATTGGGATTCATCCAGTTTTTCTATTGTTGTCAATGGCTACTCAGGCAAACTTTTTTTGTGATATTAATTTTTAAGTGATTATAAGTAACTAAGTCCTGTCTATTGAAAATATCTTAGTAGCACATAGTTCTTTTATGCAGATTCAATGTTAATGTTAAATTTAGCACTTCTCTTCACTGTAATTACACAAAATGAATAATAATAGTTTTACCTGAATCACCTGAAATAGATTAGGTAAGTTTTGTTGGATGAAAATATCTTATCACATAAAAAAAATTTTATGTAGATTCCATGTTAATATTAATAGTACTTGTCTTCACTGAACTGCAACAAATATCAATAGTTTTTATCAGGGTTGAAAGTCTTCTTTGAAATAGTAGAAATCTGCTTTTTTCTCCCAATTTTTAAAATTTCTTACAATGTTGCAAAAACTTAATTTTTAGAGGGGTTCCAATTATTGTAATTCATATAAATGCAGAAACCCAAGCTGCCCCAATGATAGCCCTACTTGAAACGAACTTTTATCCCTACTGTAGCTGCCTGAGAAAGAATGATTATCAGTGGAATGGGTGGAGCTTCAGCAAATGCGCTGTTGCCTTGACAACAGCGACTTCTGCTGTAGTGTGGACAGGGTGAGGTACTTGGTTGTTGAGTTTTAAGCAGTTTCGTTTCGACTAACGACGTTTGATCCGAGTTTTCCACCTTGGTGCAATTCATATTGAATGTGCACATCTGTACATTATAGTTCTCTCGACATCGCTAGTTTTTATTTTTGGCAGTGCCTGTGTTTGTGCCCATATTTGTTTTTCATTTGTACTTCCTTTTGTTCTTTTCACATGGTGCATCGTAAGATGAATGCATTTTAATGCTGAAATTCAATTTGATAGACAAACATAAAGTTCGTATGATCGATGATGAAGATGAAAAAATATTCGAGTTTGATTGGTTAAATAAAGCAGTCGAAGTGACTAAAACTGTTAGTAAATATCTATCAAAAGATACTGAGGTGGAAGTTAGCAACTGTTTTAATTTAAAATGATTGGCTGGCAATTAATTTAAAATAATGATTATTAAGCCGATTAATGATTATATATTGCTTAATTTTTATTATTATAGTAGTACTCAAAGACGTTTAAAATTATATGTAAAAAAAATTTAAAATTTCATTGTTTAAATGCTTCTGCCACTTTTAATATAAAATTAAAATTTCACTGCGGAGTTGGAAGATATGTTTTTTACATATTGATATCACAGTATTAGGTACATGGAACACGCCCCCCCCCACCTCCCAGTGCCTGTGTTGTAAAAGTTCAGCTTTTTATTTTTGTCCACTTTCATTCCTGTTTTATGAAAATTACTTGAAAACAGTAAAGGAAGAAAAAAATTATAATATTTGGCAGTTAAAAGGTTAACTAAACTCATTGCTAGTAAGGGAACTGATACTTTTCTCTGTATTATTTCTTTGTCATACAGTTTCCTAGAGTGATTTTTCCAGGCAATAGATTTTAAACTTAAAATGGTTTAGTGTTTAACAGTTATTAATATTTTTTAGTTCAAAATTTTGAGGTAAAGTAATTTTCTGTTTTGTTGGTAGGTTTGTAATTACTTATTTTATTTCCACTTCATAGAGTATGTTTTACTTTAATTTTAGAATAATTGCAGTGATTGGAAAGAAAAGCATTTTATTTGAAATGGCATTTATTTGATAAATAATTTTGTTTTAGACTATTTTTCCATTGTAACTTTTATTCCGGTTTCTAAAATTAGAAAGCGTAAAAATTTGTTAGTAAAATATACTTTTACTGCAAATAATTAGTTTAAAAATAATTAAGTAAAGACAGTTTATGGAGTAAAATAAGTAAATATTAAAAATAGAATATTAAACTTTTAAACCAATAAATGAATGTTCATAAGTCTGAAAGTCGTCTAAAATAGAATCAGTCTTAATCAAGCTTCATATCTTTTTTCTTACTTTATTAAACTTTTCATGTGTCTTTTAACCTTTCAAAATGTTGTTAATTGGTCAGAAATGTATATCTTTGGAAAATATTTTTAAGAAAATTTGATCTTAGTTTGTCACACACAGCAAAAAAAAACAACAACATTGCCAACTAAAGTTCCTCATTTTGCAGTACAACGAAAACTTGCTTTATGCTTTCTTGCTAAAAACAACTTATGCATCTTGAAAACAGAAAATGTCCATTTTTATATTTATTTCTGAAAGAATGTGACACATGTATCTTAATTTCCTAATTCTATGTTCTTGTTCTTTCTGTTTAGAATTCTGGAGATAATGAAATTGAAACTGTAATCAATGTTTTGAAACAGTGTTTAGAAGATGCTCCTCTAGGCCAATTTCCTGAGAGACTTAATATCCTTCATTCATTTTTATTGCAAAAAAGATTGCAACACTCATTTTTTAAGAAAAGTAAGTATCATTATTAATTCAATATCTTCTCAGAAATATTTTATTTTTTTCTTAATATTGTCTCTTTTTTTAATAGGTGATAGAACTGAAGAAGTGTTATTTAATATTTATACATTTTATAAGCAATTTCTGCCAGAAGTCAATAAAAAAATATCTGATATTCGTTCTCCGATAGAGAAAGAAATCAAAGTAAGTACTTGCTAGGCGAAATAATTCATAAATTAAAAGTAATTATTTATTATCATATTATTTAATGCTGAATATATTTTCTTCTATCCTCAACCACCATGATATATCTTTAAATCTTTTGTAGGAATTTGTGAAAATATCCCGCTGGGGTGATGTCAATGAGATAGCTGTAAAACGATCATCTGAAAAATCTCATCGTTGTATTGTGAAGCATATGAAACAGTTTGAGGTATATAAATCTGTTATCCCTTGTCAAACCTTTATTATGTAGCTAATGTTTAATTTTAAAAAAAAAAATTTGTGTTACATTCATAATGTGCCATTTCATCTTTTTTTTTACTGTTACGAATATCTCTGCAATGAGCATCTGTATGGAACTTGTTACTGTGCTGATCCACTACCTGAGTAACTGCTTACTTAATCAAATTATTTGTGCTGATTACTGAATTTTTTACTTTATACTACAACTTAAAAAGAATAGCTCTTTGTATTATAGTTTGTTTTATATAATATAGTTTGTAAAAAGATTTCCAGTCATTTTAGCTGATATAATAGCTATGATTTGCAATTGAAAAGGTTTGTATTTAGTGAATTGATAAGTATTTAAATTTGTAAATAACTGGTAAAAGATACATTTCTAGCTGCCATCTTAAGTTCGAGAGTAGAAGAAGTAGATTAAAAAATATTAAGTAGCATTTTTAACTAGCACTTTTAACAACTCAGTATAAATATTTTTTTTAAAACCTCTTAGTTGCATAAGAATATGTAAAATTACTTTTTTTTTAATGTTAATTGTGTTTTTAAATAAGTCTTCTAAAGGTGCTTGGTTTCATTTTGTCATTTATATTTGTATAATAAAATCAATTAACACGATTTGTAGTCTCTTTTGTTCCTTGCTTCATTTGTGTTACCCATTGTTAGTGATTCAGTTTTAGTTCATTTAAGTCACACCTTTACTGTGAGTTCTTTCTAAATATTTCGATTTGAAAATCAAGCCTTAGCAAGTCAAAGAATCTAATGCATTTATATAAAAAGAAATTTCTTTAATTGCATAGATGCTCTGCTTATGCCCATTGTATAATTTTCTGTTGGTTACAATTTGTGCCTTTGTACATTCATATCTATTTATTGTTCTTGGTGACCTTTTTTTGTATCTGTTTATATATCATTGTTTTACGATAAATCTTGACAGATAATAATTATCCATGTCAATGGAGATTTTTAAATATAATTGTATGTATTTATTCACATTAATATATATTTTTTAATTTTAAATGTTTATAAAACTGCATGACATAAGCATTGGTTCATAAAAGTGTAATCTAATTACAGGATGCTTTACAAACACCAGCTAAACGCTCCTTCACATTGCCTTCAAAATCAGTCTCGGAATCTGCAGATAAATGGTCATTGGATATTAATGAGAAAGATTTTATTTCTGCAAGTGCAGGGAAGGTATTGAAAATTCTTAATTTTTATCTGTATGCATTGAATATAAATTTAGTGTGAGAATGGAATTAGTTTTAAAAAATAACTTTTATACAACTGGACCCTTCCCTTCTTTCTTACTTTTGCATGATTTTACAATATTTTTTGTTATCAAAAAAATTTTAATACTGAAAGAATGAAAAAAAATAAATACTGGAAATCTTTACAGTAAATTCTTGTTATAAGCTACTTAATTAGCATTATGGACCACATTGTTTGTTTGATAGAAGACGTTCTCTTATTACTATTATTATTTCTTCTTTGAATACTCAGTTTTGATAATATAAAATGAGAATCCTTCTTATAATTTATAGTATACTTTTTTATTGAGTTAAATTTATTGGATAATGTAGAAACTGTTGTAGTTATAAATATTATGCTATCATTTTTGAATGAAATAATCTTAGATAAATTAATTTAAATGAGATTAGAGCGCATGAGAAATCTTTATTATATTAATTAAGTAATGAAAATATACTCTTACACAATATTTTTTTTTTCCTTTTACAAGTTATCTTTTGAATAACGAGTTCAGGGTTGCCACTCCATGAAGAAAACCTGGAAAATACAGGGAATTTTTCCTTATAAATTGGGAAAATGCAGGGAATTTTTCCCTATAAATTGGGAAAATGCAGGAAATTTTTCCTCATAAATTGGAAAAATACAGGGAATTTTTATTTCTTCTAAATGTTGACCTCTCAAAGGACAAATTATGGATTATTTAAAGATAGTTTAGCTATACTATAATATTTAATTTGCTGTAATATTTTCTTTTATGTTTATTAAACTGTTCTTTATTTTTCTAAATTTTTCCAGCAATTAAAACTAGTATTAGTTATCCTAATGTAGCTCATACATTTGCATTGTGATTTTGTGTTTCCTCTTAATATATTGTGTATAATATATACATGGAAAAAACGGGGAACTTTTTTTTCCGATTTGAGTGGCAACCCTGGAGTTTTATAATTGAATTCAAAAGTTAACTGGCGTATGTTATTTATTTATATATTTTTTTCTTGTTAATCAAATAAAATTATTCAATATGTAATAGATTGAAATATAGTTAAAAAGTGCATAAACTTTCTTCATTTTAAATATTCATCTTACCTAAATTGTAGGAATCTATTCTTGTATTTTTTCCTAGTTGTTATTTTAACATAGTTTTTTCATTCATTAATGTATCTTTGATAATTTTTTAATTTTGTTTTAATTAATATTCCATTCATGCATATTTTATGTGATAGTAAAATGCATTTTAATACTTTATTTTTTATATTAAAATTGTTCTTTTAACAATTAATTCTCTTGTTAGTTAAAGGATTATGAATTTTTTGCATATAAGTTGTGTTTAATTAGTATTTAAATTCCTGATTTATAATTTTAGGAGAGCTTGGAAGTGTTTAATAGTTACACAGAACCCATAATTAGAGAAATGCCTCATTACTACCAAAAAACTAAAAAACTGTCGAAAAAGCTTTCGAAAGATCTAACTGTTTTGAGCCATATTAATACTTTGAATGAATTTTGTGGTAAGTTTTAACCTGTATTGCTTGTACATTCCTGTATTTCTCACCCTTTTCCCCCTAAATTCTTACTTTTTCTATGCATTTTTTTTATATATAAATTTGTGCATGTATGCTGACATTTATTGCCTGAGGAAAAAAAATTTGTCTGAAATTTCTGTTAAACATTTCTTATTTTTTGTAAGTTTTTATCATTACTTCCATTCAGTTGCTTAAAAGGCCCTTGATTTATTTCTCTTATGTGCACCACTTACTACTACACTAAGCGCAGAAACAATGTCTGCATCTGATTAAATGTTTTTTTTCTAAATAATTAACATTAACAACTTTATGTCGTTTATCCTAAAAAAGAAATATTATTTCTTTTTTCTTGTCTGTCTGCAACCATTGATTATTTAATTGCGTTAAATTGAATAAATTAAAAAAATTAGCAATTATATTTGCATAAAATCACAGGCACAACCTTTAGACTTTGTAGTAGTAGAGTGAGGCATTTAAACATGCATACCCTCTCCTCTATCTGGAGTATGGTTTGGTTGTTTTCCCCCTGTAAACATACTTTGTTTTTTTCTATACTATTTGATGGAAAAACTTTTGCTTAGTTTCATAGAAAAAAACTAATGTATACAAAATAATAGTTCAAAATTTTTAAAAGGAATACCTTTTTGTTTTTGCCACAATTTTCTTTCCCCTGTCTTATTTAATTTCTTGCCTTTCAATTAAAATGAGTTAGAGGTAGGTATTTTTATCCTTCTTGGTAAAAAAAAAATCTTTTTTCTTGTTATTCAATGTAGAAGTGAATCTACATTGAAAGACTTGATCTAGTCTGCATTGATTTAAGCAAGAGAACTAGAATGATATTTCAACTGGAATTTAATTATACGTTTGTCCTTCTGTGATAGTTAAATTAAACATTGAGTTATTACTCATATGTACTCATATGTGTGCAAATTTTAATAGTATTTCTACTTGAAAAATGTTAAAAATTGAGTACTAGAGCTGTGATGATTATGTATTTTTTTTGTTGAATTTTTACTATTTTAAAAAGAACAAAAAAAATTGATAAATGTTTTTAAAATTACTGAGATTATGAAATAGGTTTCTTCTTTCTATTAATATTTACTTGCTTCACTCACTTGTGAATTTTTTTGATAATGTGTGTTTAAATCTTTGTATTCAACACTAACTACTTTGAATCTTACTTTTAACTTGAATTGATATAATAAAAAAATAAAAAATTCATTTATAGGAACTATAGCTGAAACTATGGAAGGTGTCGCTCTGGACATGCAAAAGGTAAAACTTTTTTTTGCATTATTTTAGCATAATGTAAGACCTTAATTAAGAACCTAATTTAAAAGTGCTAACACCACCTTACATCATTTTGAGACCTAGAGCCTTTATATCATAATGAGCATTGCTTTTCTTATCTTGTCTGATTTGTCCTCTGCTAAATGGAGTTGGACCATCATTCAATTAAGACTTTAAAGTAACCGAGCCTCTTATCGCAATTAAAATTGATTTTTCTGAAGGTTTTTTTTTTTTCGCCTTTTGATACAATTATCTGTTCTAACAAATAAACAAAATAAGAATGAAACATTTTTCTCCAATCATTCTCCTCTCCATTTTTCTCCCATATTCATTGAGTATATACTCTTTTTTTGTTTAAAGAAATCTTGTTACTACTAATTTTTTAAGTACCGTACTCCTTGTAACAATGAAGAATCATTAACGCTATGGTAATAAATTCCACTGCTATGTCACTGGTTTAATAATTGAATAAAGGGGTAGTGTTTCATCTTCCTTTATATCAGGGCTCAAAAAAACTCAAAAATTTTACCCAACCCCCGAGGACGGCTTGTTCAACAATGTACCCCTCCTCCTTTGAAACTAACCCGTAGCTTCTAAATAAATAAAAATATAATTTTCTCTTATTTATTACAAACGTTTATATAAATTGCACAATGAATTAGTAGTTACAGGGATTACAAATACTAGAATTACATTATACAGTAGTAAAATAAATACAGTACAGAACCCGTTATCCGGAAATCGAAAACTAAAAAACCGGAACGAAATTCGATACATTTTCCCGCCATTTTTAAAAAAAGAAATTTTTTTTTTTACTCATAAGATTTTAGGATTTTCTTTCTTTTTTGAGAGATGTTCACCTTACCATCATTTTGGAAATAATCATTAGTGTATTACTTCATCGTTTTTTCTTCTTTTTAAGATTTTTTCCAAAAGTTATTATTTTTTTAGTTGGGTTTAACAATAAAAAACGGCTTTTGTAGCGATTCAGAAAACCGGAAAAATCAGTTATCCGGAATAGCGATGGTCCCGATCGTTCCGGATAATCGGTTCCCTACTGTGCTAGGTTACTAATAGTGACCTAGTATTTCTGTGAATACTAGGTCACTATTAGTATTTCATGAAATAATTTAATTGACAAAGGTCAAGTTATCTGGAATGTCAATTTATCCGAGGGTAATGCGTTTTTTAAATGAATCAATTATGATGCTTGCCAGTTCCACAATCAAGCCAATGATTTACAGAGGTTTCTGCACAGAAATCTGAAAGGGGTTTTTTCATTTAGGTAGATTTTCATAATTGCATTTAACGCTTCTTGTTTATCAATTCCACCATGGGCAGTATGTTGCTGTATTGTCGGTCATTTTGCTGCATTTGGTCTTTATAAATAGCTTGGGCTCGGAGGGCTGAAGTTTTCTGATGTTTAACGATGTTATTTTTTTATTTTTTATTTAAACGACTTAAAACTCCTCATGCACCACAAAGTATAGCATGAGGCTTACAGTTGTAAGTAGAAAACAAAAAGAAGAAAAATTTACAAATTTACATTAAAAACAAAATTCCGCAAGGCCGCAAGACTTTCAATACTTTTGACCAGTTCTGATAAGACAGGTGGCCAACAAATAGAAAGACGTCTCAAATCAGTCTTTAAATTCATTCGGGCACTCACATACAGACTACAATGAAGAAGAATATGTTCAGCATCTTCATCAGCATCACCGCAAGCACAAACGGTTTTAATGACACCCATTCTAGAGAAAAAATTTCTTTATCTACTCCTTCAAAAAAGTAAAAAAGATTGTTAGATAACAAAACTTGAAAATGCATCACGAACATTAACTGGAATATGACCGTCCACGCGACGTCGGATTCGAGAAATTTTTTGTCCGCTGGGAATTTTTGACCTCCGAGGACGGGTGGTTTTTCGAGCCCTGCTCTATACACTACCTTACGATGATAGAAGGGACACTTTCCATTTTTGACATTTTTTTTCTTCAAATTTATCAAGAAATACTTGAAGTATTATTTTATGAGTTATGCATATTTTTATACTGATTAATAAAGCTTTGAGAGGTTTGAGGGAGTGGCAATAAATTACGAGCCAATGAGGTATAAACACTGTATGCAAGAAAATAGCAATAAGCTTGTAACTTGTGTAAACCACTTCAGTAATTGTGTGCAATAACTGCATATAATAAATTTTTGGCCCTGTGTTTTCTTACCATAACTGTAAAAATATTCAATAAAATGAAACACAGTATTTGGAGCAAAATAAAAATGTAATTATCAGAAAAAAGATTCTTAATTGTAATACTGTTGTTACTTATTATTGTTTTCCTTATTTTTAGTTCCAGTAATTCAAAGTCATCACCTATCATCGTTGATTAATTTCTTTAATTTGAGTTTCTTATTATAAGATTAAAAAATTTTGTTTAATTTTTTTTTGTTTTTAAAACTATTTATATGAAATAACTAATTAGCTATGTATTTTTCTCATTTTGTATTATTTCATCCTCACTTTTTAAACTAAGAAAGTAAAATGCTCATCATTTCCGTTTTAAAATCTCATAATAAGTGGAAATTTGTTTTAAAAATTTTAGTAACTAATTGCTTTTATAATTAGCATTGCATATAACCTTAAATTATTATATTACTGTGTTTTAATTTAAACAAATTTCCATTCAGTTGAAGTTTTCATTTGTTGCATTTTATTGCTATATTGGTTTTATATTATTACATTAACATTATTTTTTTCCAGAAAATTTGTACAAGATCTCAAGAGAAGAAGCAAGCTCTGTTAAACATTCAAAAGAAGAAGCAATTGTTGTCTACATTATTTAAAAGCTTAAGAGTAATTGGTAAGATAGTCATTAAATTTTTATTTTGTGTTTAATTTATTGAGTTTTACACTTTGATATAGATATGGATGGATAAATATAGATGAAAAGGAAATTCCTCCTAACAAAATATTTTATTGCCTATGAAACAATTGTTTGAGTAGCTAATTTTTAAATTCCAGAAATTAAACTTCCCTTGTCAGTGTTAAATCATTTAATTGATTGATGAAAAATTGCTTTCAGAAAATCTCAGAATACTGAAAAAGGTAGAAAAAAGTATTCGCATTTCATATACTTAACCCGATCAGTATCCTTTGTTAACTAAAAGAGCTCTTCATTAACCATTAGTTTTTCTTATTTCATTTGTTTTTCTTTTTTTAACAATTATTTAAAATTTTATAATGTAATTAATTTTTTTTGTTGGCATAGTGGCCAGATGATCATCATTTGAATCTGATTATGCTTTGATTATTATAATTAAAGAAACTTTTAAAAAAATGCCATTTTCCAACGGGGCATTTTCCTAAAACATGCTGAAATGTTGAATTTAATAAATCATTTTAACGAAATATAATAGGAAAAAGTCTGGGTTTAGTGGTTTCTTCATCTAACTGAAGTCATATCTCATTCGCTAATGCCAATCTAAATTCATAATTTAAAAATGAAATTTTGCAGCAATAAATTAATTAAGTTTATTTCTTCATCTAGTAGAGTCTATTATATCTTATAATTGTTACAATTACTTGTCTTTTAATATGTGTAACTAGAAGATAAAATTATTTTTTGAAGTGAATATTTTTTGCTATTATAGTACTTTTTGACCCCAAAACTTATTTTTAAAATATGAAAAACTAAAAGGGGCTCATTATTATTTTTATAAATAATAAAATAAAAAAAAATTCGTGTATATATAATATAACACCCTTTTTTATTTTTAATTTCAGGATTGTCTTACCGGCGAGGTATAACTTTTGAAAATACAAGGAATAAAAATGATACCATTACAATTCCTGCATTTGACATAGCTCATATGAAAATGCTTAAAATAGATAAGTATGTCTTCATTTTAAGCCTATTTTGTACCTTATTCCTTATTGTTTTTATGCTTTGAAAAAGTACAGTTGTTGTTTAGTTTTCCGTAAGGCAGAAATAAGACTTTTGACTTATATATTGGAATATGACTTATTGAGTCGTACTACTGGGATGGAGCACAATTTACACTTGGAAAAAAAAGACCAACCCTGAATTAATTTTGCTCCGATGATCAGTGCAATCTTAATTGTTCCTGAGAATGACATCATTTATTCTTGCAAAAGATAATTTTAATTTACAAATTAAGCAAAAAAACATTTGGTTTAACATTCTGAAAAGTTTGTAATATATAAATAAAACAGCACCTGTTAAATTCTATAACTCGCGTGTGAGTCTTCATAATTTTTGATGAAATTATTATTTCTTCTTTCATTATTTACTGATTATTATTGTAATGGCTAAATGTGACTGACTAAAAGTAAGTTCATTATTTTGCAGTGAATTTTACAAAACTCTTAGAAATGTTTCCCAGGATGTCGATCACTATTTCTACAAATGTGTAGCCCAACATAGCCTTGTAAAAATGTGCATGCAATCTCCAAACAAAGTAAGTACATTATTATTAAATATTACAATTGTGTGTGTCTAATGATATAGTATTATATATAGTGATATAGTAAATTTTTTAAATGAAGTTATATATTATGGCATAGTTATATATGTAAATGCAATAGTTGTTGCATTGTTCGTTATTATTTTTTTTTACCTTAAATTTAATACATACTAATTACCTCTTTTTTCCTTATAGAATCTCACTCTTGATATAATTCATAGAATTCAGGGATATGGAGGAGACTTAATGAGTTATGTCCTTTCACAGCGAACACAGCTAGTCAAAATGTCATCAGATGTTGATAAAATAGGGTAACTGAATGTCTTTTAATTTATTTTTTAGATCCTTATATTATCTCAGCATTTGCAATGTGTATGCTCTGCAAAAATTAAAAAATAAATAGTAAAAAGAACTATCAACCTCAACAAGTATTTAGCTTCTAGTATATATCTATTATAGATGACTTCTGGCTCGCAATTGGAGATCCGAGCCTGAGTTTCATAGGATTACCTAGAGCCTTAGTAACTAATCATTTTAATCATAGTATTATTTATAGGGATTTTTCTCTCTTTTAATTTTATACTTTTTATTTATTTATTTTTTTAATTTCAGTATGTTTATAAATTATTTCTTTTACATTATTTTAATTTATACTTTGTAATTCATATAGATTTAATATTTGATATTTTGAGCAATAAATTTTTGAAACTTTTCATGAATTAAAATGTGTATTTTCAGGCTATTCTTGCAAACTGTAGATTTTGTCAAAGAAGATTCATTGCTGGAAGAAAATAAAAAACTTGTTCTTCTTCCGCCAGAAAAAGATGCCTGCCAATTAGATGTATGTCTTTCTATTTATACAAAACTTAGCTGTCTGTGCATTATTTTCTCTTATTATAACTATTTTTTGAATTTGTGTTATCCCATGAAATGAATAACTTATTGTCATATTAAAATAATATTCAGATATATTTATTTGTTTAATTCACTTTAACTTATGAGATGTTCTATTTTTAACTGATGCGCCTCTTCATTTAATTTCAATAACAATTTGCCAATTTCGTTTTACATGTTTAAATTTATTTAGCAGAGTACTTTTAATGAACATTTCTCACCCGCTGTAATTTAAGCTTTCCACAGGGTGCATAGCTTTTTTAAAAAGTGCTTAAAGTTGCTTATTTTCGTTTTTTTAAAGCCCTTAAAAGTATTTTTTTCATTGGGTGTTTTTAAAAAGTACTTAATTTTCCCTCTTATAAAATGAGATTTTTTCTTTACTATGTTGATTTTGGCTTTAAATTATGCAAAAAGACGCAGTTCACGTTGTTCTATTCAACATTTTCACAATTAATTCAACCCCAATCTATTTCAGCGTTTTGTCAGTCCATAGCTTATGAAAACGCCATTTGTTTTACATGATTCAACATTTCATGATTATTGACAATTGTCAAAAACAAAGCCAAAATTTTTTATTTGACATGACGGTTTAAACAAGATAAAACCATCAATTGCCAAAAACTTTCCAACCCTGCCTAATTATGATATAAAGTGCTTAAAAATATTTTTTTAATTCTCAAAAGGTGCTTATTTTTTGTTGAATAATTTAGCTACACACCCTGATTAATTATATTATATATATTAATTATGATTTGTTATCTCAAATATTTTAATTCTTTATCATACCATTTAATTAATGAAATGACCCTCTACATAGTTAGTTTTTATTTTTCAGTGTATTATTGTAGTTAATTTTTTTTATTTTTACTTTTTTTAGAATACTATCTGTGATTTACTGAATAAGTATCTAAGTGCAATTAAAAGATTTGGTGCTATAATGAACTGTGCTCCTGAATCGTCATCCGATGTGCCAATAAAATGTCAAATGGATCCGTATTCCAAACCTTCCTTATTTTCTTCATTTGAGAAGTCAGACCAGGGCTGGAATTATGTTATGAATAATATCAATGAATGCTTACATTCCACTGAAGAACAGATAAATCAGCTTTCTACTAAGAAGAACAGGGCTGTTTTATCAACATGGAACCAGTCCTCAATAATTTTCGAATTACTCAAAGTTTTAGACCGTTCTCTGAACAATTTCATATCCAAAATTAGCAGTGCCAAATTTGATTATAACCAAACTTTCCTCAAAAGTTTTACAGAATTACGTTCCAAGATTGTTGAGGTTTACCAAAAATGGAGTGCTGTCAAAGCCGAATGTACAATCAAAACTCCTTCGGAATGTGATACTGATGAGCTAAATTTGACTTCTGTTATTCAAAAACTCGTGAAAGAAATGCTATTAGGGTATCAGGACTTGATTACATTGTGTGCTGAAAATGCGCAAGATGACTCACCTGGTGATGATGTAGTTCCTGAAAATCTGTTCTCTGTGAAAATATCTAAATGTATTTCTGATGTTGAAGAGAGCCTTCGTGTTAAAAGTGTTCTGCAACTTATGAGCAAATTAAAGAAGAAGATTCAACATTCCCAAGATTCTCCTGATAATCTCAAAAAAATAAACAGATGTGTAAAGTAGGTTATTTTGATTTAATAATTGGTAATATTAGTAAAATTATTAGTAATTTGACTCATAAACGGAAAAAAGTTAATTAACTTTTAAAATTATATTTGCATGCAGTATAACTTTTAAAAAAAGATTCTGGTAAAAAAAAAATTCATTTTTATTTTAATTAGCCATCCCATTTTATCAATTTATCTGTAATTGTAAAACATATTGCAAATATGTAAGCATATGAATGTTTTAAAGTTAGAAATATAAATTTAGAAAAAAATCCTAGTTAAGCTTTTTTTTCCTTTACTTCAAAAACATTGTCATAGCATGAGTCATTGAATATTTCTGTATGGGTTAAAACTGCCTGGACCAGGATTAATTTAAAAAAAACTTATTTCTTCTTTATATAGCTAGAAGTTTTTTCCATCTATGATTTACTCTTTATTTTTTGCTTTCTTTTTCAACATTCAGTTGCTGTGGCTCTGTAACACAATTTTTTTTATATATATATAATGATTATTTTTATTTTTTTTTAACATTCTCTCACCAAGAATTAAAAATGATATTCAGAAGTAGCTGTAGCATTAATTAGTATGGATAACAATGTTTTCTTGTGTGAAGTTGAAGCTTATGGTGAAACGGATGTGTAAAGTAGGTTAAACAGATGTGTTTTTGATTTAATAATTGGTGATATTTGTAAATTTTTTTGTATCATTAGTAATTTGAGCCATAAATGAAAAAAAATGCTATTTTACTTTTAAAATTATATTTGCATGCAGTATAACTTTTTCTTAAAAAAATTCCGGTACAAAAAAAAAAATTCAGTTTTATCTTAATTAACCATCCCGTTTTATCAATTTTTCTGTAATTGTAAATCATATTGCAACAACTATTTTCAGGAATAGGCGACTATTAGGAGACTTCTTTTACTCTTGGCGAAGTTTTTTCGCAAAAAAGAACGTTACTTTTCAGAATGTTAATAAGAGAAAGCAAACTTTTATACAATCATTTATAACCGAAGAGCCAAAAATTTACATTTCTATTGGATTTAATAATGTACTTGTTATATGTTCTCTCTGAGGGGCAGTTTTGTTATTTTTAATTGTTTTTTCCTTCTATTAACATTCATATTTTATTGTAATTCGACTTTTATTTAGGTACCTATTTTCTAATATGTATACCTTTTATATTTGTAGAAAACTTTTTTTTAATTGGAGCATTGTTAGGACTGGGCGATAAATCGATGTATCGCGAAATATCGATTTATAGCATATATCAGTAGGCATATTCAGCGACTTTCGTTTTAGGCGATGCATCAGAAATCTGATTTAAGCCGCCGGAATAAGATTACAATCGCGGTTTAACGATTTAATATACGAGGATCCTTGACTAGGCTAACACTGTTACCGCACTAACGAAGACTATTTTGATTTCGTCTAGCTGCAGTGATGTAGATAGCGTTTTGCTATTGATATTAGTTTTATGATGTTGAATGACGAAGAGCAAATTGAATCAGAACTCCCGATTTCTGATGATTATTAGCGTTGTAATATAGAACGCAATTAGTTTCTTTATGTCCATTTTTGCCTTTGGGATTTTGCGTTTTTTGAAGATTATTTTCAATGGGGCTTAAGTCATTTTGCGATTGTTGTGCATTTAATTTCGTTGGAAATAATTCTCGGGTTTCTTGTAAATTATTTTCAGTGAGACTTTTGCAGCAATCGTTTTGTTCTGCATTATTTCATACCATTTTTTTTCTGTCTGGGTTTAACGATTCTTGTCAATTATTTTTAGTAGACCTGTTACTTTGCGATTGCTGCACAATCGCTGTTATCTTAAATTTTCATTCTGCACTCAATAGATCAAATCATTGATTTTTTTCAATCATTGTTTTTTATTTTAAGCGATACAATTTAATAGGGGTATTTTGTATTTAACTTTGTTATACAAAGTTAGTTTTTTTAAATTTATTAAATGTAGTTAAGTATAATAATTTGATTGTTTTTCAACCAATAAATGCTCAGTCGTTTTTAATTATAAAAAAATTAAAACAAAGCTTACCTTTATTTAATTTGCTTTTATTTTTGAGAAAATAAGAAGGAAGTTTTAAAAAAAAATTGGCTATTAGTTAAAACAAAATATTTTTTTTAATTAAATAAAAAGTTTAGTAATGTTTCGACGTTTTTAATAATTTAACATTAGAACTTAAAGTATTTTTTTAAAACTTTTATTAAAATTCTTTCAATACTTGTTTGTTTTATAATTTGTTCGATAGTCAATATCATTTTTAAACAAATAAATCTTTAGTCAATTTTATTTTCAAAAATGAAAATAATAATAAATAAGTAAAAAATTTTTTACATTTATTAAGTACAGAATTTGACCATTATTTAATACTACTTTTTATTATTTTAAATAAGTAAATAAAAAAGGGTCTAATAATGTTTCAAAGGCATGTTTTTTTTTCAGCAAATAATAAATTTAAAAAAAAAAAATTTCTAAAGTGAACATTTCTTTGGTTTGTTTTCCACTTTCGTTTTTTTCTTCTTTTAATTTCTAATGCATGTGTGTAAAATAATTTGTTGTATCTTAAATCATTTTTAATTTACGAAAAATGAAATAAAGCTTGGGTTTGCTTTTACTTTGACTTCTTTATTAATTTAATTGAAAAAATAAAGCAATGATATTGATGTCATAGTAGAATATGTTTAGAATTAATATTTTCTTTTGTACTAGATTTATTCCTTTTTATTTATTTTTGATTCATTTAAAGATTTCCCATTGGTTATTTTTGAACATATGCTAAATGGTGATACATCACTATATCGCGATGACGATGTATATCGATTTAAAATTTCTGACATCACCCAGTCCTAATAATAGTATTTGACAATTAAGCTATAATTTTAGTTATTTGGCTACTCTTTTTGTTCCTGTTTAGGCAAATATTTTCAATATTAGGCAACTATTTTCATGCTTGAGGCTACTAAAAGCAACTATTTTTGTTCATTTTTTAATGTGGCAACCCTTAGATATGAATGTTTTAAAGTTAAAAATATAAATTAAGAAAAAAAATCCCAGCTTAATTAATTTTTTTTTCCTTCACTGCTATTCTTGCATCGGCTCTGAGGAACCTACTTGTGTATTTCTCGTAAGCACTGTCATAACATGAGTCTTTGCATATTTCTGTATTTGTTAAAACTGCTTAGGCCAGGATTAATGCAAAAAAATTAATTTCTTCTTTAGATAGCTAGAACTTTTCTACCTTTTATGATTTACTGTTTATTCGTTGCTTTCTTCTTCATAATTCAGTTGCTGCGGCTCTTACACAATGTTTTGCCCAATATCAGCCCTATACAGATTTGTTAAGTTCACCCGATATTTTATAGCTGTTATTCAGCCTATTTCGATTTGATATAGAAGTGCCAGACAGACTCAACTGATGTTTTATAGCCGTTATTCAGCCTATGTCAGTTCGATATAAAAGTGTCGATCTCAACCGATATCTTATAGCCGTTATTCAGCCAATATAGACCATCGATAAAATTGCAGATTAACCATATGTTGTATAGCCGCTACTCAACCAATATAGGCCATATCACGAATATTTTTTTTTTCTTTTCAAATTATGATTGAAATTTTTATTTAACTACTCAACCATGTTGATTTCAAAAAGGAAAAAGCACAACTACTAGCACAAAGATACAGAGTTTGCATTTAAGTCTAGGAAATTTATAGTTCTTTCCTGGCTAGTTTTAGTAAAATTTCTATTTTAGTTTTTTTTATTCCTCTTTTAATAAAATTGATGTCAAATAATTGTAAACACATAAATACTTTTAAAAATGTGTACAAATTTAATGTACGTTTGTGCACAAATGTAGTTGCTTAAGAAATTAAAATAATTTCTGCTTTCAACTGTTGCTTCAGATTTCATGTCAGAGAGCTCTTTTTGACGATCTCTGAAAGAGATGGATTACCTTATGTTGCATTAATAATATATTAAAGACGAAACTATCAATGATTTATTTTTAAAGTTGAAAGTTAAATTAGGAAGAAAAAAAAGTTATTTTCGAAAAAACTAAGCATCTGAAGCAAGCAAACCTCTTCTCATTTTTTAAGCAAATTAATTGTAAAATTAAATGCAAGCTTAAACAAAAAAACATAATTGTTTATTTATTTAAAACAGTTCTGTCATTCATAATTGGTAAATTTGTTTTTATACATAATTAGGGTCATTTTTATTGAGGCTAAGTTTTATCCATAGACCATTTCAGGAAGCCAACACAAGTGGTACTTCCACCCCATGAAAATGACACTGAGTAAAATTTGAATTGCTTGCAAAAAATCATGTACTTTTGATAACATTTTGAAGTCAATGAAGGTAACTCCTAAGAGCGACCAACCTTCATTTTAACGACCATTTTACTATAAAACACAGAATAGTCGCTCCCGAGAGATTTCACTGTATTATCAATATATTTTGGTACATAGAACCATCTTTTCTCTGTGAAATAAATATTAGTTGAAGNTTTCTTTTTTTTTTTTTTTTAAAAAAAAAAAAAAAAAAAAAAGAATGTTCTTTTTAAAGGAATGCTAGGCAAAAATGGATTGAAAAGAATACTTTTTTTTGTATGCATTTTTAAAAATACTCTCATACAAATTTCAGAAAATTGATAAATTTTTTATGATTATGTGTTTTCTTACAGATTATTGAAAGATTTAAGTCCATTTATAAATCAATACTTTCAACTAGTCAAGGTCTGTTTTGCCTGTGAAATAGGAATGCACAGAACATCCTGTAAATTATTATCCATTTTGCTGTCTATTTTTGAGAATTTGGCTACTAAAGTAAGTATAGTTTCAACCTGTTTATTTACTTTTATGATGACTTTTATTTTGATGATCTACTTTTATTTTGTAACAATAAAGTTATGATTAAAGAGTAGAGCCAACAACCATTTTCGTTCAATATGTTTATTTTTTATTTCTTATACAACAACATTTTCATTAAAGTTTTCTGTTTGTAATTATTAGCATGGCAAATATTAAGAAGGTTAATAACTGCAGTGGATCTGACTTTTAAAGTTTAAGCACAAATTACCGAAAAGCAATAAAATTGGTCATAAAATTAAGACATTAAGGACTATTTTATTAGTATCTAAATAATATTTTAGCAGTCACATGCTTTTTAGCATATGCAAAATGTACGAAAGTGTATTAGGCATTTTAACATGACCTTGCATAGTTTTTGATAATGTTTTTAATTTTTTTTACATGCACACACGCACACACACACACATATATAAAATATATGATGAACTTTCAACAATAGAAAGAACATTTTACTTTAAAACGCATATTCTAATTATGATTTTCTTTTTAAAAAAAAAGTGCTTAAAATCTTTTTTGGCTATTAAAAAGTTGCTTTTTTTGTTGAAAAATTTGGCTATGCACCCTGTGTAACTTTAAATATGGGATCTGCCGACTGGTTGGGGGGGCTGGCCTCAAGTGAGAAAGGTCCCAGGTTTGAATCCTGAATAAGGCATGAATGTTCTTTATTTGTCTTCTGTGTACCATCTATCCTCCTTTCTGTGGGAGCAACTTTGGCCCACATGCTATGGTGCCCCTGTGAGATTGGCCAAGAAATCTGCCCATCTGATATCCGAATAACAAAAGTTGATATCCGGGAGGGCATTGGGTCAAAATATGTAGTCTTATTAGTCTAGTCTAATTAGGATAGTTCTTGAACCAAAAAATATGCCTGTTATTATGCGATAATATAATTATTTGAGTAAGTTTCTATTCTTAAATTTTATTAGTTTTTATGAAATGATAAATACAAGCCTTTAGACCATTCTTACATTTAAAAAGGAATGGTTGTGTTAATGCATTAATTGTTAAAAGGTAAACATTATGCACAGTGGTGCCACTGTGCAGCTTTCTCCTTTTGTAAACCAACATGCATTTTAAATACAAATCTTGGGTGTAAAAATTGTGTCTCCTTTTCTCCACAGATTGTGCATCACAGAGATATGACCACACTGCTCACAAAGTTTTTATTTTATTATCTGTGTAGATTATCTTGGGTTATAAAAAATCTCTTTAAATCAGATCTATCAGTTTTACTGTGACACCCGGTGGCTGAGCGGTCCTCGGGCCGGGCAAGGTTGACTCAGCCTTTCATCCCTTCAGTGGGTCGATAAATGAGTACCAAGCATGCTTGAGAACTAAACACTGGGGGTTCCGCGTTCGGCTGACCACCTGACCGGAACATCTGCTCCTGCACCCCAGAGCCCAAGGTCAAAAAAACTGAGATGGGCACAGTAGGCCTTGGCCCTCATGGGCTGTCGCGCCGCTGAGTTTAGTTTAGTTTTAATGTACGCATATATACAGTAGAGAAACGATTATCCGGAACGGTCGGGACCATCGCTATTCCGGATAACTGATTTTTCCGGTTTTCTGAATCGCTACAAAAAGCCGTTTTTTTTATTGTAAACCCAACTAAAAAAAAAAAATATTTGGAAATGATCTTAAATATAAGAAAAAACGATGAAGTAATACACTAATGATTATTTACAAAATGATGATAAGGTAAACATCTTTAAAAAAAGAAAGAAAAATCGTAAAATCTTATGAGAAAAAAGTTTTTTTTTTAAAAAATGGCGAGAAAATTTATTGAATTTCATTCCGGTGTTTTGGTTTTCCGGTTTTCTGATTTCCGGATAACGGGTTCTATACTGTACAAGTTTAAAAAAAACTACTAATTTTCCTCTCACTTTTTTTCATTATTATTATTAATGTAAGTATATTATTGAGAGAGTTCTAAGTTTGGAGAGTAAAAAAAAACAACTAGTTATTATATGTATGTCTTTTTTAATTAATGTAATTATGTTAAAATTATCTTTTGAATTATTTCATTTTTCAGTTTATGATAAAGAAGTATATAAAGTTTATTTGAATTGAAGTCGTAAATAAATTAATAAGATATATTTGTGTTTCACAATTATTTCTTTCACTTTCATGTATGTTTTAGCTTTGCATTATTGTATTTCAAATATATATANCCATAGGCCTGAGCACAACAATCCCACTGATGAACAAGCCGCAGGATTCCTTGTTCCCAGAATTCCTGTGGCCGTGACGAGACCCAGTCCTTCACAGCGTCCTTGAGTACATCGTCCAAGCTGAAGAGCTTCCCTTTCAGGTGTTTCTTCAGTGAACCAAACACATGGAAATCGCAGGGCGACATGTCCGGGCTGTAGGGGGAATGGTCCAACGTCTCCCACTTGAACTTGGCCGGTTTCATGTGTGTGACTCTGGAGGCGTGTGGACGCGCATTATCATGGAACAAAACCAAGCCCTCTGTGAGGAGCTCCAGTCTTTTGTTCTTGATGGACCTGTGTAGGCGTCGGAGTGTCTCACAGTACACATTGGAGTTAATGGTTTTCCTGTGCTCGAGTTTCTGTTCCCCATACAGACTGTCGCACCATTTGGACGCCTCTTTTTATAAGAACCTCTGCAAACTCCCGGGCTTGCTCCGATCACAGTCAGAGACTCCAATCGCACCCCGAGATGTCTCGCTACGTTCTCCCATAGCGGAATATGTAAATATTTAAATGTTACGTCATTTCGTACCTTTTCATTTGATCACCCCTTGTATATATATATATATGCATGCATGCTAAACCATTGCTTTTAATTTTTGTTAATATTATTACAAATATTTTAGGGGTTTTGCATTCCTGAAGATCTTGAAGAAGAGGCTGAAAAATCAGGAGGAACTAAATTTGAAGACATTGAAAGTGGTGGCCTTGGGGAAGGTGAAGGAACTAAAGATGTCAGTGATAAAATTGAAACAGAAGATCAACTTGAAGATGCCATTAAAGAGGGCCAAGAGAAAGAAAAGAAAGAGGATGAATCTGATATCAAAGTATTGCTTTTTTATATTACTATTATTATCAATGAAAACATTTAATAATTCAGACCTTCCACTCCCCACATAATTCAGACCTTCTACATATTTGTTAAACTTCTCCTCCATCATTTCTGAGATTTGTATTAGTATTGAATAATGGCAATGGATTTAATTTTTGCACAATTGTAAGATCTAAGTGAAAACTATTAGTTTTCATTTAAAAATTTGATTTTCAAATATATTAAGCGATGATATTTTATAGATGTTGATTGGCAACTGTTTTTTTTTCTTAAATTCATTTTAAAATATGATTTAATTACTACTTCTGAATTAACTTTAATCTACTCTGTTGAACTGAGGGATCGTCTGCAAAATGTGTGAAAGTGATTCAGGTATATTATTTATTTAGAAATTTTAGGAGTCTTGAATAGACCATGGAAAAAAGAGAAAATTGTTAAATTTTCATATTCTGAAATTTTTAAAAGGTGCAGAGATACATAATACACCTCATAAAATGTATTTATTTTTTCATAAAGATAAAAAAAAAATCTGGTTTGTTGAAACTTAGTTATGTCTAAATTTTTGATTAATCTTTTTGTACAGTTTATGTAAAATGATTTTAATTCAACTAAATCACAGAATTTCTTTAAATATTTAAACTTTGATAAAAACATTTAAGCTCTGTTAAAAAAAAAAAATTAAAAATAATTACAATTTTTAGAGAATATTAAATCTTCAGAATGGCTCTATGTAAGAATTGAATCCAATTGTAAGTTCAACTATTGAAATTTTTAAACAACTTATAGAATAATCACAGAAACTTATGGGGAAATTTTGAAACATTAGTATAATTTTTTATTTATTTAATGTATAGTTTTTTCAATATAATATTTTTGTTATGTCATTTCAATTTATAAATCATATTGTTACATATGTAGCAGTTTTAAAAACATGTTTCTGTAGCTTGCTAGGTTTTTCTAAGTAGAACACTATTTTTTTTCTTTTTCAAAACTGTTGTGCCATATCCGATTTTTTGAATGAAAAGATAATAACAAAAAAAATAGTCCTTGTGCTTTATTTTTCTATAAATATTTTATAATTTGTTTTATAGGAAGAAGATAAAGGAATTGAAATGTCTGATGATTTTGAAGGGAAAAGTTACGATCCTGAAAAAGGCGAAGAACCTGAAAACAGTGATGATGATGATGAAGATAACGAAGAACTAGAGAAAAAAATGGGTGATGTAAATGATGATGATGCTGAGAAATTAGATGAAAAAGTATAAACACTTTTTATTTTTGTACTTTTTTTAGAAATTTTTCTAAACTTGAAGCTTAAAAATTTCCTCACTGAGGCTAACATTTTGTTTTTAATTATGACAAAGAAATGTAACATTTAAAAATCAAGGTATTGTAAAAACATTAACTAGTAAAGCAATAATACTTGAGTTATTGCCATATATAAAATCACTGCATTTGGACATTCACTATGTCACTATCAAAGCATAACAAATATTAGAATATTTCTTATAATATTTCTTCTTTATTAATTTACTTCTTCAATTCTTAATGTGTTGTTGATGCTTCTGTAAAATATTATAAACCATTAAGGTTTTGAAAATGTTAGTTTAATATTGTTTAATGTTAGTTCAATACTGTTTAAATGTTATTTAATACTGTTTACTAAACATAAAATTAGAAAGAGATATAAAATTTTTCAATCACATTAGCTGAAAATCTCTTATGCCTATTTCATTAATTGTGGCATTTCAAGTACTCTTAGTAATGTCACTTTTTGTAAGTATTTGTCCAAAAAAAAAATTTTTTTTTTAAACTTTCTTTTTTAATAGGTTTGGGGAAGTGATTCTGAAGAAGAAAATGAAGAGATGGACGATGATGAAGATACTGGGGGTAAGTCCCAAAACAAACAGTCAGAATTAGCTGCTAAAGATGGAAAAGACAGGGAAGATGATACAAGCAGTACTCAAGATGATAAGTCAAAGGATCAGTTAGAAGACATGGGAAATGAAGATGAATACCAAGGAGAAGTTCCTGATCCACTTATTGATGCTCCCCCTGACAAAGTGAGTGAGATTATTATTAAGGAGTTTAATTTTTATTTGCTTACATTTACTGTCATACTTAAAAGCGGGTCAATGTATAAACAGCAGGCTGTTTTCATGTAATATAATTATTATTAGATTTATTTAAATATTTAGGTTTTGCTATTATAACAACATTTTTAAAAAATTCACTTAAAATCTTTTCTTTTTTTTCCGTTTATCTTGACTGCTACAGAAAAAAAATTTTTGCTTTTCTGTTTTTACACATATTGCTGCTCTTGTGTTTTTAATAATTAATATATGTTATGATGCGTTATTCGGGAGCCAATAAAATTTGACTTGGATCACCATAAATTATTCATGATCCCTCAGACCAACAATTCATGTCGAAGAATGATATGCTGTTTTGGTTTTTTTAATTTCATGTTTTAGTCTTTGTTTTCGTCACAAAATAGTTTGTCTCTGGTAATTGTGAATTTTTTTTAAAAATCTTAATGAGACAAACATTTAAATAGGCCAGTTTTAACTTTGTGACAGGATTTTTTAAATAATTTTATAACTGACCTTGAACCGCCAAGACTGGGTTTACAACTATCAATGTTAAACTCTGTAGCCTTGTAGTTTTAAACCCAACCCAGAAGTCAAGGGCACTCCTAATCAAGCATTGGGACAAACTAGCCTTCATAGAGGACTTTTTGATGGTACTATCCCATATTTGCATTACATGGAGACTTGAAAAACTTACTCATTTAGCCTGACCGCAATGGATTTTTAACCCATGATCCATCTACCACTGAAAATATTTTTCATCAGCACTGTGGTCGGTGCGAGACAGAAGAATTAGAATCTGGTTCTCTTCATTGGGAGGCGAACGCTCTATTGACTGAGCCACCGCTACCTTTTAAGTATGAGGTCGTCCTGTTTATCCAAACTTTTACACTTGTAATGTTTTAGAATTTTAATAAATTCTATTCAGCATTTTTTTAATTATAGTTACATTACTGTAAGAACAACAATCTTGATAAAATTATCTTTTTGTACAGTTTGAAATCTTAAACATAGTTGGTTTTTAAATGTACTGTTATTAATGACAATAACTTTAGCTAAACTCAATTATTATTTTTTCATAAAACACTCCTTTTCAAAGTATTAATGTACTATGAAACAGTTTGTTTAGAAATATTTTAATTGAATGAAATAAGCATCTGTGTGGCAAATTTAATTTCATTGCTGAAAATAAATAATAATATTCAGCTTCTGATTTTCATTCTGTGATGTTTAGGAACCTGAATATGTTGAAATACCTGATGATTTAGAAATTAAAGATGACGATGATGTTAAAGATGTTTCTGCTTCGAATGATGAAGAGGATATGATGGAGGAAGATATGAGCGAATCTCATGGTATTTATCTTTGAATCTTTATTTCAAAGTCCGTTGTTTTTTGACAGGATGGTAAATTTGTTTATTTTATATCAGATCCTATAACATTATTGCATTATTTTACATTAAAATACTTTATAAACTTTAAAATACTGAATTATTCACTTCCCCTCGGTAGAGCTTAGGCCCTAGTTTGAAAAATCTGTTTTATGTAGCTTAAGTATGAACATTAAGTGGCATCAAACGAAATTTAAATAGTAAATGGCTTTAAAAAAATAGGTATTATGGGCTTGATGTTTTTTTTAAAGATATAAAAATTATGTAAGTAATGTTATTAAACTTCTAAGTTTTAATCTAAATTTTTTTCAGATGAAACTAAATCTGATGGTGAACAAGATGCTTCAGAAAATGAAGAAGCTGAAATGAGTCAAAACCAAGATGAAGCTGAAGATGAATCTAAGAATGATGAGGAAAAAAATCACTCAGCCGAACCTTATGAAGGAGAAGATGAGGCTGATGATGATGAAACAACTAAAGATGGTATATAGTAATTTGTTTTACTTCCAGTTTGAAAGTTTATTTTGTGATAAAATAGGAAAAAAATTACTTTATGCCTAGAAATATATTTAAATATCTTTTTTCCCTTTTAAAATGAATCTTAAAAGTTGCTGTTTTCTTTTTCAAATAAAGGGTCGCCTTTATGCGATTTGTGAATAAAAATAAAACATTGTGAAACATAAACAGGCATGTGATTATTTTGGTATTAAAATGAAGTATCTCCTTCAAGAACTTCAGCATTGAACTTTTTTAATTTTTTTTTTTTTGAAGGATCATGTGTAAAGATTTTTGATATTACTTGTGCTATTTACATGGTGCTTCATTTTTATTCAAGAATTTTCCTAATTATACTGAGAAATGTGTAATAATTATAAATAGCATATTTTTCACTTGTTATGTTATTATTTTGTTAGAAATTAGTGCAACAGATCAATTATGCTAACTAAATATAGTGTCAACCTATTTTGAAAGCATTTTTATCTAAGGCAAATCGGTAGACAAAAACTGAAATGCATGTCTAAAGTGAAGTTGTTAGTTAAGTGTTAAGTTGTTAAAATTTTCAAACAAAATTGTGTAGCAATCATAGTCCAACCAACCCATATTTGAAAAGAAAAGCACAGATGCATGCTCAAAACAAATAAATATTCACAGCTTTTGTTAAAAATCTGATTATACTTTCAGTATATGAATTATAAAATTGTAGTTTGCGCTATGATTCTATTTCTGTTATCAATTGATTAGGTTTTAGGTTAGGTTTTTTTCAGCAGTCTGAATCAGAATTTAAAGCAAATTGAAGAGTTTCATAGAAGAACCAATTACCATTCTAAAATAAACTCCGTTTATTTATTCAGCTGTATGTATCAAATATCTTTTTAAATGCTGATTAAAGACAGCATATAAATATATCCTATTATCAATCTTTCAGTTAAAGGTCATTAACTACATTATATCTACATCAAAATTTTTCCTTTAAAGTATTATAACCAAAAAAAAACAGCAAGCATGAATAAGCATTGATGAAATTGCTTTGATTGGTTATTTTGCACAAATAAACACTAATGCAATAAATGATAAGTAATTTTGTTAACTAAAAATAATTATTAACTTTTAACATTTTTCTTTTTTGGCTCTTCACCCTTCTTACCATTTATTCATCCTATCCAAATTTTAGCGGGAATTTAATCAATAATTATAGTATTTCTGATAAATATTTACCTGAACTTTGTGGCAAGTTGCTAAGTAAGACTGTGTTTAATGGAAAATGTGTTTAATTAAATTATCATATTTTTAAAATTGATGTTTCTAAACTCACTCTCTTCCATTAAGATTTATAACTGTAGCATTTGATTCTATACTTATGTAATGTCATGAAACAATTTTAGTACAATTGGTTTAAACGATGCTTACCATATTATTTCACTATCTGATATTTTTTAGCTGTTTAAAAAATTAAACAACTAAACTGAAACTTTATAAAGCCAATTTCTGCTATACTAATATTTATGTACTAGCTGTTATTGGTGGCCACCTTATACATCTTTCAAAATAATCTTGTGTAACTTATGGACTTTCGAGTTAAAGTTAATTGTAAACAATATATTAACCACATTACATAATGTATAACTAATTTTTTAAACATAACAAAATGAATAATAGCTACACTGTTGCCAATAGATAGAAAAGTTTTACAGTTTATGTTGCCACTTAAAAGAAATATAAATGAAAAGGTAATTGAGCTCCGGAAAAAGTCCGGATTTTTCCCTAACTGTGCCCCGGAAGTTTCCGGAAATCGTAGGTCCAGAAGTTGTCAAAATCGATCACATTTATGTATATTTTATTTAAAAATATTAGAACTAGAATTTATACTCTTTCATTTGTAAATATTTTTTCTGGTAGAATAATAAATGTAATTAAAGATAGAAATAAACTTATACATAATTATTATTCATTTAAATTATGCTGTATATAATTTATTTAGAATTCAATGATTTGAAAATATCAATGATTTAAATTTATAAAGACATTATGCCTCTAATGATTTTACTCAAGAAATTTTTCGGATTTTTAATTGGACTCACAATCACTCATGTATATGTGTGTAGACTGTAAATTTATGCAGTAAAAAAATTTTATGTTTCTAAACAGATGCTAGACTTCCCTCATACCCACCTACAGCAGAAACTGAAATTCAGCCATCCCTTGATCAGAATAAGAATTCTGCTGACCCTGTACAAACAAGTGAAATGGACTGGGAAAGTGGATCCAAGCAAACTGATGAGCAGCATCAAGAAGGTGATGCTGAATCTAAAAATGCTGCTGAACAAGGTTTGAAAATGCACTTCTATTATTAAATCATATTAAATAGAAATTATATCTTTCCTTATATGAATATATTAGAATTTTCCTTAAAATCACATTAATCTTCTGGGTGTTTCGCAAATGGGCAAAGTTTTAAGAAATGGTCTCTGGTATTGCAATGATTATTTGTTACAAATCACTTTTAAAATCAGATAAATCAAGATGAACATTAATTACTGTGCATCATTTTAGAGTCAAAAATTTTATATTTTTTTATTTGTTGTACTCATGAAAAAATATTGTCATAAGTCATTTCTGATTTTGTATTTGAATGTCACAAAAATTCTTTTAATCTTAATTTTTGTAGTTCTGCTTACCTTGCCATAAATTTCACATTATGCAATTACTATCTAATACAACAAGAAGCTTTTTTCTTTTAAACTAATTCAAAAATTTACTAATTTATTTGAGTTCAAATTCACTCATCTTCATGGAACTGGCATAGAAAAAGAAGACAATGTTTCCTGGCTCGTACCCCCCAAACATCACTGATACCAGAGCACCCGTCCAGGAGGTGCACTCAACAGTCGGTGCAACCGCAAGGACCAGACGGCGCTTACCAGCGGCCACCTTAAGTCTCTTTCTTTCGAGGGTAAGGGGTAGTGTTAAAATCTTCCCAAACTACCCCAGGTGCCACAAGATGCAGGCTTCTCCCCAACATATCCTGGACTGGACAAGAGGGACATTCTAGATAACCTACTTTTGGTGGCGGACTTCCTCTAGGTCATGAATTTCATGGACATTGTTTAGCCTGCTAATTTTGGGGATTAGGAAGAAGACTAATTTATTTGTTTCATAAAATATTAAGTTATATTAACTTTAAACTAGATATTATTATCACTATCATTCTCTAAATGTATGCATTATTTGTTTCAAATAGGTGCTTCTCATGAAGGTAAGAAGTCATCAAGTATTAAGCAGAAAGGTGGTGATGACCTCCAACCCAAACAAAAACCTAAGTCTTCAGATGATAGAACTGTGGATGAAAATGCTGAAGAAGAAAATATCAAACGTCGTCCTATTGTCGATAAACAGAGCCAACAGATATCTGAGGGTGATCAAGGCGAAGAAAGTGACGAAGCTGGTGCTTATGAGCACATCTCAAAAGAAGAGGATGAAGGCACAACACAAGCAGTGGATTTGGCTACCAAAGAACAAGCTGCCATAAAAGCAGTGAATGTAGAATATGATGATGAGTCTGAGAGTGAACAAGAAGTAATTGAGCTATCAAGTAGTGATGATGAAGAGGTGCCTGTCAAGCCTAAAGGAGAGTCTTTTAAACGCAGTCAACAGCAACAACAACCTGGAGAACGAGGTGGGTATTATTGATTATATTGACATTGTACTATTGTGATGCATAGCGTTTTTAAAAAGTGCTTAAAGGTGCTTATTTTCGTTTTTTAAAAGCCCTTAAAGGTGCTTTTTCTCAGTGGGTGTTTTTTAAAAATGCTTGATTCTACCTTTGTGAAAATGAGATTTTTTTCCTTTCCCATGTCGATTTTCGCCGCGTATTATACAAAAGCGGGCTTTTCACAGTGTTCTATTCAGCGTTTTTGCAATTTATTCAACCACAATCCATTTTGGCATACCGTCGGTCCAGAGCGTATGAAAGCGCCAATTATTTTACATGTTTGATTAAATACTTGTGAGTCCGCATGTGCATCTACTAAGCTGAGTTTGGTGAGATTCGAGCACTCTCATGTGCAACTCTGCTGCATTTTGCAAGATATTCTCAATTTCAGGTTTCATTTTCCACCCTCTGAAAATTAACCGAAAAATATCTCAATCTTTTTATGGTAGCTAATATAATTGAGAAAAAAGTTCTTGCCAGAAACTGTAGTTATTTTATCATGATCAGGTAAAGTCTTTGGAAATTATTTTGTTAATGTGTATAGTGCATAAAAATATTTTTTGAGTGCTTAAAAATTACTTAAAAGGTGCTTATTTTTTGTTGAAAGATTTGGCTACGCACCAGTACACATTTTTTTTTTAAAATATCAGTAATGCAGACATCAGATACACTGTAATGCGTAAAAATCATTGAGTGGAAACGAAGAATAAGTTGCTTTGTCTCTATTGATGGGTAATCTTTTAGTGTGAAAAAATAGCACACCAGAATATTATTTTGGCAAAATTATAATGTAACTTTGAATGCATAATTAAAAGATATATTCTTTTTTTTATTTATAGCTGGGAAAGGAAATTAGAATAATTTGTGAATGTAAAATTATATTGCTGCTTTTGCTTTTTGTTGGTATTAAATCGGCCTTGATTCTTAAAATATAAACATTTAGTTTTGTCTATTAGTAGATAGAATAATTATGAATATGCATATTAATGAATGATTAAAAAGGTAGATTATTCATATTTTAAATAGAGACCTGCTTTAAATAAAAAGGTACCCAGAAATTTGCTAGTCCTAGGGCCCATAGTTTCCAAAGTCTAGTGGGATATCTGAATACTTATAATCATTTTTATAATCAATTTCCTTTTATTATTCTAAACATTTAATTATTACTTATTTGATGTATATAAAAAAGTTAATTTTAGATTTTGAAATTTTTTTCAAAACATTTAACATATTTTTTTTTTATTTTTAATGTTATTATTTTACCAAGTAATGTGGAATTTAACCTATCAGTAAACTAGAATTTGAAACAAATTTAATATGTGATAACTTTAAAAGAAAAGTTTCCTTTCTTTTATATCAAACTTTAAACCATCATAGTTTGTTCAATGTAAAGTATTTTAAAATTTAAATTACATTTTCTATAGTATAAAGATAAAAAAAAAATGTTCTTTAAGTAATCATTTTAGAATAATGAGAACAGCAGGGAGAAAGCTACCAAATAAACCTGACATGTTCATGTGAAAAACTGCAATATCTGTGTTTCAATCAATTTAGCATTTCACCCTCTTTAAAAAACTTAACTATAAGGGTTCCTTCAATCAAAGAAGAAACTAATGTTTGTAATCACTGCTTATTCTTCTTCATAGACTGTGTGTAGGCAAGCCGATTAGTATTGCTTTTGGTCTGATTTTTAGGGGGGAGGGAGTCCGTTTGTGGTGTTTTTACACCAAATTATGTTCCATTCACAATTTTTATTAATGTAGCTACTCTGGTTGTCTATCAGGGCTTTAAAATACAGTAGATGTCTTTTATAATGCTAACCTTGATTAACGAGGGTTTTTGTAAATAGAATTTTACGCTGCATAGATCATTTCACAAAACATTAACCTTTCCTATTAAACATAATTTTAAAGCACAAAAACATGCACTTTAGTATTTATTGTTTACAGGAATAAAAAAAATTTAATTATCAAAAACATTAGAATTAATATCAAAATTATCAATTTTGATTTGCATTGGAAATAGTAATCTCTAGCAAATAATTTTCTCACAGCCTTTGAGCAGTTAGTGGTTTTTGCTAAGTTTCAGGAATTACTTCAATATGATTTTCATTGTTTGCACCTGCAAAGTTACAATGGTTTTTGGACAATTGTGGTTTATAAAGTTGTAGAGACAATTGTGCTCCAGAAAAAATCTGGATTTTTTCGCTAACCGCGATTTGGAAGTTTGCTGAAATCCAAGGTTCAGAAGTTTTAAAAAAATCCTCGATCACATTTATGTATAAAAATTCTTGTACATTTCATTTAAAAATATTAGAACTTTAATTTATACTTGAGTCCTCTTTCATTTGTAAATATTTTTTTGATAGAATAATAAATGTGATTAGAGATAAAAGTAAACTTATACATAATTATTCATTTAAATTATGCTGCATATAACTTATTTAGAATTTTTCGTGTTTTGAAAATATTAATGATTTTACTCAAGAAATTTTCAAGATTTATGATTTTGGACTCACTATCACCCCTGAAAGTTGTGTTGCATAGATCTTCTACTGTTTGATTGTGAACTTGAAATTAAATTGATATTATTTTTATACAATATTATAGGTGATGCGTATGAAGATGAGCAAATGGATACTCTAGAAGGAGACGTTGTACAGACTCTTGGTGTGCCTCGCGGTTTAGAATCCAGTATTTATACACAATATGAGTTGTGGTCATCCTTATCTCAGAAACACATTTTAGAGAAGCGATCTATATTAGAAAAGGACTTAGATTTATTTGCAAGTTCTAGCATTGAAAATAACGACAGAAATGCAATAAATCAGTGGCGAAAATATGAAGAAATTGTGTGCAATTTATCTCAAGAGTTGTGTGAGCAACTAAGGCTCGTTCTTGAACCCACTAAAATGTCAAAGCTAAAAGGAGATTATAGGACTGGGAAGCGTTTGAACATGCGTAAAGTGAGTAAAATTTTAGTTTATATATATATATTTTTTTTTATGCTGATTTTCATTATGTTTTTGATAGAAATATTTTATTAGGCCTAAGTATAAGAAAAGCTGGTTTGAATACATATAATCTATGATCATTGTTGCACATCTTCTAACATTCACTTTTCAAAATGTAGGAAACTAAAAATTTAAAATCATCCATTCAGGAAGATTAAAGCATAACTGCCAACCCTTCTACATTTTGCAGAACTTTTCCATATTTTTACTTATTTTAGCTATTTTTTCTGTTTTTACTAGCAGAAGATAAGATTTTTCGCATTTTTACCCACCTGCCCGATAGCGTGTGTTTTCTTCAAATCACAAGTTGCTATTTGTCTTATGACAGCCTTGGGGGGCCTATTTCCTGTGATCCTTCCTTCAAAGTGTGACGTAATGGATTTTATTTTATATTATTTTATAACCGTCGTTGAACAGCCGACCCAATTTTAAGTTTACGACTACTAATGTTCGGCTCCTTATCCTTGTAATTTTGAACCAACCCAGAAGACAAGGAAACTTCTGGATCAGTACCTCCAGAGGTATGCTTTGTTTTGGGAACTTGAAGGACTTTGTGACTCGACAGATTTAACGTGCATCAATCACCATTTACTACACGGGGAGTCTTCGGCTGTATTGTATCGAACCCACAACATCTGGGACCTGAGCCTAGTGCCCTGTCAACCAGGCTCTCATCTTGTCCTCTCATCTACTAATGAGGGAAGGAATTCAGCTTCTTCTGCGAGAATGTTCACATTATCACGTGACTTCCTGTTTGCAATCTATTGAAAATCATATTCCTTTACTTTATTGATGTTAATTGTTTAAAAAAATTTGAGTTGATTAAAGTCCCGTTTCGGGGTCCTACTGTCCAAAAAGAGATGTGATCTATGTATAAGCAATCCCACATCAAATATATTAGAATCATGGGCAACTGAAGTAACAAAACAATTTTATATAAAAATTATGGAGTTTTTCGTAGCTCTATGTGATTACATTGTCAAGAAATTTGTTTTGAATGATGACATGCTGAAGTAGTAGATTTGGCCAAAATCTCTTCAAAATCGTTTGTTAATACAAGATACTTAATTAAAAAGTTTCCTTGTTCTATTATCAAGAGAAAATAAAAAACCTGAATATGAAACTTTAGATAAACTAGAGAATAAATTTAACTCCCAAGTCAGACACTTAAACACTTCATCTGATCTTATGGACCAACAAGTTGCATCTTTGTCTAATATTTAGGATGCTGTGGGTTATCCTAAGTATAAAAGAATATCAAAAATTCTAAACGCTATTTTGACCATACCCCACAACAATACTAATTGTAAAAGAGTTTTCTATGGTTAGAAAAAATTGGACTCAGTTCCACTTATCCATGTCTGATGAGTAGACATTAGAAAAATTGTTAATAATTAGGTCTAAAGAAGGTAGACATTACCATGATGCTATGCTACATTGCTTTATTGATGTAATTATTTTTACATTAATAAGTTACTTTAAATAAGTTTATATATAGATATATGCTTATGAAATATTGTATGTTATAGATTAAATGTTTTGTTGTAATTAAACTAAATTTCTTTATGAGACTTAAAATATTATACATTCCCATGCAATCAAGAATTAATAAATGAATTACATTGCTATGACTGTTCAAAAGAATCTTTGAATAATGTTAAAAGTGCTACTCAAGCATCTTTCCAAAATTTATTTTTTTAATAATGTAATTCTTTTTACATTAATTCTAATAAGTTTATATATAGATATATACTTATAAAATATTGTATGCTATAGATTAAATGTTATGTTGTAATTGAACTAAATTTCTATTTGTACTTTTTAGTATGAAAATATAATTTTTAACAACTTTGTTCATTTTACAATGACTAGCTTTATCACTTTACGACGTTGTTTTTAATTATAGAGTTAAAAATTTTATCTCATTAAATTATTCGGAAAATTGTAAATTTTTTCAATTGCATGATAATCAAATAACAACATTAATAGAGTGAAGAATAATTTAATTCAAATTGATATAAAAACACATTTTTGTGTCCTTTTTCATTTAAGCTCATAAATAATTCATCTTAGGTCACCTTTCTTTTTTTTTTATATTTGTGTATCCAAATTTCTAAATAATAAAAATTTTGATAAACTTCATCATTATGGCTTTTTTTGTTAATTCAATTTTTTACATGAATTACAAAATTATGATAATTTTTCAAAATCAAATACATTTAGTACCATAACAACGTATTGCTTTTGAGTGTTATTCCTGAGATATTCCTATTTCAAAATGCTTATAACTTTTTCTTCTCTTTTTAGATCATTCCATACATAGCTAGTCAATTTAGAAAGGATAAAATATGGTTGCGAAGAACTAAACCCAGCAAAAGACAATACCAAATCATGTTAGCTGTCGATGATTCGTCTAGTATGGCTGATAATCATTCAAAGCAACTAACATTTGAAACATTGTCTGCTCTTGGACAGTCCCTGAGCCTTTTAGAAGCTGGCGAGCTTGGCGTTGTGAGCTTTGGTGAAAAAGTGGAGCTTTTATTAGGATTCCATGAAACTTTTGACACAGATACAGGTGCCAAATTATTCCAAAAGTTTTCCTTTTCTCAGAAAAAAACCAACATACCACAACTTCTACAACAGGTGACATCAGCAATGCTACAAGCCAGGCATACTGGCGCTGATATTCCCAAAGAAACTGCTCAACTCTTAGTAATACTCTCTGATGGGAGAGGCATTTTTAGTGCAGGTGAAAATGAAGTACGTCAAGCAGTAAGAAGAGCTAGGAATCATAACATTTTTATGGTGTTTGTGATCATTGATAGCCCTTTGAATAAGGTAACTACTTTTATTTACCTATATATTAAGTAGCTTTAAATCTATTCTTTCAGATATCTTAGAGTTACACTTGAGGATTCACTACTCTAAAATAATCTATATTTACAGATGTATATTATAGTAGAGGAGCACAGCCTTTTAACAGGCTTGCTACGCTACCTGGAAAACTCAGGAAATTTGGAAAATGTCCAAAAAGTCGAGAAATTTCACATTTTTTACCCAAAATCTAGATAAGTCTGGGAGTTGGATTTGGCGAGTGCCAAACATGCGATCTTTCTGCTCATATTTCTCGCAATACACATTTCCTATGCTAGAGTTTCAGTTTCACCCATTTGAAGTGCTATAGTTTTGTGATTTAGAAAACTTTCATCTGCAAAAGGTTTTTTGGTTGCTGGAATCCGTAAGAGATAGAAGGATGGGTGTACTTCAAATTGTTGATTTTTACTTTTTATTAAGAAATTTATTGGGATAAATAGAGTTTTTTTTTAAATCTCTTATCATTAATGTTTTTTTATTGTTAGTTTTCTTAATATCACCAAGATGTTTGATATAGGAATTCAATTAAACTTGTTATTAAGAACTCGCGGTAAGCATGAGGATTTCTGTCCCACTTAGAAATTATAAAGCAATACTATAATACCCTGGGGTCGATCCAGGTTTGATTTTTAGAGCCCATTTTTTGTGAAAATGTAAATTATTTTTCCAAAAATTTCTTAATTGATAAAGAGCATTCAGTTTTAGCAATTACTATTTTTTATTCTATAATTCCAATGTACTTAATATGTTGTTACGACATGTAAATTTCGAATTTGAGGCATCACTTTTTTCAAAGCATTGGATTGGTGATGATTCCATCACAGGGCTGATTGTGCTCCGGAAAAAATACGGAGATCGAAGGTTCAGACGTTTCAAAAAATCCTTGATCACAAAAGTTTCCAGAAATCAAATTTTTCGAAGGTGGAACTTAAAAACACAGTTTATTTTATTTGTTTGTAAGGGAGAGAGCCAGAAAGATACTTTATTAGCTTATATTCAAGATTAATATTCATTTTTTATCCGTAAATAGTTATTATAATCATAAACTCAAAAAGAAAGACATATTTATAAATTTCAATTACTTCTCCAGCTCATCATAGGTATGTGTAAAATTTTAAATATATTTTAAGTAAACTAAAAAATATTGAGAAAAAGGAAAAAACCTTGTTTAAATTTTTTTCAATTTAAACTTCTTTTTTTTTAATCCAGAAATTTTCCGAAATTTTTGACTTGGGCTCACAATTACCCCGGCCATCATAACTTATCGTCTTTAGTTGATAGTTTATCAGCAGTTATTCATCATTTTTTCGACTTCTTTAACATGGTTTTTCTGATTCCGATATTTTTAATTCTGTGTTGTTACAAATTATGAGTAATCGCTTTCTGACATGTTCATTTTGTGACGATTATATCGTAATTTCACATCGTTTTATGATAGTTTTTAGCAGTTATTTATTCGCACAAGATGCATAACGTTTTTTAAAAGTGCTTATTTTTGTTCATCTTTAGAAATAAGAGACAAAGTGGAGCAAATTGTATTTAAAAAAATATGCATGCCTTATAAAGAATATGTAATATTTTTATATTAATAAAAAAAGACACTTAAAGTTTTGAAAATTATACCAAGTAATGAAAAATGCAGTTATTTCTAAAACGAAAACAAAACTACCAATAAAATTTTCCTTTGCCTCAGTTTGCTCCTTGTTTCGTGTTTTTGTGTAGCTTTATTTAAATATTGTATTTTTGAAGGAATTGCTGAAAAATTCAATTTTATTTTAGGATTCCATACTTGACATCAAATCGACTAGTTTTGGAAAGGACGGGGTAAGTCTCAGAAAATGTTCTTAATTATTTTATTAATAGGTTATCTATAAGTATATATTTAACCCACAAGCACTTTAGAAAATGGGCAAAATTGGGGAATTTTTCTATGCACTATTTCCCTCTATTAACATGGAAAAACTGGTTTTATTATACAGAGAAGACTGCAGGTTAACATACAACTTTTTACTTGCAGAAACGTCAGTTGGTTAAGATGTTTATTTTATTTAAATAATGTTAATATTTTATTGATGTATTTGAATTTTTTTAATGCATTTTAAGTTTTGGGGTTAATAATATGATTTGTTAAAAAAAAAACATAAATAACACAGTCTGATGATTAAAATGTAGCTTTTTTTTAAATTTATGATTATTTTAAATCGTTAAGAAATTTACTTACTAAAAATCATTTGTCGAAACACTATCAATTAAAAAATTCCAAGCTCATTCCTAAATTTGTTAATATAGTAAGGATTAAACTATGATTCAACAGCTTAATGTTTATTAAACATTTACTATTAAATGTGGTATAAATATTTACTTTCCCACAACAGTATTATTCTGCAGAAAAATGAAAAAATTTAACAGCTTAAAAAATTTTACACAAATTAACCTGTTAAACTTCATAATCAAAAGGTTAAAAAACTCAAATTTAAATTTATTTTATAGGCGTTACAGAAAGCAGCAGATATTGCCCAAATATATTTTGAAATTTTCCACTTTTGTTGAATTGAAGAGGGTTATGTACTTTTTAAGTGTTTGTTGCTATTCTTAAAATCAACTAACTTTTTTGATTTGTGTGCAAATTTGAACTTTCATTTTGTTCTATCTTCTTGCCATTTATTTCAAACATAAAAATAGTTGTTTCTCTTCCCTGCTGCATTATTTAGCGATTTTTTTTTCATCTCATCAATATCGAAAGATTAGAAATTTCTGATTAAGAGTCAATGAAAATCTAGAATGTATTAAAAATAACAAACTTGTCTTTGATTTGTCAAATGCTTCCTCAATATTTCTTAATCATTACATTTAAACATAATTAAATTAAGGATAATTATAATGATAAAAAGTTTTAAAAAAAACACAGTCAAGGTTATTTCCTCTTAAATCAAATCCCTTCTTATGCATGGTTTTTTTATATCATAAATTTTAGTTAAACAAAAATCAGTTCAGTTTAACTACTACTTTAAATATTGGTCAGTTATGTCTTTCTTTCCCATAAAAAAATTAATGACCAACTCCAAAATTAAGCCTTTATTGAAATGCTCATAAAGCTGATAATAAAACATATACTTTTAAAAGAAATTATATTACTATGTTTAGATATACTTTAGTAAACTATTTTATGAATACTTGATACTCTGCCAATTTATTAAATTTTAATATTTATCTAATTTATTGGAATTCATGGATTATCTAGATGTTCGCACAACTTGAGAACTGTTTGTTTCAAATTCTAGAAAAAATCAAAATTTCTTTATTTATATTACTTTAAAACATAAACCTTTTTTTTTTTAAACATTTTTTTATATTCACGTGTCTAATTTTTTATGTCCTTTAAACATATTTAAAAAAAATTCATTTGCCCAATCGAAAATCATTTTTAAATTTAATAAATGCATAGTTTATTTTTTTAAATATCCAGCAACTATAGAAGTTTTGTAAAAATATAAGTGAATTTCATAAATATGAATGAAAGAAAAAATTTCATAAACATAAGCTATCAAAAAGTTGTATGGTAACATATACAAATAAAATATGTGATTCAATAGTTAATTGGGTGGGGGGGTGTATACATAGTTTATATAGAATCATGGCTTTTGATCTAATAAAAAAAAGTATGTTTGGTGTGTAGTGTATAAGTGTCTATTTCAGTTAGTATGTAAGTATGTTTAAGTAAATATATTAAATATGTTTTGCTCATTTAATTCTTCTTATATTAAATTTTTTATGCTAATTATAATAAACTGCATTCAAGTTTTGTTGGAGGCTCTGTTTGAATTATTTGTTTTATTAACTGCAATTAATGTAATTACATCATTAAAAGTCAAATAATGCAGAACAACTATTTTATTTCGACTTTGATAAATATGATTATTACTATTATAAATTATTCTTGATAAGAAAATTTTAATAAAATTTTTGTGCAAGCCAAATTTTGTTTTTATTTAAATTACCTTTATCTTTACTTTCTTCTCAAAAATGACTTTATGTGCACCATGAGAAAAAAATAGCAAAGAAGAAGAAAATAAAAGGAATTTCATGTAATTAGAACATGCATCTCTTGATTAGTGGAAGTTTCTTTTCAATTTTAAAAAAACTAATTTAAATTGAACTTGTTTAGCTTCCTTATGAACTTCTAATTTGTTTATTTTATTTTGCTAGCAAAAATTAGTTTTTTTTTCTTTCCTTATTTTTTGATTGACTTGTATTTATTCATTAAGAAAAAAAACGTTAAAAATAGAATCAATTTTATCGTTTTAAATAAGGAGAGAAAATTGAAAGAGTGAAAAACAAAAAAATTGGAAGCATATTCACAAGCATGACCTCGACCGTGAACTTAATATAGCTCTCCCAATTTCTGACAAAGCAGCAATGAATCAACTAGTGGTATCCGTTCATCGAATTCTATCACAGGTATAATTCTGGTGGAAGTGTACCGTAGTGCCTCTACCTTTGCAAAAAATATAATTCCAATTCACTATCATATAAGACGTGTTAACTCGTTTCTATGTTGGGATACCACTTCATAGACGAAGAATGACATTGTTGATAACACCATCCCCACAGCGTTTAAGAACTTTCACTTTCCATGGCAGCCAAGTAAAGTTCAGCAACATTAAAATAGCAGCAGAAAAATATGCAAGTAATACATTAACATTTTGGAAAAAAATAATATGCGAAACAAAAATGCAATACTTTGGATAATTTTGTTCGTTCTTATTGAACTGTGTGCCTTTGGAAAGAACAACACCAAATAAGAAACATGATGACCATGCCATCTCTATATTAGATAAATAAAAAATAATAATTTTTAATATCATAGTGGATATGAAATTACATTGGCTAATCTTTTTTTTATTTTTATTATGATCATGCTGAATATTAAGATTCGAAATCTTATTTTGTAAACATATCTCCTAAACTAAACATAGAATATTTTTAATCTAAAAAGTAAACAAAATGTCAATTTTTACTTACGAAATATATATCAGTAAGAATTGCAGATAATTAGATATCAACTCTAGCTAATCAATATATATATATTTTTATATTTGCAATACTTTGATGTAAAATGTTTTTCTTTTTCTTTAGGTGGAATTCAAACCCTATATTGAGACTTTCCCATTTCCATTTTATATCATTCTCAGAGAGATCGCATCATTACCTGTTGTACTGGGAGAAGCTCTACGACAATGGTTTGAACTTGTAACATCAGCAGAGCGTTGATTTTTCTTTTCTGCTATTTTAAATCAATCATTATGGCTTATTTCATTTTTTGTGGGTTAATGTGATTTTATTATTCATTTACATAAGTTGTGTTCCTATTTTGTAAATTATTCGTTTAATAAATCATTTTGAGAATGCCTTTGAAATATTTAATTTATTTGAAGTTGCTCATATACAAAATCTGCTTATAAAATGTTATTTGGATTTTATAATGAAATGTGTTTTTGAAACAGAAGGCTACATTTCTTAAAATTGCATTACTATTTTCTGAATTGATTGAATGGTTAAAGGTTGATCTGATTGTAGAACTAAAAGTTTCCATGATCTAAAAAGATTTGATTGCAGTAACATTTTTTTTTAATTTTTTTTTTCAAGAAATAAAGCATTCATTGATCTTTCCATACAAGTTTGGGAGTAGGATTTCTTTTCTCACTTTTAATGTTTTTTTTTAATATGTAAAAAAAGAATTTACTGTAGGAAACTGTGCACATTGTGTAGTTTTCTACTTTACTACTCAATGCATAGTTAAAACATGCCAAGTATTCAATTTAACGGTAATAAAACGAACATTTTTTTTCCAAAATGTAGGACTATTTTGTAAGAAGTTGGCAACTGTGTCATCGATAATTGGTAAATTATTACAATACAAACTGCTAAACAAAGTAAATTTGCAGTTTTTTTCCCCTCACACTACAATGCAGATAAATATGAGTTCCTTTCTAATGCATATGTCATTTTTTTTTCCCATTCCATTTGAATAATAGAATGTTTTATGGTACTGAAGTGAGCTGCAGACATAGGCTATCGTAAAAGACCTTAATGCCTGTAGGAGTGTTTTTTCTTTCTCAACAGCGTATTATGTAAAATTTCTAGAATTCAATTATTATTATTTTATTGCAAAATTTAAGTAAAAGTGCCTAGTATTTTTTTTTTCCGTTTGTGTTAATAGGATGCTTAGTTGATATGAGTGTTCTGAGCTTCGTTGATTTTAATCAGGTGGCAGAATTTTACGAATTATTTTTCGGAATAATGAAAAATGTATTAATAAAAAATTTATTCTAAAATTGGACATTTTAATGATTACATTTAAATTTTTATTCATCATTAATAACATACTAAATAGCTTTATAATTACTGTAGTATTGTTTTACATAACTTTGACTAACTGTTTATTCGCATAACTATCATATTTAATTTTGTAAACTGTGTCACAATTGGTTAAAAATATCACTATTTCCTAACTATTTTTTTAATTAATTTCTAGCAACATTTATTTAAAAGTTTCTGTAAATGACATGCTTTTATGTTCTTGAAAAGGCTCATACATTTCTATTAATTCACCCATCCATCTTGTAATTGAGCTTTTCTATTCTGTTATATCATTCTCATATCTCTAACCTTTCCTTTCATGCATAACTTAATAACAAGTACATACATATATATATATACACATATGACAGAATTACAAAAGAGTCTGAAAAAGAGATTTTTTTCCAGCAATCTAAACACTTCACCACTGACGGTATTTATTCCTAAATTTATATCCTGTTAAATATCTTATATAAGAGAAAAAATTTTCTCATATATAAAGCAAAATTTAATTAATGAATTAATATTTGTAAAAAATGTATTTGAACTTGAGTGCATGCATAAAAAGTATTTTATTAACGATTGAAAATTTGAACAAGATATATAAATATATTTAGGGAGAGTGTGAAGTAATAATGGATACACGAAATTTTGTATTTGTACTGCTCTTAATATTTTCTCAGAATACTTCTCAATTTCTCTTTCCCTACTAAACAAACTTCAATTGCATCATTACTCTATCTTTTTCATCCACAAGATGACGATCAATATCCAAGTTCAACTTATTTTACTGAAATGTAAAAACTATTCTGAAAATAAAATAGGCACCATTTCTTGCATATTGAATTAGTTAAAATAGATTCTGGTAAAGTATTCATATTCACATAAAATTACATAAGAACAAATTTGATACACTTCTTTGAAAAAAAAGCAGAAGAAATCTGCTTGGATGCTAATGTAAGCCAGAGAAATTTGCGGATACTAAAAAATATGGGGTTAATTGAGCAGCAAAAATTAAAGAAAAATTTATTTGAATGATAATTGTGAAAATGAATATGTATGAAATGATCAAAAGAATTGTTAACTATTGACCAAAAATATTATGTGACTCTTGGAGGGGAAAATAAACATTTAGGAAAGGAACTTAATAAAGTTGAGTAATGCTTGTTAGTTTTAGTACATTCCAATTATTTTCATTTGGCACATTGCAGCAATAACAAGCCTTTTGCCACAGGTATAAGTTCTATTTTATCTTTCGCCAACTCATTTAAAAGAGATAAGTCAGAGAGGGATTTTATTAAGAAATAAAACCATAACTAAAATCTGAAGCTAATATTGACTTGGTCGGGCTTGAAAATAATATTGCTCCATTATCGCTGAAATTTGACGTAGACTAGCAATCACTGTAAATGGATTGTAGGTTTTTTTTTATTTTTTTATATAAATTTCTGTTTTCATGTTTTAGTGTGCGTTTTTTTGTGGCAAAATACCTTATATGGTCATAGTCGTGACTTAACACACTCTATGCATTGCATTTTTTTAAAATTCATTTTTTCTAACTTTTTTATTTTTAAAAAAAAAAGCTAATAGGAACATGTTACGTAAACGGACCAGTGAAAATGTGTACGGACTATAAACTTGTATGGTCTGTTAAAAGATAGATTGCATGTTTTTGCATTGTATTGCAAATGTAGTGTAGTATTTCATGTTAGACAATTTTTATTGGCTACAATGTGTTGAAATTTTATGCTTAAATTTTCAATAGTTAAGTTTCTTAACATCAGTACTCTTCTTTCATTAACGCAGCACCCAGTATTAAAAACAGAGATTATTTTCTTTGATAATAAATTGCTTTTAAACAGCTAACGCTCAACTGTAATTTTTTTAATGACGTTCTTATATTTGCTTTAAGCACAATTAGTCTTTCAGTTCGATAAAAAAAAGGGGAATTTCCAGGAGTGAAAAATGTTCTGAAATATGAAAAAGTGCGAGCATCTTGGAGGACAGAATAGTTCGAGAGTTTGATTTTCCTTACATAAAATGCAGTCAGCAAGTGCAATATGGTGCAGATGTGCCTGTAGAAAGTCGTGACCAATCAGAAGCCAGAAACACGAAATCCCGATGGCCCTAGGGAGAGTTCTTATTTCAAGTGATTTGAACTATAAAGGTAATTTACTAAAAAACTTCAGAAGTAACAACCAAAATCTAACATTTAAAAAATTTTATTCAGAAAAAAAAACACAAAAAATAAATAAAATACAAGAAAAAGAAGAAATGCACTAGCATTTTTTTTAAAAAGATTTTTCTAGTGTTGCTTAAATATGTGTTTGCAAACATCTACATCAAAAATCGTGATATTTTTTCCTATTTTCAGTGAAAGTAGGATCCGAATAGGGAATACTCACCGGTAAGGATGAGTACCGCAATCTAACTTTAGGCGGGTACAGTTTCTGATGAGTTTCTTTCAATTCCAAGAATTCAGGCGACTCTTGAAATGGCAATGTACTCGATAGCATGACATCGCGGCTGGTGTTGCGTAAAAATATCGAATCGTCCTCATCATCAAAATAAATCAAATTAGGATATATTTCAGGATGCTTAAATGTGGGTATGAAGTACTTAGTGGACTTTGGTATAAACACGCATTTAGTTTTCTTGGTGGTTTTACTGCCAGGTTTCCTTCCACGCTTTTTTTTCACCGGTTCCAAAACGACATCATTCTCCGAAACTGCTGACTCGGTTGTTTCAGACAGAAAGAGAGGTTTGTCTTCAATAAAGAGAACTGGAAGTTGCAGTGAATTTAAAATGGAGTCATAATCTACATTTTCTTTATTACTTGGTTCCTCTTCTAAGTACATCTCATCTTCAAATTCTTCTTTGATGTCAGGTGAACCATCAGATTCTTCCTAAGCAAAAAAGAAAATATGTATGCATATATATATGTATGTTTACTCATATTTATATTTTGTTTAACCCTTTCAGAAATTGCGCTATTACTTGTCAAATACACCAAAAGTAGCAGAGGGTAGACAAAAAATAAATTATCACGCATCACCTGGGGCGCGTGATTCTGCTGCACGGGAAATTAAAAAAGAAAAACTCGACAGCAAATTTATGTAGTCAAACGTATAGAGATGACTAACCTGACGTCACTTCCCTTACCTGTCCACTGGAAATCCATCAATGATTAATCAGTAACAAATGCTACTAATAAGAATGTGTATCTATTGGCATAGCGATACGAATCGTTCGATAAAAATAGTCTTTGTTGTCTTATGCCACTTCTCAATACTGACAAGCTTTTTAATGCAAAGAGGCGTGCTTCTTCTTGTTTTCCAGTGGCGCCATCTATGTTCAGAAATCGACTTCTACGATACGCATACAGTTACAGCTTGTTTTACTGGGAGGACGCATTCACACCCCATCTATCCTTCCGTAGATCATAATTTTGACCTGAACAAGAGTATGATCAATCTCCGATCCAGTACCCCCAGGTATTGATTAGTTATGGGAACTTGGAGGACTTTGTGACCCTGACAGATTTAGCGTGCACCAGTCAACACTTTGTACACGTCAATAAAAATTTCTCAAACTGAAATTGATTGAATGATAGTGGAACATTGATCTAGTTCAGCCTTTGACTTGAGACATCTCAATAGCCAAACTTAAAATATTTAATAAAAACAATTTTTTTTTCGTTAATAATAGCTGAAGGTGAGCTTTTTCTTGATGCAGTGTTTGATCAGTCTTAATTTAAAGGCTTAATTGTGCAAATAAAACTCTTGTTTTTAAATTCTTTATTTTGCGAATCAATAGATAGAATATTTATGAATATGAAAATATTAATAGATGGACAAAGAGGTAGAAAATTCCTGTTTTAAATGGAGCCGTTTTTAGTAAGAAGATACCCAGAAATACTAAAGTTTTATGCCTTATAAAAACCTTACCGCAGTATAGCAGGGTTGCTGCCCTTACAGGGAGATAAAATTTCAACCAAAATTTTAGTCAAGATAAGCCATTTGAGTAGAGGTCAACGTTTCAAGTCCAAAACGAAATAATCAACTTTATATTTTTGAAAAAAATTGTCAACGAGACAAGAACTTTTACAATATTAGTCGTTTTTTATACCATTATTAAGTGGGATAGTTTTATCCCAATATTTATTACAAAGGAAAAGCATGAATAAACTATAAAAATCATGAGCCTTTTTAATAATAATAATCAAATTTTACGTCAATATCATCCACACATTTACAGCAATATTTCATTTCATTTAAATAAATATTCACATTCAATGACAGGTTTCAAATAATTTTACCAAGAAACTAAACTTGAAACGTGAAATTCAAAGAAAAATAAAGTTTGATCTGAAAATAATTTTGCTAGGTAGCTACGTTAAGGTCATTATATGGATTACTAATTATTAGATATTGTCAACAATATGGGTTATTAATTACTAAGATAGTGACCTATCTAAAGCTGATTAAGCAAGAGAAATGTCGCTTGACTAATAGGAAAATGAATTATTATTGCAAAAGTGCCATGCTACAATGCTTGGCACAATTTTGCTACAGTGCCCTGATAAATTAAAAGGCGCCAACTAAATTTTTTTTTCTATTATTACCAAATCGGTCAGAAAATATATACCCTTATATGACATCAGAAAGTTCTAATTCTAATACAGTGATGAGTTTTATTACCTCATTGATAGCGTTATCGAATCGGTCTAAAAAAATACCTCTTTATACGACACCAGAAAGCTCGATATGCAGAATTGTGATTAGTTACATTGATATTGGCCCTAATCCCTATTGGATACAGAAAGAAATATTTTGTTTTTCTTTTAAAACTTATAATGGAGCATAGATCCTTGAATCTTATGTGGAAAGTGTAAGCATGAATTATCGGCAAACAGGAAGAGGTAACACAACCAGTTAGATGACAAAAAAATTTTTTTTAAAGAAAATTGGCAAACACTCCAATTTAGTGCATCTAGTTTGAGGTAAATATTGAATCATTTATATAAGTTTCAGTGGTAAAATAACATAAATATTATTTTTAGAGAAGATGAATTCCTCAAAATTAAAATTTAGTAAATATTGATCTCATAGTCGTGATCGCCAATTCGGCAGTGCCAGCCACTTCTCCAACAAGTCATACCTTTCTACCTCCTTTTTTATTTGCAGAAAATCTTATCAGCATTTCTATCCAGTAAATTTAGAGCCAATATTTGGCAGATCAATAGACCGTTATAGAAGGAATGTTGGCAAATAAATGGTACAACTCCGTTTGCAACTTACAAATGCAAAATTTAACCAATTAAATTTTAAACTAATTTGCTGTTCCGAAAGTTATGCCTAAAATGCTTAAAAATCCACAACGTTTTATCGAGGGGAAAAGTTTCATTAAAATATTCTTATTTTTAAACGATAATAAAAAATCGCACTATTATTTACTCTATTTTAAATTAAGCTTCATTTTTTAATCACTTTAACTGCAGCTACTTCAGACAATTATTTAAAAAAATATATAATAAGATTCTTAGTTAAAAAGTACTTACTTGAATGTACTGATTCTCAAAAAAATATCCGTTTCTTTCTTTTAAGGCTCCTGATTTTCTTGTAACTTTATCAAGTAAATCTGGCCTGTCTCGCTGAAAATGAACATTAGAGAATTCGTGCAAGTCTGGATTAATTTTATAAGTATGTTTATGCGTATAGTCATAAACTTTCCGAAATCCATATAAATTCAGTTGCCTGACAAAGCTAGAAATATTATCAGTTTTGAAAAAATCGTTTTTAATACTCATAAATTCTTCTTTAAACAAAGAGTAACGCAATAAAATAGATTTTCCATGTGGACTCCAGGTAACTGCACCACTTTGACACTCATTTGCTATTTTCCATAATTTTTGAGGAAATCTTAGAGGTGAAGGAACATTATTATTAGGTGCTTGATTTTTTAAATATGCTTGAGAAAGCATAACTAAAGTGCAATATTTTTTTGCCCTTGAAAAAAAATTAGTTCTTCACCCACGCTAAAAAAAATCTAAAAGAAATAATTTCGATTTAAAGTTTATGTGTTACCATGGAAACTAAGAAACTGTTACTATTAATTAATGACAAATTTAATATTTAAAATAATGTTTGACAAATATATTTCTCCTAATATGTTCGTTCATAAAGTCTTAAAAGACGAAAGCAATAACTGCAAACTGCGACTGAAAAAATCTTTTAAAATGAGATTTTTTTTCTATTGGGCATTTGCAAATTTTATTACGAATAAGTACATATTTTGAAATTTAGTTATAAGGTTACGTTTTTTTTATTGTTATTTATAAAGATAATAATTCTGTATACAAAAGGTAATTGCTTCATATAACAGATTGTTTATTTGAAACTACACACGTTTAGAAAAAAATTAATGTCGCTTTATATTTGTTACCATAAAATGTTACTGATTTTTATTTAATTAACACAAATTTCTCTTAAACCAACTTTTTATGGTTTACTATTAATAATAGTTAATGGTTTATTATTAATTAAAAATATATCAGCATAGAGAGTGCTGGGAGCAATGACATTTAACCTTTAAAAACATCAATATAGGTTATATCGGACAGTGGCACTTAACCTTAGAAAGACATCAGTATGTAGGTGAGAGTATACCGGGCACCAGCACTTAACCTTTAAAAAACATCAATTTAGAGTATACCGGGCAGTGGCATTTAACTTAAAAAACATCAGTATAGGGTATATCAGGCAGTGACACTTGACCTTAAAAATGTCAGTGTAGGATAAATCAGCAAGGGCACTCACGTTCCTTGATCAATCTGATTAATATAAATAATAAGCTGCGATTATTAATAATAACCGTATTCCACCAATAATATATTTTACAAAAAAGAAAGAAAAAATCTTAACAATTAAAATTTTATTTTAATAGAAAATAAAATTAAGTAAAAACGTAGTTATGTATGAGTAACTAAGTAGAATTATTCTTCACCAATTTGGCGTAAGTAGATGGAGTAAAATCGCCTGAAAAGCATCATTTTCACCGTTATGCAACAGAAATGCGCTTCTTCGAATCCGTTCGATTGCTAGCTATGAATGATTGACTAAATGTAAGCAATTACAAGCTTCCGTAAACCGGAAGAAATTGAGAAAGCTTCCGGTGAATCCCTCCGCTTATGTCATGTTTACGAGGCGATGTGTGAACAGGCTTGATATTCACAAAGCACAATAATAAATCTTGATATATTCAAGTTTTATTATTGTGCTTTGAGTTTAAATTTTTATGTAATTTTACCACGAGTTTTCTGAGATTTATAAATATCCAAAAGGTTGCTAGCCGTAAAAAATTAGAGAAAATTAATATCACAACATAAATAAAACGTAAGGTTTGCCACGTTTTGAGTTGTATCCCTATATTTGTAAAATATCACTGTTTGTTATTTTTTGGGTAGTATCATAGTTGTACAATTTGATGATTTTAGAAAATTAAATTAAAAATTGAATATCAACCTTCTTTAAATTTTCAAGTATAACATTATTACCTTGCGCAAATCCATTTTTGGGCCAATCCTTGGTAATTAGCAAATCAAACGCGCTTCAGTAGTGTAGTAAGAACGCGCCATAAAACAAAACTCCTCTATTTACGCTTTTAGCTCTAATTGCGCTTCTGTTTTCATATTTTGTAATCTGGCAATCTTATTACAGAAATACTTTAAATCATTCTTGAAAGTTTCCCGTATGTTCACTTGAACTCGCTACTCGCTTTATAGATTTCGTTTTGTGTTTTGTTCTGTTTTTTCTTTACATTTTATTTTCTGTTTTGTACGTGATATATTTTTTACTTAATGTGTTCTCTTTCGTTTCAATTTTTTTAGTGCTTCTCACACTATTGTATTGATATAGTTTTCTTTGGCTATATTGATACAATATTAGAAAGCACTCTTTTTTGCGGATATAATCGTGTGAGCTGGTGAAGCGATTATATGCCTTTTCCGGCTTTTTAACAAATATTTTTCCAATTATTTTAATAGTTTATCTTCTTCTTTTTCTTTTCATTAATCTTTAATATTTTCCATGCTTTCTCTCTCTATAANCATATATATATATATATATATATATATATATATGAAAGTGAAGATAAATATGGCTGCAAAGTAAATTCTTCTTATAAATAAATATTTGGTTTCTGGCTTAGGAGACCATAATAAAATTAATTCTTTATCTTTAGGGGAAAACTTATTCTTATTACTTATACTAATCACAGGTATTAATTTAATATTTAAAATTTGTTCCTTTTTTTGCGAAAACTATTGTGAACTCTCCATTAAAATTTGAACATCGCTGTTATAAATTATTTTACTTCAATGCTGCCCAGATTACTTATTTAATTTAACCTTATCGTAATTATTACAATGTTAATTATTGAAAATCATCTAAAATCTTTGCGTTAAAAAAACTATGCGAAATTAGTGCTAAAAAGAGACAGAAGATTGAAGAGAAGTTAGAGTGAAGGAGATTACAAAATATAAAAATTCCAATAGGTATAGTTATTCGTACGTTTAAAATTTTTGTTAGAGTGTAGAATAGGGTGCCCCTTGGATTGAATACCGTACCTTAAAGCCTTTATACTGTGTATAAAATCTTTCACTTTCCTACTATTTTTTATCGATAAATTAATAGAAAATCCTCATTATGAGTCATTTTTCCTGTTTTATGTAAGAATAAACGAGTGAAAAATGGGCCAAATAAAAGGGGACACCCAATCGTTAACTTTTATCAAGATTTTAAATTAAAAGGATATTTATATAACAAAGAATTAGATTGTATAGTTTATTTAATAACCTCTTGGCGAAATAAGCATGATACGATTTTTTCCCCTAATGGAATTGGCTTTTTTTGCATGCTTTAAAGTTAAGTTGATTGTCATTAAAAGATGCCAAATATATATTTGCTATTTCTCTTCAACAGAAGTCTCATCTACGTCCATAGGAATCTGATCTTCCTCCTTAGGTTTCAAACGTATGAGATATGACAGATCTTCATCCTCTTGAACCACTTTCAAAACATCAATCGTGGTGATTTTGACTCGGCCACCAGACCGCTGCTGCGCTGATTGATAGCATTTTTCCAATATTTCAGATCCGAGGTACTGTAGTACACCTTCTAAAAAGAAACTCGCTGCTGGATCGACGCGTTTTTTGTAGTTTTCTTGCAAACGTTTATGAATGAAACGAGGATCTAATGCGTTTTTTGGCTTTGATGAAGATGATTTGGACATAATGCTGAAGATTTTAAATCTTAAAATCTTTTTTAAATTATTAACTACATGGAAGTAAATTCAATGAAACAATTTTGTGTTAAATGCGCCGGTAACTGTTTTTAGAGGAAAGAAAATAATATTTAAGTATAGCTAGCTCATCGCTCTATGAAATATATATATTATTAATCCCTCAAGTATTCCTCAATAAATTAAATTAAATTTAATTATAATTTTTATTGCTAGTAATAATTAAAATGTAATTACTAGTTGGCTTTTTTTTAAAAAACATGAGCATATGATAATGGAAGTTAATAATGTTGAAGTCATGTGATCAAGCGTTGTGCATTCATTTTTAGTCGCCTGTGGCAAACTTGCTATTGGTTTATAAAGGCAACAAAATTTAATGTTTTGATTTACTTTCATATTCACTTACAAAATAATAACCAGTATATGACAATTTTATGTGAAAAACTGCTGTTCAACAACATGTTAATATTGCGGTTGCTTTTATTAAATTATTTAAAGTAAAATGGCAATATAAAGAAATGGCAATTAAAAAAAGAAATGAAAACATTATACTAAATAAATCATGAAAAAGACGTGCACTTATCAAAAAATTGGATTAGTATTTACCATCGCGCTTTTCAAATCAAAATAAAATATTTAAATTCATTAATGAATGTTTCCCTAAAAAACTTTTCAACATTTATTTTAATTCTTTTTACCTATTGTTTCAAAGAAAATTGTAATTCAGCTTATTTTTGTTCATTCATGTGTATATACACTCAAAATAAACTTTAATAACTACAGTTCCATACAGCGAATATAACAACTAGACATAAAACCTAGTTTAAGACTATTAATAATATAACGATGATAAAAAATTATTTTTCCTTTTAGGCATTTTCGAAATAAAGTTTCTCATTGTTTAATACATTCTTAATTGTCTATACTTTATTTTCAAAGTCAGGGTTCAATCGAAAGAAGGTTAACCTCTTCGAGATGGGTCATATATGCATTCTCAGGTTGGCGACAATTAGGGTAAAAAATATAAAACTGGTAGTAATAGTTTACTTTATTTAATTCACCACTACTTAGTTCAAATTAAAAATTATATAGTAACGCTTTTAACAGATATGGATTGGATGTGTTAGATTTAAAGTGAAAGCAAAAATGAGTCTGTCAAATTAACCATTCCCATACTTAAGATACCACTTTTTAATTTTTACCATCCTGATTCTTATTTCGTATGAATACTGTTATGACTCGCCCGTCCCGAAAAAGGTTAATGATTTAGAGTTTCAGAGAAGAAAAAAAAATTGGGAACCACTGGATTAAATAACGAGTTAAATTGTTTATTTATCATATTTAAATATAAATAGATTTATTTATTTATTTTTATTAAAAATTGTTATCGTTTAGTTTAAGGAAAGTGACCAAACCGATCAGAGTTGGACATTTATAAAGCTTTAAAAACGTGCCCAAGATGAAGACGTTTTTAATTCAATAAAATTAATTGAAAATATGAAGTACAAAATATACTTATTACCCTTTGGCAAAATGGGTATTGTTTTGATGGCCTGCGCACTTTATTTGGACTTCATCACACTTTTCAACTCTTTTAAAGAGTAATAGTAAAGAGTGGGCATGCGTTGCTATGGCGACCGCTGCTGTTTGATTTTTTTTTAAAAATTATAATAGTATTATTTAGCCCGCATTGGTTTGAAATTTCTTTTTATTTTCACCAGCAGGCATTTTTAATGTATTTACGTAATAATAATTTAAAGTATTGTTATATTCTTTTTATTACTAACTTTTAATTACTGTCTTGACAGCGACTTTATAAATATGAATACTGACGACGTCTTGACTACTTTGTGACGTCTTGAAACACGTATATAGGCAGGATTTGAAAACCAATCCACAATTTTTTCAAATTTTTTTTCTAATTTTGTTTTATTTATTTATTTAGAAACCGAGCAATTTGATTTTAGAATGAAGATTTGTTCTTTTCGTTAAAGATTTTTTTTTATTTTGATTTTTTAAATTTTATTGTTATTATTAAAAAAAATGAAGAGAAAGTCTATAAGCGAAAATTAGGCCTCGACCTTATTTGTTCGATTTTCGAAACAGTAACATATTTTTTTTTCTTTTCGAATCAATAACTTTTGAACGTACATCATCGATCTTGAGGTGTGGTAATGACCAACAGCTTGAAGACAAGAAAGAAACTTGTTTAGACTTGGAGAAAAAAAAACATTTTTGTAAGTTTCATCACGTTTTTACTTTCACTAGAATATTGGATATCTTACGATTATAAGTAATCCCTAAGGAAAATTGCTTCAATTTTGAAGGTCAAAAACGAAGACAAGGATTTTTATAACAAATAAAGAAATGTTTATGTTGACCCATTTGGACGGTATGTCAAGGTAGAACATATGGAACATGAGGATTCTTTGTTCGGAAGATTCAACTTATAAGACATTTTTTATTTCCAATGGTAGTGTGACAAAAAGAAAAAATGTAAACTTTTTTTCCCTTTTCTATTTTTGAAAGAATCTTTTTTTTAATAAGTGTTTCAAATTTTAAATATTATTAATATTTTGCGAAAATAATATTTTGCGGTTCAATAATTTTTTTTCTTTGTTTTGAAGCTTCAACTTTGAAAGAAATTTTCCATTTCTTATAACAGAATGACAAAAAGGGAAATTTCAAAATTTATTTTTTTCTATTTTTGAAAGAATATCTTTTTTAACAAGTTTCTCAAATTTTAAATATTATTAATGTTTTGCGAAGTTAATATTTTACGGAATAATAACTTTTTTTCTTTGTTCTGAAGATTCTTTGAAAGAAATTTTCCATTTCTAATAGTAGTATGACAGAAAGAAAAATTTTGAATTTCATTTTTTTTTCTGTTTTTGAAAGAATATTTTTTTTAACAAATGTCTCAAATTTTAAATACTATTAATATTTTGCGAAAATAATATTTTACGGTATAATAACTTTTTTCTTTGTTCTGAAGGTTCAATTTGGCAGACATTTTCCATTTCTAATACTTTTATAACAAAAAGGAAAATTGCAAATTAAAATTTTTTTCTGCTTTTTAAGACGAGCCTTTATTAACAGGTGCTATCTTAAACATTATAATGTTGCTGAAATAATACATTACGGTATAATTTTTATTTGTTAAATGACAAAAAAAAGTTTTACACATTAATTTTTTTATTTATTTATTTATTTTTTTGTAAACGAATCTTTTTTAAAAATTGTAGCAAATCTTAAATTTGCATAACATCCTTTTTGAAAAAATAATATTTTACACTATGCTTATTTTCCATTATCAGTTTCAGGTGAACACTAAGATCCTATTTTCTTTTCTTTCTTTTTTAACAAGATTCTTTTTAACAAATTGTATTCCTAAATCCAACTTTGAAAACTGCATTAACATTTTGCGAAAATAATATTTAACAGTATGATCATAAGTTTCGAAATGAAATTTCTATTAAATGGAAACATTACTTGAAAAACTCCTTAGTTTATATCAGTTGCTTGTTAAAACTACAATTTAGAATTGTACTAAATCGTTTTCAAAATAACTTATAAATAAAAAAAAATATTTAGTCAGTGATTATACCGTTAACTATGATTGATTAAACGTATTCATAAAAATAAATTACGTATCTATAAAAATAAAATTATTTCTTCTCAGTTTATTGTGAAATTTTCGTTTATAAAGTTTCGTAATCAAATTATATTTTACAGCTATTATTTTAGCACAAATTGTATAAACAATAAAAGATAGTTATCTAGCATAATAAAAAATCTAGCTTCATTAGAAAAAATATTTCATTAACACTAGATTGCCTAAGGAAGTCATTTTGACTGCTTTTTAATTTCAATTAGAATATCAATGGTGTATATAATGACGCAATTTCTTAGAATTTTGTGACTTTTGTACAACATATAATTTCTTTATTGCCAATATTTACTAATAACTTGTTATATAACTGTAAATAATATAAAAAATATTAATAATTAATTTTAAACAAATTTTTTTATTCTTTCACAATCCAGTAATTTTGACTGCTTTTGGACAATATAGGCATATACTAAGTTTCAGTCTTTCTAGTGTTAAAAGAATTTACAGAAATAAAAATATTTTTTTCATTGTTTTCTTTTGAAATTTCTTTTTTATCAAAATATATTTTTCTCAGTTATTATTTTAACACAGATGGTGTAAAAATAAATGTTCAACTAAATTATAAAAAACCAAATTTAATTGGATTTCTGCAAATGACGTCATCGTAGGTAAATTCTGGCATTTGTCGATTCAGAAGCAAATCAGGTTTGACACACACGGGACGTCGCTTACGTATGCAATTATATCTGATTAAAATTACAAATGTAATTTGTAATGGATTTAAATGTAATTTGTAATGGCATACAATTTTCTTAGTTAAATTACGAATCGAATACAAATGCTTATTTTAATTTCATCAGCAACGATATTCTTATTTTTACTTCATCAACTGTATGTGTATATTTACCTTTAACTTACATTAATACGTTTATAACTTCACGTTTAACTTCTTCAAGAAAACTTGCTCAGAAAAACATTTAAATATTAACTACTAGTTTTTCTTACAAGCTGCTTTAATTACAGCATATGTTAGATGTTAGCCTTCTATTGTCAAAATGAATTATTCTGTTGCATATTTAAGAGAAATGCAAGCAGAGATTTAAATGAATCTTTAATACCGTGAGCATTATTCAACGTGATGTATACATTACGGCCTTCGCTGAAGAAGTCATTAATATTTAATAAGCATTTACTTTTTCTTTCATTTTATTCCTGTAGTTAAGCTTAGAAAACGAATTTAAATATTCGTTATGAGAATTGTGCTCAATGCATTTAAATATTTCGCATGATTAAAATTTCTTATCTGAAAATTGAAATCTAGATTTGTTAGTTAAAACGTAATATGTTCGTTATGAAAGTAATGAAACATTATGATTAAAACAAAAGATTTATTTTCGTTGATATGATACCGCTAAAGCCCCCTCTAATCACGGGCAAAAATATATTTTGGTATTTTTCAATTAAGAAAAAATCTACTAGTCACTAAAAATATCTGTTAAATTTTCGGAATTATATTTGTACTAAAATATAAAATCCAAAAAAAAAAAAAAAATGGTTGGAAAAAATATTTTTCATTCATATTCAAAAACTTATCAGTAATTGATTTTGTAAATTAAAGAAATTTTAGTGGTGAATAATTGTTCCTCTTAGACCTAACTAACTGCAAATAAGTGCAAATTTGAAAAAATATTGTTTGGAAGTGAGCCGCGTTAGGAGGATTTTATCTTTTACCCTGAAAAAGACACACGTATTTCATGCTGTTAATAAATAACCATAAATTTTACCATAACCATAACCTTTATTTTGACATTTCTCTTTAATTAAAATGAGCTTCAGATACGTGTACAAGCCTTGATGATGTTGTTTCGATAATAAACACCCTAAATAAAGCTCGATATCACCCACGGCATGAATTAAAAAAAAAAAAAAAAAAACATACTTTTCAAAAGACGCGTTAATATAATTTGATATATTAGTATGCGCATTAAATCTGCATAATCTTTCAGAAGAATGTAATCAGAATTGTAAACAAAATTTTGTCCTGAAGTCATTATTATCGAACCCTCCCTAAGAAGTATTTTTGATTTTAAACGCGAATTGCTTGCAAGGTTGCCATTTTCTGAATCTTGAAATCATTTGAAAATGGTAGACAAAGAAACAAGAGCAATTCTTTTTCACCAACTGACAGAATCTTCTGAAGTCGTCGACTTCAGTATAATTTTTTTATTAGTTTCGTTGTTGCCAATAAAAATGAAACAAGTTGAAAGTTTAGTTTCTTGCCCGAAGCACTAGGACCAGAACGATGTCGAGAAAAAAGTAGATTATTACTAGAATAATAACAATTATTACCGTGAGTTCTAATTCAAGGTAATCAAGTGACTTGGAAGGTTCGCCATTCAATAATATTTTTCATGACTTTTCAAAATCATTCCACTGTTGCTCTTGCTTATCTTTTCGTTCTTCATCTTCATCGGACAAGTTTACGAACGCTATTTCGTGGGATTATTCCCTTTTGTGTGGAATCTATTTTTGTAATAGTGTTTTACGTCATTTTTACTGTTTGATAACTATCAATTCAATAATATTTATTGAAGAAGCATTTTTGTTGTTGTCTTTGCGAGCAACGGTAATGAAATAGTTAAACGCAATTCTTTATCAACAATTTTCATAATAGCTTGAATTGTTATAAATGGATTATATAGTAGTCGAATGTTCCAAAGGATTTAATTTTGAAACAAGATAGTTTTAAAAAGTGTTTTTAGCAAAAGTCAAGAAAATTTTCGTGTTGTGTTAAGACAATAATCAATAAAATCGACTCTCTTGTAGCACTTATGGCAATTGCAAAATTAATAATTATCTTGTAGTTTTTTGGATCAACATAAGCCGTGTTTTCGACAATAATCAATAAAAGGGTCTCTTGACAACTACCAGAAAATAATTATCTTGTTCTCTTGACAAGGATTAACAAATAATTTTTGTGCAGTGCATTTTTGACAATAATCAAGAAAACGGACTTTTTCAGAATATCTATCAACTACCAGGAAATAATTATTACGTTCTTTTGACAAATATAAGCATATGATTTTCTTGCAGAACTTCCAAAAACGATAATTATTAAAGCAGACGGTAAATTTGGAATTTTATAATCTGTTTTCTAACATAGAAAATTTATATATTGTTTTTATTTGAACAAATCGGGTAGATTTTAAAATTTACAAAAATGAACCAAGAAAATAAGAGAATTATTAAGAAAGCAGTTTGAAAGAAAGATACTTTTTTTTAAAAAAATATTGCGTTTGTTATTTCAATAACTTCGAAGATAATGGAACTAAGAATTAGCCTTTTAATATGTTCAATGTTTTTGACGACTTGTGTTATTTGCAATGAAAGTGAAAACAAAAGTGACATTGTTACAACAACTATTTCGGCATATGACGAACAACGTAATATAGACTATAAAATTTATCGGGAAAGAACTGATGGAATGATTAAAAGATTTGAAAACGGTTTAAAGAAGTTCATAAGAGATACTATAAAGAGTTTCATGCCGAAACTTTACGAATACAATAATGAAGCAACTATGTCAACCAAATGCACCAGTTCCCTCATAAAGTACGTTTCTGGCCTATCAAGTGTGAAAGTTTGGGCTATTAAAAGTAGGTGTTATTTCGAATTTTTCTATGTCTTCTTTTCTATGTTTTCAGGTCTAATTTTGTACCTGCCAACTTATGCTTTTTCCAAGAGTAATTTTCCGAAATGCTAGGATCCTATTTAAACTTTATAATCCTATTCTTATTTGACTAAAATAAAGAATAAGACTATAAAGTTAATATTTAATTAAAAGTTATTATCTAATAAGTTATTGTCTGATAAGTTGATCAAAAGTTAATTTCTAAAAAGATTACAAATATAATATCTAGACTCTATTTATTTTTGGTGTTCTATTGGCTTAGTTAATATCATGAATGTCCAAAACTGGTACTTTTGCAGGAAACCAGCTGCTTCGGATTCAACAAAATATTTTAAAAGACGGTAGAGAGCTACAAACTAAAACTTTACATTTTTGACAAATTTTGCTAAGTTTTTAAGAGTCTTAACTGTAACAAAGTAACGGTAACACGGCTTAACTGTAACAAAGTAGCATATCATACAAGTCTTTGAATTATTATTTGAGTACATGTTGAGTGGTTTACTAAACCGATTACCCAAATCCATCCTAAATCATTACAAATACCCTGAAAGATTACCACTCAAAAATATTTATCCGCGGTCTGGAGCTAATTGGCATCTCTGCTATTGCTAGGAAAAATATTTATTATAAATGCCTTAATTATAAATATTTAAGGCATTTATGAAAAAATATTGCTACAATTTATGTTAATTCCTCTTCCTAGATAGAATTATAAAATGACTTTAAAATTTTTTCTGTAAATTAAACTTAACTATTGTTAACTCTTTAAGTTTCAATCTCTGTTATGCTCTCACCTTTTGAGACCTAGCTCTTTAACTTGCTAAAAAGTTTATAAAATTTTAATCTTAAAAAAAGAAAGCAATATACATAATTACAATAGTTTTCATTTGTAATTTATAAAAAGCAGAAAATATTTTTTAGATCAAACACAAAAATAAGGTAGAAAAATAAAGAATATAGAAGAAATGGAGGACTTAATTGTAATATTAAGGGAGAACTCAGACTTCTATGTAGAAGTGAAGTTACTATTAAGAAAAATGTACAAAATACAAAGATTCACTTAGATTTCAATCTATTCAGAAATCACCCTGACAGTCATAAAAATTTTATTCCGCGAAAAATACTTTAAAAATTTTTTTTTCTTCAAGTACGTACATGCATATTTCACCCTGCGTGTTCGTGTGTTTTTTATGTGCATGGATTTTAGTGTGATTTTAAATATATGTTACATGAATATACTTAAGTAAAAATAAAAACAAAATATATATCGATTTCAAATTTATTAGGGAGTTTTATTCCTACAATGAGTATGACCTGATATCGAAAATTGATATCGACTTATCAATTTTGCTTAAATTACATAATTGCTAGATTCGAAATTTTGGTGAAAACAATTATGATCTATCAAAAAATAAACTGCACCGTTTAGAATTTGTAGTGAATGTGATTAACTATATCCACAACTTTAATCTTAGAATAAGAATCGCTAAATTTTTAATTTTACTTCGATTAAAATTAAAATCGCCTTAATCATGACTGTTTAAAAAAAATTAATTTAGACAAAAAAAAATAGTATTAAAATTTTTTGATGACTTATTACAGGTATACGATCTTGAAGAAATATCTTTCTGTTTGCAACATTTGTACGAGTTAATTGAACAGTTATTTGAATGTTCAAATTTTATATTAAGCATCAATGATAACATAATCAAAAACAGCAATAACAATAAAATAGAAACAGCAGCAAAATAATTATAGTTTTATAATTACACATGATTATAGTTTTTAGAGTGTATTAACGCTTTAGTGGGCCATTTATTTCTAGTAAAGGTAAATTAAAGTATTTTTAGAATTGAAATTGATATAAGAATAGTACTTCATGAAAGAAAAAAAACTCATTTAGCTTATAAAAAATTAATCTAAATTTTAAAGTATATTTACCACGAACTATTAGGAACTTATTGACTTTTATTTTTCGTTATTTATTAAATATATTTTAGAAATGCTACAGACTTCAAAAGGAATTATGTATTTTATGACTTTTATACGTTTTATTAAACTAACAAATGGTTACCAATTTTATTCAAACGCACTTCAAGAAAGCTGAAGTTATTAACAAATGGAAACCTATATTAAAAGTGGCAAAAAAGTTCACCATGGACTTTAAAAATTGGAGTTAAGTATACTTAACACTGCCTTAGAAAGGGTTAAGGCGCTTTTTTTGTTAACCTAAGGTAAATTACATGAAGGTGATTTATTTATTTATTTCGTGATTTATTAATGTTTTTAAAAATTTCTGCTTCCTTTTATTCTTTTAAGTGTGTTTGATTGAGCCTAGTTACCAGAGTTCGTAAGTATTTTTAAAATTAGAACTCTGAAAAAAGTTTCATTTCAATACAGAAAACGCATTTCAATGATTAAAAGGAAGCAAAAAATATTTTAAAAAAATGAAATTAACTGGAAGCTTAATATTTAGATAAACTGATCACTAGAGCCCGGATTTTGATGACCTAAAAATTCTCAACTAATGCCCTTAAAAAGGGCAAAAAATTTCCCATTAAAAATGCAAAACTTGCGCAAAAAATTCCTTAAATAAAGTAAAAATATTGAATAAAAAAATGTTTTGCTCTTTAAAATTATTATGAGTCATTTAAAAAATATAAAGCAATGCAATACTTGTTCTACGTTCATTACAGTTTGACAAATATGTTTAATATTCTAAAATAACAAAAAAAGGAAAACATATTGACACCAAAATATTTTTATTTTGTATAGAAACTTTAATGGATATAACAACTTCCATCTCATAATATTACTAAATATCAGAATTACATTGGATTATTAAACGTTTTTTGATAATTTGAAATGTAAACGAGCGTCTCTTGTCTGAAAGTAAATTTTCATTCCTGCAGCAACGGTCTACTGATGTTACAGGTGCGTACTTGAAAAAGACGGTCTCACTTACTGACAATTCTTCTTCAATTTGAAAAGATTTTGCTTCACCTGTTAATATCCTATAGATTTTCATCATTGTTTGAAAGCCAGTGTAATAAGGAAAATTGATAAAAAATAATAAAAATTGGAAAAAATTAACAAAAAACTTTAAAAAATGCATTAAATTGCAAAATACGCCCCAAAATTTAAAGAAAAATGTCCTATAAATCTAAAAAAAATGCTCTAAAAGACAAAAAATGTCCAAAAATGCAAAAAATGTAAAAAAATGCAAATGTCATCAAAATCCGGGCCTTACTGATCACATAAGAATCGGGTACTTGCAACTCGAGAAGAAGTGAAGTGATTATGCCCAATCATGTGATTTAAATCAGATTTAATTGGATACCTGCAACCGACGTTACGAGTACATGTCGAACCCGATTGGCTAGCCATGATTTACCTCCTTTGACGACACTTGCAGGCATCCAATTAGATTGTATTAAATTATCGTTACATATTGTTGACAAGTAAAATTACTTCTTATAGTAGCACATTCTGTATTCTTAAAATTGAATATCTTTGTTCAAATACAGTTGATTATTTTTCAATAAAAGTAATAAGAATTATATGTAAATAAATAAAAGAATAAGAATTATATGTTTTATAAGCAAAAATATCTTTTTCTTCTTCTTGTAAACTATTTATTTTTAAGTGGAAATTAAGCAACGATGAATGAGAAGCAATCACAGTATTTGGTGAACAGAGCTTCCTAGTCATTTAAAAAAAAATGATTTTAAAAATTAGTGGATTTTTAATTTTTAACAACAATCAGCGATCAAAAATTAAAATCTATAAAATACCTGCGCTGTAGCCTCAAAAATAACCGTTGTCTGAAAATTGTCTTTATTTGCGAATTATCTCTTTCGCTGTCCTAACTACGCTTTTTGCAAAATATTTTATTGAGTGGTTGATAATTGAAAACTAAAGCTTATAAAAGTTTTGGTAATTTTGTTAACAATTTAAAAACTTCACCACGGAGAAGTTGGAATAGAATGGCTTTTTATACAAGTTTTCGCATAATTTACAAGTGGTTTAAAAAAATAACTTTAAATCAAATTTATAAATGAAAGAATAATACATTGAACTATAAACTTAGTTACCACTACACAGTGGGCCAGCATCCAAGGTGTCGTGGTCAAAATTAGTATTTCGATGAAATTTGTTTCAAAATTTGGGGGATTTTATTTAGGGGTTTTTATGTGCAGGTAAATTGAACTCATAGTTAAAATTTTGAAATACTCTAAAAATACCCAAAAAAACAAAATGGCGGCTGAAATATGGCGAGCAAAAATAAAAAAAATAATATAGTACGTTTAAATAATTAAATATAGTAACGAAAATATAATGTTTTTCGTAATTTTATATTAAAAATGAAAAGCAAATTATATTCCCGAAGTAATATTACAAAATAACGCGAATTAATTACAAAATAAAGCGAAAACATGAAGAAAAAAAACATAATTTTTGTTTTTCGGTATATTTAGTCCACCTTTGCAATACGGGCAAAATGGGGCAGGTTTTTTCGAAAGAAGAAACATCAAAGAAGACAATAAAAAAAAGTTTAGCTAATTACCTCGTGGAACTATTTGGAACTAAGTTTCGAAAGTGATTCAAACATTGTAAAATGACAAATGATAAGATGTAAACTATAAGTTTGTCAAGAGTATTAACTAATCCAACAAATTGAAAAACTGTACTATAATTTCAGATTAATTACTCTGATAAGAATGTAACAGTAAGGTGAAGTTTCTATATATATTTCTGAAATAAAAATTTAAAAGTTACATTAAAAAAATTTTTTTCATTACATTGTACTCTCGTCGGTCCAAAAAGTAAATTATAATGTTTGGTATGATTATGAATACTTAATTTGGGCTATATTAAAACTGCCTACACATATTTTAGTTGAAAATTTAATTTTTGAACTTTGGTCAAAGATCATGGTCTTCTGGCCCACAGTCACACTAAAAG